TATATTTACAGTCATAAATGTAAATATTTACTGTTTATGAATCTCTATATTAACATCCTATATGAACTGTCATAAATGTAAATATTTATTGTTTTCTGAATCTTGAATGTCATAAATGTAAATATTTACTGTTTTATGAATCTTTATATTAACAGTATTTTAAATCTTTATTATGAATGTCATAAATGTAAATATTTACTGTTTTATGAATCTTTATATTAACAGTATTTTAAATCTTTATTATGAATGTCATAAATGTAAATATTTACTGTTTTATGATTCTCTATATTAACAGTGATTATATTAACTGTTATGAATGTAAATATTTACTGATTTATGAATCTTTATATTAACGGTATTTTAAGTCTTTATATTTACTGTCACATAAATGTAAATATTTTCTGTCACATAAATGTTTTATGAATCTTTATATTAACAGTATTTTTTAAGTCTTTATATTAACAGTCTAAAATGTAAATATTTATTGTCTCATGAATGTTTCTATTTACAATTTAACAAATATTTATTTTATGTCATAAAACTTCTATATTTATACATTAATGATAATACTCAACCCAAATCTTAAAATTTATTATGTTATAAAATTTTTATTTATAATATTTAACATTTATATTTACATTTATATTTTGATAAAATTTTATATTTACAGGAGAATGAATGGCCAAAGCTCTAGCCACAGTCACAAAAATACTAAAAATGGACCACCGATTGCAAATAAAGTACAAGGAGACATACCAACATTACGCATCCAAGCTGAAACACCCATTCCAAATTCAACCAGAACAACACCAGTTCCTCAAAATGGATCAGGTATTACTGACAAGTCAGTTCATCTACCAGCATTATCAAGTGCTCGATCCTTAGTGAATAGTGGTAAACCATCACCCAATGTAACCCCAAGACAACAGGATCACAAAGTTATCTCAAATAAACAATCTGTGAAACCAACCAGCATAACCAATCCTCTATTCAACAGACCAATTAAACAAGGTAAGATCCTTTTTGGGGTAAACAAAAGTGTTATTACAAATCACACTATAAGTGAGTGCCAATAAATATTCCTGAGAATTAGCAAAACTCTTTGTCTTCAGGGTGCCCCTTTAAGGATATCACACCTACACCCTAAACTTGGCCATTATGTCCACACTTTTAAATGTCTTTCGAATTAAGAAAGAGGCGTTTAAGCAACTTGAAAGACCCTGACTAGACTAGTCTAACATTTGATTATTGATTTTTTGGACTCTTGATTAATATGAAGACAGCCAAAACCCAACAAGAGCCTGTGCTTCTTATGCCTGTGATTGCAAATCGTGTAAAAAAAAGTCATATAAAAAACAAAACATTTGATTGGAGTATCCTAGAAATTCTCAAGGATCATTTTGTCACGTTCATAACTTCTTTAATACAATGTCTACCCTATCTTTATAATGACATTTGATAGATCAGATTTCTTTCAAAATAACTGATTGCATTAAAACAACACAACACTTGGTTAAAACATGTTTCTCATTTCAATGATTTTGACAGAATAATACAGAACCATTAATTAGATTTAACATTCAGTGATTTTTATAACTTAGCTCATAGTTCATTATTATCAGTATTCATTCAGGTGAAACAGTGTCTCATAAATTTGTAAATCATGATGTGTACCTTTATATTTTTTCATAATAATTTTTCTAAGAATATTGTTCAGGATTTCCGGCTTTAATTGTCCTGTTAGGTAGGGAATGAAACCAGACTAAAAATTTTATTTGTGCTGTGTTAATCAAAAGCACAACATGAAAAAATTATCAATGAAAAAACAACATTGGTTTTTGCTGCCACAGGATATTGTAGAACCAACATGCTTGCGTTGATGTGATTTCTGCATTTGTCAAATTTAAGACGATTAAGCCACTAGAACAGATGCAAAAAATTTTCAACTGTAGCCAAATTGTGAAATCATAGTTTTACGTTAAATCAGGGTCTGTTTGCCCTAAAACTTGATTGGTCATGATCAGACCATTTCCAAGATGTAATTAGCCCCATTCAAAAACAAACATTTTAGTGCAAATAAAATACCCAAAATATGATAATGGTACTTCCTGGATAAATACTAATACCACAAGGTTCACAGGATAATTTGTCTTTTTTGAGAAATATATTATTCATTAGGTCTTGACAAGGTCTTGTTAACATGGTTATTTATATTGGTGTTGTATATACAATCATTGCCAGATTTTGATTTTAACAGAGATTTTGATAGTAGGAAATATTTGGTGACTTGCTTTTTTTAAAATATTAGAAGGCGTCAATTTACTATATTGTTCTCAAATCCTTAATGAATGAGGATTGTTTTAAGTTTTTGAACATGTCGAGATCTTATGGATTTTTTTGATTAAATCTCTATTCCTTCTGGGACAGCACCTGCGAAGCTGTAGATTATTTTTTATTAGATATATTGATAGTTGATAATATTTTATTATACAAGTATAATATATAGATAGTTATAATTCTTCTCTTATCTTCTCTCTTCTACATATATATTGATCATATTTTACTACTTTATATCTTCATATCACCCTGGTATTAAATCCCCTTCAAATCACATATCAAACGTTTACAAGTATACTTTACATATGTTTTACTAGATCCTTTATTCTATTTATGGCAAAGATATCTGATCCAAATTCAGGTCAAGAGATCTTTAAACTTTAAATTATTAGTTTCAACTAAAAGTCACACTTTAATTTTGCTCAAAAACAATTTTTTTTAAGGATTTAATGTTTACACCAAAATATTTTTAATGGAAAAATTTGTTGGAAATTTTTAGAAACAATCCAGCCTTTCATATGATGTTTATTGACAGTTTTATGAGAAATAATTTCTGAATTGTTAATATCAAATTCAGATCATTCTGTTGTCAAGATTGAAATTTATAATAGATTTATTATAACAAGTTAGTTCATTCCTAACATACCTAGTCATTGTAATAAAGACAAGTTTTATCTGGAAAGATAAACACCATCATACCAACAGATATTATGTTAACATGATAACATTGACCTTAAAATATCTACCATTAGATTCATGACTAAAGATTCAACATTAATTTATAACAACTGGTTTATTTCAAATGACTGCGATATTCCTTGCATAAATTTTTTAATAACGATACTACTTATAATTTCTAATAATGGTAATTTAAATATATTTTTATTACAATAGTTATGTTAATGGTTATTTTTATCCACTATTTTCTGTTTTAATCATGGTTATTTTATATAAAAAGTGATTTACACTTTATATTTGTTTTAAATGCAGGAAACTTCATCTGATCATTGCTTACAATAGTTTGAAAGACATATACATTGTATATCTGGATCTTATACAATTCTACATAAATACATTTTAATTCAAAATATTCTTTTACATATCATAAATTATAGAGCATACATTGAGATATATGGGAAGTCTCTAGTTTTATTTCTGATTCAAATTAAAATCTTTAAAAACTTATTCTAAATAATCCAGATGAACATCATTTTTGAAAATATTAATCCACCCTACTGACATGCATCCAAACCTTATGAAAGTTCATATATGTTAAAATGATGTTGTACTCTCAGTTTTTCAATCTTGTTATTACAGATATTGAGAGCAATAATTATGGTCCACAATGCATGGGATTCAGCACTCAACAACGTCATTCTCAACAACAACAACACCAACAAAACAACAACTTTTCATCTCATAGTACTGGTGATTTGCAATCATCTTCTAAATCATCCATTGGTCATCTTCATTTACCAAATCAGCATTTAGAAACTAACACTCCTACTCCCAGTGAAGTCTCCTTAATACAATGTAACCGTGGTAACTTGGGTACGGCTTATTCTGTATCATCTGAACGTAATTCACTATCTACCCCTGGAGCTTACAGTACAACCAGTGATAAAGCAGTATTTCTCGAACCATTACCAAAACAACAAGATTGGACCCATTATAAACAATTACCATCTGTAACACCAAATGGTGGAGTCAGTTCTATCACTAGCAGTGATTTAGAACAGTTTGCTCAAACAGCAAGTTCCATCTCCCAGTATCATGGTAGTATTAATAGCAATCTATCACCATCTCAAGACATCTCCATGTACACCAGTACATCTTTATTTAATAGTCCACGTCATTCCGCTAACTTACATCATAGAACAGCCCAGAAAAGAGCTTTATCCATTTCACCTTCCATATCTGATGTAGATATCAACCAGATCATTCGATTCTCACCTACTGCTTTGGTTGGTGGATCAAGAAGTTCCTCAATCAGTGTGTCACCACAGCTTGGTCAAGCTACTGGATCATTCTCTCATTTATCAGCTAGAAATAGTCCCTACTCATACAATGGATCTGGGGGTCATCGCTTGTCACAATCTCAGTTTACTGCTGGTAGTAAACACGATCATGCTAACTATTATAACATTGTACCCAATGAAAACAGTGGTGGTTATGTGGATTTGATGAGTAATCAATGTGTTGCACCATTAAGTGATATACCATATATTGAACAAAGTTATCAAAATGGCCATTTCATTCCTCAACATGATGGACAAATCCATGCAGGTAGTGTTCAACAACCATTGTCCAGTTTTTCCTATATAAATAACCCATTAAATAGTGCTATAAACCATATTACTGGATCTATGAACAATATAAATGGGTCTATAAACAATCTGAATGGTTCTATGAACAACTTAAGTACCATAAGTAATTCTATGGTAGGTACTAGTATAGACAGCAATGGTATACCAATTGGTCCTCCACCACCATACAGTCAAGCTGTAGAACAACAACAACTTCACCATCATCAACAACAACAATTACCATTGTTACCATTACAACAACATCAACAAAATATTGACAATTTTATACAAAATATACCCACATCCTCAGCAACTTCCATTAAAAATGAAATTGTTGATGAGGACACTGGGGAGGAAAAACATTTCTGTGATTGGATTGACTGTAAATCAAGTTTCAAAGAAAAAGATGAACTTGTCCGCCATATTGAAAAAATGCATATTGATCAGCGTAAGGGTGATGATTTTACATGTTTTTGGCAAGGTTGTCAACGTCGATTCCGACCATTTAATGCTAGATATAAACTACTGATCCATATGAGAGTTCATTCTGGAGAAAAACCTAATAAATGCACTGTAAGTAGCTTAGAATTACTTTTCATTCTAAACATAATCAAAAACAATATAAGGTATACTAGTTGATTGTACAATATGATGATTTCTGAAATATTATTATAAAGGAATCTGTTAACAGACACAGTTTAAAGTGTAAATTCTCCTTTCTTTTTTTAATAAAATGTGAAATTTTTTATACGAAAAATTCCAGAGTTGCTAATTAGGTATTCATAAATTTTCTACGGATTACTCAAATACCAGCGTTGTTTTAGCTGTAGAAAGTAATCAAGAATTGTCTTGGATTTAAGTGTCAAATATAGAGTATTTGTAATCGGTCAAAAAGCAATAAATTATATGTAGTACCGGTAACTTAAGATGATATAATTTTCAAATTTCAGACAAATGTCTATAAAATACAATAAAATTCTTTTCAAACATAAGATATTGTCTGGAAACATGCAATAAATTAATATTGTACTATAGAAATGTATAATTTATATCTCAGACAGTGATAATAGACAATTAATGGCTTCATTAAGACCTTACAAATAAAAACATATTGTTGACCTAGATGTTTTCAAATATAATCATTAAGACACACAGAATAGCTTGTAGTCATAGATGATGTTAATAATGTTCATTTATACAACATCCAGAAATTTGTGATACAATTTGAAATGAATAACACAAGACAATAATTATGGGATAAAAATAATTTGAAATAATAAATAAGCAATTTTCAGATTTTCTTAGATAACAAGTGGAATGAAATGAATCTGAAATCATGATTTTTACCAGAAAATATGATTACTGATATGTATATTGGAATACTGTTAATAAATTGAGTTTTTTATATACCATCAGTTAAAATGAATTGAAAAAAAAATATTCAGTAACATAAATCTAGAATACATATTGCTATTTCGATAGATACATGCTGGATTTTTCCCTTTTCTGTCTTTCCCATTCCCCAGTGGCCATTGTATTCTACCATCTGTTTTTCAGTTTGCAAATTGTACTAAAGCCTTCTCCAGATTAGAGAATTTAAAGATACACCTGAGATCCCATACTGGAGAGCGACCTTATTTATGTACATATAAAGATTGTAAAAAGGCTTTCAGTAATTCATCAGATAGAGCTAAACATCAACGGACACATCTTGATACTGTAAGTTTTCTCACTATGCTATAGTAAGATTACATTATGCAAATTGATATGTGATGCCTTGACAATTTTGATTTTTGTTGTAAATAAGATTCCTATATATTCTTTCTACCAGCTAGTCTGTGCTCATGGATCTTTTCTGAATTATCATTACCAATTTACAGCTGGGCTAATTGGAAGAATGATGGAAGATAACTTCTTCTAGGTCATGTGACATTGACACACTGATCAAAATTAGAACCCATGACCATTATTTGTTTGACATAACCAAGCATATGATAACATGTATAGATTCCAATGCTCTTACTGACAGTGCTACAGAGACCCTCAACTGACTAACAAACGATGGCATATTACTGATGGACTAATCAAATATTTCACTATCATTATAACATTTTGGATGATAATGATGATGATTTTTATCCAGAAACCCTACGCATGTCAAGTTCCTGGCTGTACTAAGAGATATACTGACCCTAGCTCATTACGTAAACACGTCAAAAATCATACACAGAAAGATCAGCAAATCAAGAAAAAGGTAAGTACTAAGATGAAACTCTTATGCTGGGTTTTATAAAATAAAGTACTGATTAATATTATGAATTATTTGATTGATAAACTCTGCAAATTACCATTGATACCATTACCATTATATATTCTTCATGTTACTGAGATAGTGAAAGATTATATTTTTACTGATGAAGCACATTATTTCTTTGCAGTTAAAAACAGAAACGGTAGATTTTAGTCAACCAGATATATTGAAAGATTGCTTAAAGATACACCAGTTACGATCTAATGGATCACCAATGGACCATAATGAAAATGGTTTGGGTCAAACTTCACATTGTTTAATGTCTGCTAATGATATATATTCTGGTATGTATAAGAAATAATGTTCCAATAGCTTTTTTTTGTAAATTTTGTCTATGAACATACTGATAAAGTACTATCAATTTCAACTTGAATGGGACATTTATATTGGGGACCTCAATTATTTGTATCATATTATTCAGTAGAGGATTCACCTTCAATCAACAAATGCTCAACAAGTTTTGCTGCAAACCATTGAAACCAGTGAGTAACAAGTCAGATAACTTCATTGTGGTTGTTGAAGGGATGGCAATTTTATCTGCACAGTGGAGTCAATATTTTCTTTTTACAATGTTTGACAATATATTGTAGGAATGAGTTTTGGTAATCTATCAAGTAGATTAGGTACAACCAGTGTTGGCAGCAGTCAACAATCACCTGGTAGTGTACAACATGGTAGTCCTGCTATCACTGGTTCTAATAGTGGACTAAGTGTTGTTGATGAATCTACTGACAGGTTAGCGCCTGTATTATTATTCAATTATTGGTCTGTTTATTCCTTAAACACTGGGGTTAATTTAATTCTATTTTGGTGTGAGTTAAATTGGCTGTGTCTAGTTTTAACAATTGATTCTATTGATTACCAGATTGTAAATTAGGGTACATCAGGTATTTCAGAGGATCTACAACAATTTATTATTTGATGGTAAAACTATTTATTACTTGGTAAGGTAAGGTTAATAACATTTGTGGAGGAGTTTGATAATAATGAGATTAGATAACAAGTATTGTTTTTGTGTCTATAAAACTGAAACAGTCATGTGGTCAAGGTCAAATTTCATGTATATTAATCCACATTGTTATTAACTTGTAATTAAAGAAAATTGCAAATCGATACTTCTATGTCACGATGCATAGAAATTGAAATGGAGTTCTTCTGCAATTCATCAAGAACATACTGTAGTAACATTGTCATTGGCCTGAATTACATTTTTAGTGAAATTTATGATAACCAGTCGTCAAACTTTAATTCTGAAAAGTCATAGGAAAGATGAAATAGAGCTCTATTAACCTGTAAAATCTTTAGAGAATGAATTGTATTGTTTTTTATTACAGTCTTGGTGGGTATTCACCAGCATCTAATCATAACATGTTAAGTCCACGACCTTTACCCCCTATACAACATAATATACCACAATCTAGTATGGGTATGACAACATATAATAATTATAATTATACCAACACACAAGGTAACTTTTATTTCACACACAATTTTCTTTCACAATAATGTATCCGAATTTGCATTGGAGGGAATTTATCTTACTGGTAATATACATAGATATTGGTTAAAATTGGTATATTTACATCTAGAAGTTTATTTTGGTAAATTTGTATCTGGAAAGCTTTTGCAGTCCTACTGATCTGTGCTTAAATCAGATTGTTCAGAATCAGATTTGCAAACTCACTGATTTTAGATGGTTATGTGAATTTTTACTGTCAAAGTTTAGCTTCTTTACCTAGGAATTACAATTGAATTTTTCAGATATAAGCAACCAATATCCACAGTACAATACAGTGAGAAATAACTATTTCAATAGTAATGCTTATACCAGTACCAATAGTTGTCGAATGGGATTGATGCAAGCACAACGTAATTACGCTAATTATCAAGCCTATAATTATGATGACCAGAATTACATGGCTTATAATAATCAACAAGGTTTGTTATAGCAGTTATTCTTTCAAGTCTTATGATTTATAATCAAACTTGTGAAAAAATATTATTTTGTGACTTATTATAAAAACTTTACATAATTGACTAGATGTCTTATCAGAAGATCTTTTTGACAATTATATGTCTCATTTAAGCATGAATTTTTTTTAAAACCACAAAAATTGTCTTCCTAAAATGAATTGTCTAACTTTTCAAGATTCTTTTCAAGTGTTACTTATTGTTTTCAGGTTATATGGATCCAATTCAAGAACCACTAGAATCATTAGGAATAACAACTAGTATTAATGATGATGTAAACTTACAACAATATTTACAACTGACAGCAGTAGATGGTAATAGTAATCATACTAATCCAGTTTATGCTGAAGGAACATCTTAAGATATGGTTTTAAGAAATTTCAATTGAATGTTTTAATTTAAATTTGAACATTCCTACTGCATGTAAAATTTGAAATTTATGAAACTATTATTGAGCTGTACTCCATAATCAAAAATGTTCAGCACAAATTTTTATTTTCATAGATTTTTCACATGTTTTCAGCTACAGTCAGAAACAAATGAAATTGGAATGTTTTTGTTTTAAATTGTATAGTATATATAAATTTGTTATTGAAGATTTGTTAAGGATATATTAGTTAAATAGTGCTATAATGATTTTATCACTACTATATACCATTCCTGCTATATATCAGTGTTGTAGTGCTATTAGTATTATGCTAACGCTATAGTTACACCAGTACTACTATAGTTCTATCATTTTTACATCAGTGCTATAGCTCTATCATATTATCAGTGCTATATATTAGTGCTATAGCTTTATCATATTATCAGTGCTATATATTAGTGCTGTAGTTCTATCTTTAAAAGATTAGTGCTGTAGTTCTATCTTTAAAAGATTAGTGCTTTAATGCTATCATTATGATATAAGTGCTATAAATTAGTTCTATAGCTCTATAATCATGATATCAGTGTTATAGCACTATCTTCAGAATATCAGTGCTATTTTTTTATCAGTGTTATTTTTTGCTATATACAGATTAAGAACCTTTATACACTGTCTCATCCCTTTAACCATCATTTTCTATTGCTTGTTGTTAAATTTCTACAGAAATAAATGAAATTCAGGTCTTTGTTTTAAACTAGCTGGCATAATAAAGCAAAGAAGAGCTTTTATCAGATTGCAGATTATAAAATTGATAACTATAAATTCTTGATTCTTTGAAATTTGACTGGTATGTATTCATGATTAGAAGATTAGGTAAGTAATTGAAAGACCAAAAATATCAATTTCAATTGTCGAGTTAGCAACTGATCACATCAATTGTTAAGAATTATAATTTAAATATCTCTGTACTATTTTTAATGTATTTTTTATTGCAATATATTGTATAATTTATTCGTAGATGTTTTGTTTTAAAACCATCCGTCCAATCAACTTAAATTTCTACATACTTATCATTACCCCTAAGATCTATGAAGTATAATGATTATGAATAATATCATATGGAATATCCAGTATTTTAAGATTGCTCTAGATCATTCAGATTCAAAGCAGTGCTTATCTAATTTTTGGGGACTTGTAACAATTCTAACAATATTGTTATTGATACTTAAATAAACTGGGTATTCCATGTGTATATTTTATAAAATGTACTTTTTTTCTAGATTTATATGTTCATATCAATATGTTTAATCAATACCCTCTAATAAGTAACATTCAAATACAATGGATATAAAAAAAACAATTAAAATATTTACACATAATGATTGTTATATTGTTAAGAATTTTATTATGTTATAATTATTTTACTGGAACCCATTTTAAAAAAAAACACATGTGTTATAAAAGTATTATAATTCCCACATTACCTCACATATGACAACCAAAGGTCAACAAACCATGTCGTCTTCTGCTTCTGATTTTGCAGAAAAGCTTCAAATTTCTCAGATCATTCCATTGAATTACCTCCCTTGGCAAATCAGATTGCCTCCCCTTGCTTTGTGAACTATTTCTGTAGAAAATGTTTATAAAACTATTTGTAAAGATATAATATAACAAAATTATAAACTATTTTTTTTTTTTCAAATTAATTGTGATAAACAATGATATGATATACAAATTGTGATAATAATAGTTAGGGTATCTTTCTGATGTGTTTTGTTTTATATTTTCTGATGTAGGTAATTATATTTTTGTTATATAGTATTTAAGGATTATTTTAGTTTCATTTTACCTTTTTCAGTCATTTTTTCACTTTTAGGGCTCATTTATACTGCAATATGTCATCAAGGGACAAAATAGCCTGAAACATCTGACTCTAGCATTTGTTATTTTGACAGTTATCGGCTAGAGTACAGTCAGAAGAACAGTCCAGGCTCTGTTACATGTGGATATTCCCACAAAACAGGGCCTAGTTTTTCTGTCTCTACACCAGCTGACAACTTTCAAAATAGCTAACAGTGGATGAAATAGAGGCAGATTTTTCGGTTTAGGAACAAAAGACAAATAATGAGTGGTTCTCATTCTTGCAATTTTGTATTTAGAGGTAAAGATAAGGCACGATATTTTCTGTCAAAAGCAAAAAATAAGGTTCATGCTTAATTTGTTGAAAAAGCAGTGTTAAGGTATAAATGAGTCCTATATTTTATAATCAGTCTAAGTGGCAAATCTATTTTCTTAACCAACCGTCCAATATATTTTTACATTTATTCATTTTTTTTTTAAAGTTTTGCAATAAATTCATACCGAGTGATTAGATTATATTAAGTCATAGTAATTTTTATATTTTGTACTACGCATTATAAATAGTAGATATTTAGTATTATATTTGTAAATGTACAAATAATAAGATTGGTTTTATAATATATTATCACAGAAAGTTGCTGTAAAAAATAACATTTCATCAAATATATCTTATGGCAAATAATGTTAACACTAAAATTATTCTTTTTGGCGGATTAGGATTGTTTTTACCTTTTTTTTCAGTATTGGGGAATCTACAAAAAATGTAATTTTTTTCAAAGATAGTTTGGCCTATGAAAGCCTTCATACAAATTGATATTACAGAGTTTAAAACAAAATTAATCCTTTAAAGAGAACAAATTAACCATGAAATTTGTATTTCCAGTGAAAATTTGAATCATTCAACTTATTATTGTCATCTGGATCTTTATACTATAATGATATTATTAAGATAACCACTTTCGACATTTTCGTAGTTATCTTATATGTTTCATATATATTTTTGTATTTTTACTTTTTAAATATCATGATCAAATATTTGAAATTCTGATGGCATGTACATAATTTCATAGGTGAATATTTGTTAGTCTACGGTTATCATAAAATTCCATACCACATTTTCACAAAAAATGTTTTCAAAACTGAAATGTGAGCTATATTTGTTAAGGAATCTGAACAAGATCAATAAATTTCTAATTTTGATTATTTGTATTGCTTTTAACTGGGCAAAAGAAAAAAACAAGGTAAATGTTAAAATTGCTCATATTTAAAGCTCATATTGTGTAATTCTTTACTGATATTCAGACAGAAGTTTATTATTGTACTGATATATGAAAAGCCTAAGTTGGTTTTATTTGTTGAAGGTGTATCTAAATTCAGAATTACCACTAAAAAATTGTTAAAATTTTGTCATATTTCCATTTAACTTATGTATTGCAAAAGTAATGTTTAATACAAAATTGATTGTTTTAAAAAATCTGCTGTTTCAGGCATTTAAATCAAAATTGTTAAAAATAAATGTCCTGTGATCTTCTTGGTGTTTTTATTTCAGCGAAGACTTTTCCATATTTTGATATCTTGATATCTTGTCTTAAGGTGTCAGGAGGGCCTGGTCTGTTCATAATTCTTTTCTCCAGTCAGTTGTGATGTGTCATGTGAATATATGATAACATGTGATAGAATAAATATAGAATGACTCTAATTAAATGATCCAAATTAGGTGCAGAAAAATGTCATTTAATTTCTGATTGGATGATGATCATCTGCAGAGTCTTGTCATGTGACATCTGAGAGCACACGCAGAAAACTCTTGCAAATGAGACAAAAATCACTGACAAATATCAAACTGGCTAGATCTCCAAAATCCTGTCAGAGAAAGCATGGACACACTCAAAATTACTCAAGATCTGAATCAGCTTAAAGCAAAAATTTAAACATAGAAAAGAAATAGATGAATGAAAAGTAAATTGTTTAGATCTAAAAATATTTAATCTTTTTTTTCTATTGATGGATTCAGAAATCTTATGAACAAAAAAATGTAAATAAATTGACACCGCTCAATTGAATTCAACTAAGACAAGTCAAATTGAATAAGGTAAAAGCTCTAATATTGCAAAATAATAAGTAAAAAGTAGATCTGTTTGTTCGAATATGATAACTATCTAAGAATTTTAATAAAAAAATATCAAAATTGCAATTTTTAAAGTGATACATCTTAGAATGAACATAAAATTTAAGTTCTCAAGGATGGTCAATATATATTCATCAGTGAACTTACCTGGTGTCATGAAGTTACGACAGAATCCCTGTCAAATTCATAAAACTACGTAATTATTGAAAAACGCTGAATCTTCAATAGTTAATTGCATATTTATGGATAATTATTAAGTTTTTTGGATTTATCGGATTACATAAGGACGTTATTTATGACACCAGGTATATCTACTGATGAATATAATAATATGCTCTTATTGGCCATGTTTAAAATTCTTTAAATGTTCATTCTAAGATGTTGTATTCTTTTAACATCATAGAGTAAGGGGCACATAGATGTGAACTAAAAGCTACCTTATGTTAAAGGGAAATCTGGAGGTCCAATTTCAGCTACCTATATAACTTTTTGGAAAAACAGTTAGACTGTCTTATTATCCAGGCCATTTTTAATCATTTCGCTTGCAATTTTTACTTATGACTTTATAAAATCACTGATAAGTGCAAATCAGAAAGAAAAATTGTGTGGCGCGTTTTTTGTTAAAAAACAGACATCAGATTTGTTAAGAAAGTAAATAGCTGAATTTGAGCTGTATTAGTTGGTAAGGAAATATTTACTTTATCACTTAATTATACTAATTAATTGTTTATAAAAATCAACTATTCATTTATTTATGGCATTGAAAATTTTAACAAATACAAAATACAAAACGAATATATAAAGACAAAATGATATGTACTAAAAAATTACATAAAAGAGTCATGGTAACTTAGGAAGGATTATTACATTTTTAATTTTTAATAAAAGCCTTAACTTAATGGTTTTCATGATGTATGGTATGTCTGAATCACCTTCTATTGTTTTCTAAAATAATGCAAAGATGTGAACATATTCAAATAGGAATGTGCACAACTTATGTGTGCACTCATATTATTCTACAAATTATAATCTGCAAAACATGGTTTTCTATTATATAAAAATAAATTCATAGCCAACATTCATCACAAAGTAAACATAGAACGAATAATTTCACAACCCCAAATTATATTCTTTAAAAGTATATCACAAATTCTTATTACTTTTGTTTGTAATTAAAAGCATGAATTGAGAAAAAGATGAAAATGTCGAGTCAATGTTCAAATGAATCTTCTTTTCAATAAAATGCGAAAACAATGTCAAAAGAATAATTAAGGGAGGTCTTTTTTTCCCCCATGATGCAATAAAAAAAAAAGAATCACATAGGATGAAAACAATAAATGCAGTATTGCAGGCGAGTTTTAAGGTTTCTCTATTGTTAACGATTGATTGTAAAAAAAAAACATCTTAATCAAGGATCACTTTTAACTTGTCCTTATAGCCATTCCCTGTAACAGTATACAATTAACAATAGCTCACTTCCAAAATCATATAAATCAATCAATTTGCTCAATCCTTAAAACAGGATGTATATATACTTTGACTACAATGAAATAGTATGCAATCAAAAAAATAAGCTTATATACAATCAATATATAAAACTATATAAAATATAACTATAGAAATAAAACAAATGCACCAAAACTAGTATAGGAACTACATTTCTAATGCAGTAACAATTTGACAACCTATTTCAAACAGTAAGCACTGATGATATATTAAGTACTATCAACTGATTAATGGTCAAGTTAGGATATTAATGCATATCAAGGATTTACTATAGGTAGAAAAAAATAGTTATTGAAACAATACAAACCAGATTTTTTTGTGTTCAATACTTATTTCAATACCTAAAATTTAGTGAACTGTTTGTATTTTTGTTTTCATCATCCCTGATTGTGCACAACCATCTATCTTTGCTTGACCATACAGTCTTACTTTTAAAATCTCATATGTTAACAGAGATACTGGACTGAACATAGGCATATGATGATATGAGATTGAACCAACAGGAAATTTTCTAAAGCCTTACACTAATGCAAGCAATGTTGAGGATTATATCTCAAGGCCAGACAGAACAGCCTTTAAACTACAGTTTTGGCTATTTTTTTTTTCAAAATGACACGAATGCCCAAATATACATGAATTTGCTCCATGATATGTCAGACCTTTAACTATATTAATATTGTTGTTGATATTGAGGTTGTGAATACTGATTATATGATTGAAATTGAGTTCCTGGATTCACTGGTTTATGTAATTGGGGAACTCCTTTTCTATATACTAACATCTTTAACACAGGTTTACGTCTTATATATTCTACAGCTTGTTTATGGGTAGCTACTGTCAAGTCTTTACCATTTACCTTTAAAAATACAAAAGGTTACAAATGAAACATAAAGTCACTTCTTACTGCTTCAAATGTAAATATTGATGCAATATCAGTATGCTTAGCAAGAAATAACATACTTGACAAGCATTCTATTTCTTCTTAGCAACAATAAATTGAAATTATCCATACCTGTAAAATCTTATCATGTATTTGAAGACCACATCTGGAAGCAGCACTATTTTCATGAATATATGTAACATAAATTCCCTATAAATAAGATTATCAAATTAAAAAAAAACCAATTAATTGCATTTTGAAACACTGACTATTGTATCCATTTTAAGCTTAGTAAAATACAAAATGCAAAAATTTGTGTATAATTTTTTTTAAGAGGTAATATAGCATAAATGTGTATTGCATTATTTGCACTTATTTATCATGCAACATATGAAGTAAACTTATACGAATTAGATGAGGGCTGAATCAGTCACTTATCACTGATATATATTTCTTTCATGTTAATTTATGATTAACTAATTCACTTTTACAGCAATACAACAAGTCAAAATGCTACTAGGCAGGCCTACTTTATTTCTATTTGAATATTTGCCACCAATAATTAATTTGGTAAAAAAACATAGGTACTCCTATTCACCTTATCTGGATATCCTTGTGGACTTTGTGAAGGATCTTGATCAATGCCACCACCAATTCGAAATCCACATCTGTACCTCTGTTTACCATCTTGTTCTAAAACAGGATTACCTTGATTATCTATGTCTGCATCTTTCTCTAACACAATGGGAATCTAAAAATACAATCATTGTTTCCTTATATTCTTTCGAAAGATTAAAGGAAAAATTGGGAGATCTTTAAAATTAATTTATGCATGCATATATTCACTGAACAACTGATTTTAGTATGTATATCAATAAAACTTAGTATAGATCTGTAAGTGTAGATTTCAAAATCAAATAAATATCATCCCAGCAGAATTGTAGACTTGCTCTACTAGCTGATAGAGCTCAAATTCAGCTATATGCATCAGTTTTCAGAATAAAAATATCTGGAGTCCAGTTCTCTTGAAATTACATACATACATAGGTCAAAAGTTTTAAGACTAAAATTATTGTCATTCAATTCAGGCTGTTAGTGTTACTAACATTTTTTATGTTATCCACCAAAAGTTATTCTAGTTTTATCAGTAGTACTATTTTGAAGCTAACTTTTTTTCCACTAAGAAAGAATTGGTTGAATTCAATTTACAGACAAAAGTGAGATGTATAATGAGTAGGTCAGGTGGGAAAATAAATAGGTAGGGCACTGAGGGAATGAAGTCATTGAAGTCATTGACATTTTCAATATTGTCATATCTTTTTCAAAGTTTACTTACACTGTAGCATTCAAGTGGGTCGCCAGCCGTATGGCCTGCCATATTATTCATTTGAATCTCCAGCTTTAATTCAATCTATACAAAATTTTAAAATAAAAACAGCGAAAACTTGTAAAATAATTCTTCTGCAAAACAAGAGGTGGGATACCGTAAATATCAGGCTACTAATTATGAAAGGTGAAACAATATTTAAAATTTAAGCACATAAAGTAATCAACTTTAGATTCTAAACAATGCTACTATTTCTTAAATTTATAGCTATGTTCAGATGAAATAAATTTTTCGAACAGTTTGATTTGAAATTACTGATTGAAATGAAAAACCACTTAATAAGTATATTGCGTTTCGACTCACAGTAAAGTTTCATGTGGTGAAGAATTTTAAGAAACCTCGAAAATGCCGGGAGACACAGCAACTTGAAAATTTATTATATCTTTCTTGATTGACATGTTACTAAATTAAAAAAAAAACACAGACATATATTACAAAATGGAGTTTCAGAAATTACAACCGACAGTTGAAACAATTAATGCATGGTTCATGCAAGAGGTGTTCAGATTTATTATCATTGAATCACTCCAGACTCCTGCCCTCGCTATATTTACATGTATTTAGTTTACCATGCCACACTTTTCATCATAAAATATTAATTATAATTAGGTCTTTAGAGTAGATTTGATGCATAAAAAAAACACAGGCTATGACTAATAAACAGATCATAGGTTACTAATAAATTTACATAGCTAGTTTACAGATAGAACAATTTAAAACTGTATTGATCGTTAGGGGTTAGTAATAGTAGTGGGTAGTTGCAGACTCTTGGCAGAGACTGCAAATCCTTGCCTTATAAGTTTTTCTAGGTTAGATGATAAGACGTCAGTCTACAAAACGTAATGTGCAGCTCACCTGATTATATATGATTCCCCAAAGACAGGCAATACTAACATACCGGTACAGTACTTAGTGCAGTCATATTTTAATCTATTTACATAATTCTAATAATTGCTTAACTGTTATTTTTTAGGTATATTTATGGAGAACAGTGGGAAGCGTATTTTGGTTTTTAGCATGTGTACCTGTAATAACAAGTATTTACATACTTTTGTGTAATATTAGTGTTTTTCATCCAGTCACTACAATAGTTGGTATGTATTATAACATGTATACCGGTACCATACGATTATGTATTGGATAAATTACATACCGGTAACCATTTCAAATAAGACAAGTTTTTAAATATTTTAATTGTGAAATATGGATTGGTCAAAATGAAAAAAGCAATAATGAATTGTGTATTGTAATGAGGTATTGTTGTGGTTTCTTTTGAGGTGTTTCAGCTACCTTGAATCACTACCTTGGACAATAATTCTAAATGTATCAGGTATAAAATCTGAGTCATTTATTTTCATTTAGAATTAGTTTTTTTTCAATTGGTTTAGGTTATTTTATTCTATACATATTATTTTTGGTCATATTTCCAAGCCCGGTTTGAATTTATATTGAGATGTGATATTGTGACCTCATTGATAATTACAGCCTGAGTGATAGTTTATAATAATGGCCTTTAAGTGAGCAAAATAATCTCTCTCAGCTGGTAAAGTGAATATTAAAATAGATATGTCCATTTAGATTTGATGTTTTTCTTTCAGATATGTTGTCCACACTATTTTCTGCATCTTTTTTACTCTGTGTTATACCCATATTGACAATCAATGGGATTTTGATTACTTACTCTTCTAGACTATTTACAGGTATGTGCCCATTGCAAATATCTTCCTTCCTGTTTCAAAATTAAGAAAATAAGTAAAAATGTTATAACATTAGCATAGTTTAAAACGCACCATAACTTGTATTTTGATGTTATTTTTTTAATGTTTTCTTTATTGCAGTAATACCAGATATTGGATCAACAAGATTTGCTAATCTTTTACGGCTGGTTGGGGTTAAACGCTTGCCACATGTTGGTTTGTTTTCTCTATGTGGAATGATTACAGTTTGGTGTTCAACTACATTTATTGGTAGTAAATATTCCTCATTGACTCAGTCACCAGATGGGTAAATATGCTTACATCTTTTATCTAACATAGTTTGATCAAATCAAATGAAAATATGAACTAGTTTTACTCCAAATAATTTAAGTTAACAGTTAATGGAAATACTGAATAAAAAAATAAGATTGACAATTTATTGAAGACTTAACATGGTCTTGGCAATATTACATTTTGAAGTTATCTATTTACTGTAGTTGATCTGTTATTAATTGGACAAGTTCACCATAGGTTTGACCAAATGTACCTTGTACAGCCCACCATTGAAATTTGAGTCTTCAAAATATGTGTGTCCAATTTTATCCGTGTTTGATTGTTAAATAAGGACTTTAAAATTTGGATTTTCTCGAGTAAGTAATGTTATTTATCATTTTTTTTTCAGACATATTGTGCAATTAAATGAACACCACATATTTCTAGTAGTGTTCGGTTTATTTGAAGGTATCAGTTATTATGTTAAATTTGATTTGAATCATTTTAATTGTCTACAATTTCCTTTGATACAGGTAAGTCCGTTTTTCTTGATTTATCCGAAAGAAGTTAAAATGTAGCTGAGCAAGATTGTTGTGAATGGTGGTATTTGATTTTGCAAACAATGGTTTTGATGATAAGAATCTGAAGAATTTCCGAACCAGAAAAATCCATAATATAAGACAGATATGAATATTAATGCAAACTGTCCCAATGACTTTATTATCCTTTCTTTATAGAGAGAGAAGTTTTTTGTATTTAGAAGTTCTGTATGTGGTGTGTTTTTAAGAATGTTGAAAGAAACAATAAGAGAAATCAAATATTACTATTTACTGTACTATTTCTTTGGTATGTTGGTTTTAAAAATTGTTTGATTTTTTGTCTTTCAAGATACTGTTCTGTAAAGTTGAATAAAACTCTAGAAGTGAAGCAAAGTTGATTAAATTATATATTTTTTTTATTGATATAGGTGGAGCTATAACAAGTTGGATAGCTTTTAATTTAAATCTCCAATATTGGTAAGATTTATAAGTAGTACCACCGTAGATAGTTTGAGTTATAATGTGTTATATATTGAGTTGTGATAACTAATATATTCATTTGAAATCTCAATATTACAGTTGTCTCAATTAGAGCTTGGTAAAATGATCGAAATAATCTATTATCGTTGCCAGCAATTTATATTTTCGATTATTAAATTTCATAATATTTTTTCATAATTATATGTCCAAGTTACATTTTCTCCATTGTACCTATACACAAGTAGTAATCCCAGCCCTAGTCTTAATTCAAAATAGCTCATTACATACTCCAAACTTTTTTCAGATAATCCTTATCAGAACATAAAAGGATTGTAGCCTTATAAAACTAGTAAGCAATCTTGATGGACATCACAAACTATGTTCTACCTATGATAAATAAGCATAGATAGGCCTATCTAAGTGTCTCGTGGTTATTAAAGGTACAAAAATATGAAGCTTATATGAAATATTTTAGTCTTTCATGTATTCTCCTAAATTTATTTCAACTGATCTAGGTTCCCTTTTACAATTAGATGACATTGCTACTTCCCACTGGTACATCAATTATTCAACTTCTGGTATTTTATTTTCAGTAAAGATGATGTACCCCTGGACACGATATTTGGGTTATTAAACTTCTCATTATTGTGGCAAGTGGTAGTTCTGGGAATATATCTAAACTTTAGTTGGAGTATAGGTCATCTTATCTTCAAAATCTATCAGACTGAAGTAGGTCTTTTTTTTATATTGTGACATTTTTTCAAACATTTTTGTTATATGTTCATCACCGGCGTAGCTTGGTGAATGATGTAGCTATTAAAAAAGAATTTGAACTTTTTTTTGTAGAAATATGAATTCCATATTGATGCTGTTTTTGAAAAGAAAAAAAGTTTACATGATGCCTTAAACTGTAATAAACAACCCTTAGTCAAGGTACAGTTTTACAACTTTCTTATGTTTTGTTTGTTGATACTCTGGTTTGTTTTATATTGTTATACGCCCACATCTCTCTATGTGGACGTATATTGTCGGCACCCCTGTCTGTCCGTCCGTCAACAGAGTTATTGCCCTTGCCCCAAAATCTTGAATATGCTATTACTCTCTTAGTTTTCAACCAATTTTGATGAATGAAACTTAAAATGGATGTTATTGGACCTAAATCGAAAGGTTTGAGAAAGTTTACTTTACTTCTGATTAAATTTAAGGCTTTTTCAAGACTTAGGCCTCTTACGTCAGTTTTGAGGAGTTATCGCACTTAAACCTCTGTACGGAACATCAATTGCTCGTAAATGCTTGAAGGAATCAAATAGAATTTGGTATGTGCATACATATTCATGAAACAAAGGTCCGTCGTAAACAATTGCTTGTAAACGCTCTAAAAACTAGATTTTTTGATGGAATCAAATGAAATTCGGTATGTGTATACATTCATAAAACAAAGATCAAGTTCGAATTTTAGCTATTTTTGACCGTTAGAAGTAGAGTAATTGCCATTGCCCCAAAATCTTGAATATTTACCATCCGCATGCCGTTGTGGGCGTATATGGCTGGGGTCCACTATCTTTAAAGAGTGTACCTAATGTCCCATTACAAAATATGAGCTGACATACATTTTAGAATTCTTCTAGCCAATTTCTTGTTCTATGAGTTCACTTACTCTGTACTATGTCTGTTGCCATTTTGCCACGAATGGAAAGTTAACCCCAATTTCCTAACTAAGCCGTCTCGATTAGGATTGAGCATCTGAAATGGCATGCCAATTAAGATGTGCAGTATGTATCCCATTAATTATTTACATGTGTATATATATACATAAATGGACAAAATGGTGAGAATAACAAGTCAGTAAAAAATGGTACAATTTTGTGTTTCAAAGTGCTTTCAGTTTCTAGTGTTTGTAATTTTCCAGTATTTAGGATATCTAGATTTAAGTTATTTATCTAAATGTTCCTATGAAAGAAGACAACAAGTGTTTTGTTTAAGTCAACCAGGTGGCCATCCACATACATGGAATAAAATCAGTGCTGCCTGTTTAGCTGAATTAAATACTCTTAACCAGCAGATAGAAGCTGCTAATTGGCAAGCCTATTCAAACGTACCTGTTAAGAAAACAAGCAATATATTTGATAAAAATTATACTCTAGGTATTTATTTTTTTATCTTATATGCATATTCTCATACCATTATCGTGTTTTAAACAATTTGCATATTTGTATCCCTTTTGGAAATATTTTTTTTATTTTAAAGAAACAGCCATTTTTTAGCAAGAATAACAACTAAGGTTCTTGATAATCCTGACTTCCATCTAAATGTTGGCCAAACAAAAGTCAACCTAAGACTATCAGCACTATTTTGGTCAACCCAGTTTATTCGACTGGTATTATGAGGAAAGATGGCTATTTCAAGGTCACCAGACTTCACATGCCCACTGAGATAAGAACCCACAACCACCATTTGTTGGCCATAATAAGCAAGATCCTAACACTGTCAATGACTGCAGACCTCCCTTTGAAGAAACAAAGAGCAAAATAAAACATGGTCATGCACTCGCTTTCATAAGATAAAAACTTTTGTCCACTATGTTTCAGGTGAAACATCAGAAGATTCTATGTTTCATAGAACAACAAATGATAATATATCTGTAAACAAACACAATGGTTCAACATTTTCTATTGATACATCTACTGAAACTAAACCTAAATCTATTCCCTGGAAGGATAAGGTGTGCTTATTTCTTTGATTCGTTAGAAGGACTCTAAGAAGCTTGTAAGAGATGGTTTTGTATTATGCTCATTAGTGTTAACTCCAGAATAGAAACTTAAAGACTATCCTGGTAGAAAATTATGCCCACTATGTTCCAGATAATGTACAGAACAGTGAATGCTTTTTCTGTTTGTGTAAAAGTCACAAAAGAATAACACAAACCTAAGGTGTGCATATATCTTATCCTGTTTTTTTTTTGAAAATAGATATTTTTGTGACATTTAATCTGCAAAATACATTAGTTACATACAATTTTTATGAGGATCACTTGTGAAACTAAAGGCATGTTTTATTGATTGTAGCTATGTGGAGTAATGAGTAAAAAACCAATATTAGGCTATTTTATGGGCGAGTTACCAGATTCTAAAACTTCTCAATTATTTTGTTCATCACAAGTTCAGATTTGGGCTGTAGAAGGTCAGTGATGGAAATATTTTTTCTTTAGTTTTCAGTACATTATATGATTATTATTTTGTATATTTCTCTGTATAGAATTTTCAAATTTGATATCATCCCATAGAATCTAATTGATCTATTAGTTTTTGTAGGAACAATGATATAAAATGTTCATTTCAGCGTTATCTTACCTGATATCTGCATCGTACCATGAAGATAAGTTTGGAATAGTACAAAGATCATTACCTGTTATCATTTCTAGCCTTGTTAATCTACAAGAGGTAAGTTTTTAACTCTCTATTTTGTAGTAGTAACCCTAGGACAGACACCCAATACCACTTGACACTGCATTTACACTGCAAATTACCAAGTGATCAAATTTTCTTGTGACAAAAGTTCCTGTAACTTAAAAACTATTCTCCGTGAATTACCGTCACACAATATAGATGACGTAAAGCAAATACAAAAACTTTGATCAACAGTATTAAAAACCAGGAATGATTTTATTCTTTAGAATGTTGATAAACATTTTAAGCTGATTGCTCCTGCCCAGAAACGTCATCAGAAACAATGCAGTGTTAATTACAGTTTGTTACGACAAGAATTACAGGCAGTGCTCAAATCATCTATACACAGAATCATTGAAAGATTCGGTAAACATTTATGGTATGTATATCTTCAGTTTTTATACGCCCACATTATAATGTGGAGATATATTGTCGTCACCCATGTCCCTCCGTCCATCTGTCCACAATTGCCTTGTGAACGCGATAGAGAAGTTTTCATCTGATTCGAATGAAATTTGGTGTGAACATTTATATTGATGAGATCTTGGACAAGTTCGATATTCACTATTTTTCGATGAACAGTTTTTGTTTGTGAACACAATAGAGTGTACAGTTTTCATCCGATTTAAATAAATGTGGTAAGATCATTTATAATGATGAGATCTTAGTCAAGGTTGAATTTGACAATTTTTCGATCAACAGAATTTGAGTTATTGCCCATGACTAAGTAAAAACGCATCAAAATTTGTTGGCGAAAGAGGCGACAGTTTATGTTAGAATTGTTAGTGTGTGTTTGTTTAAATCAACAATATCTTGCAGAAATTAGACTTTTGGTTCGACTTGAAACAGATTGGTGACTGCCCTTGATATACTGAAAATGTATCAGGAAAATGGGCGTATCTTGCTAGGCCACTTGTTAACTTCTTATCTTAAAAAAAAATAAGTGCAAGTTATCTTGAATATTTTTGCATAGACTTTCAGTTCCACATGTCCTATGCAATCAATTTTTGATAGGCAGATGAGCGTAATCTTTCTCGCTGGTGGAATTCTTCATTTGAATAGAAAATTGCAAAGGTAAAATTGTTGTTGATGAGAGCAAGTACTTGAATGCATTTTTTGAACAATTTTAAGAATTGCTGTAGTTTGGCAAAAAAAAAAAGATATGTGTGCCTCTTGCTTTAAGACTCCATTACTATGTTTGATTTTTAAACCTGAACTAATTTTATTTCAGTGATTTGCCATTAAAGAGTGAAAGTATAAAGAAACTTAAACCATTTGTGGAGTTTAAAGAATAAAAAGTATGAAAATAAGGATTCAAAGAATACATAAGGAAATTTAGTGTGAAAAGTTTATCACACATTATCATGAGGTGCTAATAAAACTTTATTTTTCTTTGACAAAGATTCCAAGATGAGACAATAGATGGAAATCTATTATTATCTGACCTTCAAGGAGTAATCCATAAATATTAAAAAATGTGACAATGAACGCGAATTTAAGGATGATTCTTTGAAATTGTGTAAATTATAACATTCACAATGGTAAATGTATAAAGGGAATAAATGTGAGTGTAATGGTATCAATAGTGCCACTGTAAATATAATAAAAAAAAAGTGCTTGCTTTAATAAAAAACGATACATTCTAAAAGATTTTTGTGTTCACTTCCATTAACTTAGGTGAATAAGACCAAGTCATTGGCTGTTAAGACTGGCTGTGTAGTCTACCAGTTTTGAGGGGGTAGATGGTGCATTCAATCATGTTTCTAATGCCTATCCATTATTTTTCCAACAACATGGCGACCTATACAAATTCAGTTTGCTCAAATAGGTATATAGCAGTAAAAAGCATATATTTTAGAAAACTTTCATGTATAATTTACGTTTATATGAAAATCCACAATTGGCCACAGCACTGGATATACTGAAAAATTCATTGGGTAATTGGGTGTATCTTATATGACAACCACATATTCTGAGTTATTGTCCTTGACAAAGAAAAGAAGGACATGCAACAAGAGTCTGTCTGTATTGAAAATGTTCCTCCAAAAGATATTTCAATATAGTAAAATGACATCTTAAGGTATCTTAATATTTCAAATGTTTCTTAGGGAGGTCCTACATCAGCTGGCTATATTGATAACTAAAAATATCTGTCAGAGGTTGGACCACATTGTTCCACCGTAAGGCAATTTGTGAAGTAAAGTATTTCATAGTTTTAATAAATTTATAAGGACAGGTGTGCCATTTTAGGGGTTTGATTTGAGTATGTAAATAGTCTTAAAAAGTACAGTACAAGAAATGTACAAAAATCCTATAAATTCTTTAAAAATACTGCAAACTAAGAATTTTACTCACTATTTCTATATATATCTTTTCTATCACAGAGTATCTTAAAATGACAGTCGTCATTTTAACATTCAAATGCTGATAATTCTGGATACTCATGGAGTTGATACTAACATAGGTCCAGATAAAAACTTTTGGATTTTTCAACTCAGTTTCCCCTTGTCAGTTGCAGGTAAGAGGGCCAGTGTGCTACAGGCTGTGCAGGTTAATTTGTATAAAATTTGTTTACAGTAGTCGAACAGGGTCATTGTGCCAAGTCTCAGTACTCTATGGTCGGTTATAATAAAGTTTATTGTTCAATCACATAATTTTATCGCCAAGATAAAGTCATGAACATTTATTTGGACTATATTCCATAATTATTCTAGCATATTATGACCCAGTAAATCATGAAGCATAAATTAAGTTAATGTGCAAAGTCTGGGTAATTTTTAGACTCCCCATGCTCCTACAGTACAGAGATGTACTACTAGTATAAGATTACCGGTATGTTCCTATATATATATATTAATTATAAGCTTTCAATTACTCTGGCATCGTCGCGTTCAACCAAACAGAATTTAACTTAAAACTAATTTTATATCGCCTGGACAAAGTATATTAACGTTAAAATATTTATATGCACATTCCATGACCCAGAAACAGATTGCGTTTTAAATGAAATAGTCTAGTTGTCAGGCACGCTACAATGCAACATTTCAGTAGCAGCCATGTTGAATAAATTTCTGATCGGGTTACGGATAACTGACTTTATTTCTGACATGTCAACGCGCATTCCGCTATAGAAAATAGTTTCTCACATTTATGCCTTGTTTCCAATGTGCAATCATATTATATCTGTAAGACATGTATATATATTTCCAATAATCGTCAATAATCTCACACGGTTGGCAATATTTTTGCTGTGGGAACCAAGAGGCTGAAAAAGAAGAGGTCATTTTGCACATTCCGCGTATGAATATGGTTTGTTCTGACGCGATGAGTCTGGCAACAGTTGCCGTAGGAATAAACGCCATAGCCACCGTAGCTGTGACGACTGTTACCCACCAACAGAACTAAGGTGATTTTTCTTTACATTTGATTAGATGATCTCATCATCAAGTAGTGTTGATGTTGGAGATCCGATTAGTTATTGTTTTGAGTGAAAGGATGACTGAAAACACGATGAATTTGACTACAACATTGAAGTATGTTGTCAATCATTGTTGTATAAAAATGGCGAAGATATGCGGTGTTATTTTCGTTTATGCGGATCTCTCTCGCGGCAAATTTGAACGTGAAAAATGTCATTTTATAATAAACTATTCTACTACATTATTTTTGTATTTCTACTTGATTATATCATTTCCTGTAGCCTCAGATAAAATTTTAAAATGTGATTGGGCACTTAAATGAGATCCAGCTTGTCACTCTCACCGTCCAACGCAGCAGATGGGTCTATTAATATTATATTTGTCTCTACTGACATACTTATTTTCAATTCGTTCTTATATTTAGCTTTACTCCAGTTAAAAAGTCTTAACTACTCCTTAGGCCTATATGCTTTTCGTATGAATAACCTTTGCTCTAACCTGATAACCTCTGTCTTAACCAATCGAATTACACTTGGTACAACTGTTAATCGTTCAGCACAATGTATAAACTTGTCTAATGTTTAGAAAACATTGTTCCCTCCTTTGTTCGTTTCACATAATCCCAGCGCTGGAAAGGGACAAAATTTTATTGGTTGGTGGTATTATGATGCTTATGGAGATGGTGTTATGAATCAGTTTAATCGAATAGAGAGGAGTGATTAGACCCTAAACTGGAGTGGTTGCTTAAAAATAAAAGCCACTTAAGTTACGGAATGAAAATTTGGACTAATTTTATTTAAGCTTAGTAAACCTTACTATGGTTAGGAATTTTAGGTTGTAACATTGCTGTTAAGCAATGTTACGAAAGCTAGGTTTAGGCTTATCATTCCCTTCAATGCTACATTGGTGTTCTCAGAATTGTGCCATTTCTGTAGTTTCTAGTTTATCAAATGTTTAAAATAAAGCTTGCAATTTTGTGACATTAAGCTTGACTAGAGATAGAATGTCTTGGTCCATAAACCTTATTTTGATAAATAAACCATGATAATATAAGTGTATTCAATATAGTGCAATTAATGATAAACATAAGAATTATGGTTCCAAACCAAGCCTAATTGAAGCTGTCAGGTAGCAATTCTTCGCTTCATGGTTTGACCTAAACATTCTGTCATTTTCAATGATAATGTAATACTAATAACTTTATTAGACATCTAGTAGCACAATGAATTTTCTCTCAGCATGTTTTCTCTTTTTCATTCCAGACAAATGATTAATGGCGACCCAGACGTTTGTAACAGACCTGCAAGCCATGAACCCAGCAGCTGTACAACAGGTAAGGTTAATTCACAGTTAATATTTGATATTTCATTTTTTTCACGTGGACTCATTTCATTTGATTCTGAAAAGTCTTCATACTATTGTCAATTCTGAACTATTTTCAATTCAGGCTTTGGGGTTAAATTTAACAGCTGATGGGGTAAGTGTTTTGGTTTGCAGTGCTTACTAACAAAAAACGTTGAATTCTTTCTGTCTTGTTTATTTCTATTATTAATATTAAAAAAAAAAAAAACACATCAGACTCTTGTCTTTCAATTAAAAAAGATACTAATGTCTCTAGTTTACTGTTTTATTTTTTCTTTCATAAAAACTAATTTAGTGCCCTAGTTATGATCTTTTATGAAATGTGATATACGTATGATTTGCGAATATATGTAAGCTTATATTCCTATTATTCATGATATCTCAAGTCCTTTATCTTGTGATTATTTCAAATTTGTGGCGGAACAGTTTAAAATATTGACACGGTCAAATGATCATAGTGCATGATCTCAATTTTCATCATAATTCTTCCAACAAGATTTAGTTTGTCACTAACAATCTTTTGATGATTTTTATGTCTTATTTGTGATATTTATTAAGCTAAGAATACTCTTTTTTGCACTGCAGATCAATTGTCGAAACATCTTGTGAACTTTTCAATACAGGCACTAATCTTGTTTTTAAAACAAGTATCAATTTCCAGTTTATTCAAAGAGTATGTTTCTTTTTAGACTTTAGTGAAAGCAACAACACCAAATGATCAACAGACTAATAATCAGAAAACTACAATAATTCAACCTTCTGCAGCTCATAGTGGTTCACAACAATATATAGTTACAACAAGTAAGTTTATTCTCCCATGAAACACTAATTTGATTGTTTAAGCAAACTCATATACTGAAATGTTTAATGTGAAGGCATCTTGGAATTTCAAGATTTCACTTTACAAATTTTAAATACAAATTGATGGTTGTATATTTATCTTGATAAATTCTTCCTTTATCATTACAGCATCAATGGGAGATGGTGTAGATCATGGACAAGGTGGAGAAGCTGTAACTATTAATCAAGGACAGACAGTTTATCCAGCTCATGTCCAGTACGTAGATGGGACTGATTCCGGCCTCTATGCATCCTCAAATGGGCAAATGTACGATATAAGGGGGTAAAGAGATCTAGACGTGATAGTAACAGTTGTGTTCAGAGCAGCATGTACACAGTTCTTTTGATTTCCACAGGCTTTTTCAAAGTCAATTAGCACCATTTTAATTATGATTTCTTCTGTTTTTTCTGTTTGCATGATATTTATTTTGTTGTTGTGTTTTTGTTTAATACTTGCACTAAGTTGACTATTCACACTGCCTATTTGATGTTGCTTTGTTGTGTCTGTAATAATTTGTAAAGATAATCTTATTGTTTTATCAAATAGAATTTTATTTTAAAGGGGAGGTTTAATTTCAATTCATACAATGATTTTATTGCTTAATTTGTAGTGTATATTCTCTTCTTATTGTTTTTCTAAATGAGGATCTTTCAGTGGATGTTGTGAACAACAGGTTTTTCTTTGGCTAATTCTAGGCAGACGTATCATCATGAATATGGCCAAGGAACAATGTATACCCCTGTATCTGGTGCTTATTATCAACAATTACATGGAGGACAGGTGAGATTTATTTGTGTTTTTTTTTTATGTATTTCTTATTTTCTCTTGTCTCCTTGAGTTGTTGATTGCCCATTGAACTTGAAGTTAAGGATTCCATCCACTGAAAGCTTAAGTGTTTTTTGCTTTGTTAAAATAGATCTTGTCCATTTAGACCAGAAAACTTAAAAACCATTGTATTAAATTTTACAGGTGTCTGGTTTGGTACCTGCTGGATCTACTGTTCAGACTGTACAAGGGCAGATAATTCAGCAGTCTGGTGGTACATATCTTATACAAGGTGGTACAATGGATGGTGAAGGCACACCTTTAACACATACAACTAGAGCATCACCAGCTACGGTAACATAACTTGCCTAGTTTCCATTTATCCTATTTTGTTATGTCAGTATATAGGCTTTACCTAAGTAGTAGTTAAAAGAAGCAGTACCAAATTTTAAGCTTATACCACATATCTGTTTGAATAAGAATATTGTAGGTAAATGTGGTGACAGTCCAGTGGAAATATTCTTAAAGTAATACATTTGGAGGACAGTTTTAGAAAAATTGGCTATTAATCGTAAAATTTGGTCTTCTTTTGTAATGTCTTTTTTCTTCTTTAAACAATAATCAATTGTATTTCATTTTACAAAGGTACCACAATAATGCACATGGCCAACCTTTGATCATCTTTTCCTTCTTTTCGAAGTATGCTGGTCTTTATGCAAGGAAAGATGAATGTTATGATTTCTACTAACACATGTTCTGTTAATACAAAAAATGATATTTAACGATCTATTTTTTGATACCATATTTGATTAAATATGTCAATAAGGATCTATTATTTTATATTTGAAATATTTTACTTCAAAATATTGATACCACTAATCAAATTAAAATCAATGCATGAAATAAAGAGAGAAAAGATTTCTACACCCAATATATAACATTTCTCTTTGCATGATTGATAGGAAATTCCATTGCTTAGTTTTGCTTTTTGCTACAAATTAGTACAAAGTTGCAGCTGCTTCTAAGTTTTTAAATCAAAAAAAGCACTTGATGTCAAATGTGGATCTTTATATATAATTCTATAACTTGATCAAGTATGGTATGGAAACAAACTATATTTATTTATATTGAGATGTATTAAAGGATCACGCAATCACCAGGTGTTTAACATTGCGATCTTTTTCTCTTTTCTTTCTGCCCTCTTTATGTCATCTGTTAGTTGTTAGATGTATTTGTAATAATTCAGTAATAATGCTTTAAATACGGAATGTGCATGCCTTGATCCTATCACTTGTAACCAAAATTTTGTATTTGTTGTGTGTCCAAAATTTGAAATTTATCAAATATTATTCATTTGTGTACTTTATAATTCAAAAATTAATTTTGCACATTTTCACTACACAACAGTTTCCAAATGAAGGCAGCTTGGATCCCTCAGTTAATGTTAATGGTCATCTGGATTTTGCGTGTTCCCCTGGTACATCTGTACATGTAGGTGCCATTCTTTACATTCTTTTATATTTTAATTAATCTTTTACATCATGAATCTAAACTGTTTTTTTATTCTAATTCTTTAACTATTTTAATTGTCTTCTAGCTCATAGACTTAGAATGTGGGATTAAATCAGACCAATTACTCTAGTTGATGATATAACATAGTTGATATTTTTATCTTTATTTTATCTGATAAAATTAGTCATGGCTAGTCTGTCATGTACGCTTCTTAAATAAGAGAAATTAATTTTCACTAAAGGTCCAATGGTTGTTAGATAATTACGAGACAGCTGAAGGAGTGAGTTTACCAAGAAGTACACTCTACTATCATTATTTAAGACATTGTCAAGAAACCAATTTAGACCCAATGAATCCAGCATCATTTGGTAAATTGATCAGATCAGTATTTCTTGGTTTAAGAACAAGACGTCTTGGTACAAGGTAATTTCATTTTCTCTTTTAACAGAAAACAAAACCAAATCCTGCTTATAAGCTACTTAAAATGTTGATTTGATATTGAAAATATTGAGTTCTGTTGTCAGAATTGCTATCTAGTTGGGTTTTGAGTAAAACACTTCACCCTTTCTGCACACACCTTGCTATGTTATTCATTTCTATCTTTAGTGGTTAAGAATGGCTCATTTTATGTCTACCACATTGATTTTGTCTGCTTCTGAACAAATGGATTGAGATTTTGAACCCTGCCAATTTGTGCTGAATTATACCATGTTTAAGTCAACTTTATTTCGGCTTTTAATTTCAAATAAATGAACCTTAATTTGCATTAAATTTGAGATGTACCTCTATTTGTTTCAGGGGTAATTCTAAATATCATTATTATGGCATACGAATAAAAGCAAACTCACCATTAAATCAGTATACAGATGATCAAACTATGGCTATGAGACAACAGCCTATGTATCAAGCCAAAAAGTAAGTTTCTATAATTCGTTAGCATAAAACAAAGTTCATGATAGAAATTTGGTCACATGTGAAACTTTTTCATGCAAAAACATTTTTCTATCTCAAACTTAAAATCAATGCCTGAATATAACCCATCAAAAAAGTTATTTGCCTTTCTTTGTCTATCTTTAGTAACTCACATTAAATTCTAAATATATTTTTCATTTGTGCTACTTTTATCATTGTTTAATTGTTGATATTTAATAATATGATCAAAATTGTGTGAGGATAATGTGATGTTGATTATAGGCCATCAAGTAGTAAAGTTGATGGTGAAAGTGATACAAGTCAACCTGGCAGTAATAATCCAGGCTCCAATGAAGGAAGTCAGTCTCAACAACAGCATCAACAATTTTTAGGTGATGCTTCATTAGCTATACCTAATTTTGATGAAATAGATATGTCAAGCAACCCACTACCTGAAGGTATTACGATACAAGATGTTCGAATATTTGAATTATTATACAGAGAACATGCAGAGGTATTTATCAAAACTTATATTTGTTACATAAATGTGATTACTTTAATAAAATATTACCTTGCTCCTGGGGAAAAAAATCATAACATATAGTGGGTTCAAAAGTAGCCGGCAGCCGGCGAAAACCACCGTTTAAAATCCTCATTTTGTCCCGTTTTCGCCGGCTACTTTTCGTTGAAAGCACGTAAAAAAAAATGTTACTTTCGCTTTTATAAATCGAAATTTTACGGTATCCGTATTTTTACAGAAAACGAATTCCATAAACGCTATAGACGCCGTTGCATAGGACTTTCTACTATTACCCTAGATAATCATGCTAGACTGGATGTCCTAATCTAATGTGATCTGTATCTTCGTTTCATAAAATCCTTTTATAATTTTATGACAGCCCGTAAACTTTCCGTTCTTGCATTTGTTTTTCTGACCAACTTATGCAGGGGACAAAATAACCGATATGACATCGCTAATTGAGATACAATTTTAAGCAAAATAGAATGTAATTTTCGTCGGTAAAGCATTTTTTTTTCAACCTCTGGATGAAAAACAACACTAATGTTCACGCTTTTGGGAACCGGGATATGGCTTAAACTTGCTTGGTAGATCTGGACAATCAGGTAGAATTGAAAAGCTTCGTCAGTTTCAGAAAGATATAAAACACTTTTAATTTAGAGGGATTCTTCAAAAAAAATAATGACAGACTTATAAATATTCATAACTGTATAAATCGCAACCCCGAGCTTCCTATATTTATCGGTTAGTTTTGTCTCTCTCAATCGAGATTCATACGCGTACGACCTTGAAAATTTAGACTCAGTGTCACGAATAGATACAAATAACAGTAACAAACATTATATTATTTCTATCTTTGACTTTGAATAGATCAAAAAATGCAATTGAAATATAAACGTAAGAAAAAAGTCTTTGTTGAAGACAAGTTGTTGGATATGTGGTATTTCTACTCAAAATTATGGTGTCTACGTTATGCCAACTTGTTTACTTTTTGCGTCCGGACTGGTAGTACACTATTATGTGACAGATATTCCCCGATTAATTCGAATGTATAGGGGTGCATATTATACGGTAATTAATATTTAGAAACACATTTTGTATTAAAATTACTATCATGTGACAAGGTTTTTACACAATTATGATCCCATTCTTAACTTTGAAATTTGTAGAGCTGTTCTATATTCTTGAATGTGCTGTGCATTTTCAATTGTGGCATTAAAAACAAACTGCTTCACTAAGTTGTTATGGAAATCCATCATAAAGCTTAAAACTTATGTTTCATTAATAAATTAATTTGTATTTATCCTAGTCTGAAAAGGACCAAGATGGAAGTGTCAATTTTGGTTCAATCCTCTCAAGTGCCAGGATTATGCATGTCTGATGTTTCATTTTCCAAATTTTCTTTTGGGAGGTCTAAACTCCCCTTGACATGACCAGCCTCCTACTTTTCTGAAACTGCCCCCTACTTTAAAAACTTTTGAACCCCCTGAACATAATGTCAATGCTGTGGATAGAGTTTGCAAACTTGATAAGCATGCATGCGTTATCCATTTTTAACTACACTTAATTCCATCATCTTATATCACAAGACTAAATATGATTTGAACATATTTTTCATTTTAATTATAGGCTATAGTTGATGTGGTTGTAAATTTACAGTTTTCTCTAATTGAAGCTTTATGGCAGGGATTTTGGAGAAACCAGCCGATCGGTGAACATCAAAAGTAAGCTATCAGTTTATATTACTTTGTTTGAAAAACTTTGTATCTTCATTCAATTAAGATGAACTTCATTATTGTGTTGTGTTGATTTAAAGCATTTTACATTTCAGTGCTGAAAATGATTTTGAGAAAAAATTACCAAAAGAAACATTATTCGCTTTGTGTAAATATGATCCTGTCCATGTGTTTGTACGAAAGTCTGATTATGCTTTTTACCAAGCCATTATAGAGGTGCTAATTCCTGATGTCCTGCGACCTATTCCTAGTAAGTATCATAAAAAATTGCATTGCAAAGATTTTGTACTTTATGATCATATTTGGTTTTTTTTGTCTGAACGATATTTCTAAAGTTGCATTTGCAGAAAAACAACTACAGCAAATACCTCTTGCTAGAATAGTTGGGTCTCTTGTCAAGACTTTTGTTACATTAACATAGCAGACATTGGATGGGATAAGCACTATTGAATCAATTTCAAATGCTTTATGATGTTTTATTTCATTCAGGTTCCCTGACTCAAGCTATTCGAAATTTTGCTAAAAGTTTAGAAAATTGGTTAAAATCTGCCATGCAAGGTGTACCTGATGAAATGATAAAAACAAAAGTAAGTTAGGATAGATTCTATACTGAAAAAAACTGTATGTTTATCAAATTAATATTTTGTTTACTGAAATAGTCACTTTGTTTACCAAAATAGATATTTTGTTCAGAGATCACACAGTAATACTCAGTCTAATAACATATTTCAGATTTTGTTGTGCAAAAACTGCATTTTGAATTAATTTCTGGTTAAATTGAATAATGCTTTCTATTTTAGATTGGAGCTGTTAGTGCCTTTGCTCAGACATTACGACGATATACATCATTAAATCATTTAGCCCAGGCAGCAAGGGCAGTTTTACAAAATACATCACAGATTAATCAGATGTTAACAGATCTCAATAGAGTGGATTTTGCCAATGTTCAGGTTGGTATTTTTGATCTTCATAGTATTTTACTTTCTGTCAGGAAGATTTCTGTGAACATATGTAACCAAAACTGTGTATAAAGCAGGGTTTTTATGTTTCCATCAATTTCATAACTTGATAAAAGTTTTCCATTTTACCAAATGCGTACCAAAGTGGGTGTAATCCACCTTCTTTATTTGAAAGCTGGAACATAATAATAAAGGTATTTGATCTTTTCATTATAGTTAAATCTTAGAATAGGCTAGGACAAAAAACCTCAACCTTGTGTGGGCGGGCTGTGCTCGTTAATGATCCTTCGTTCATTGGAAATCAAAAAGGAGTAGGCTAATGCTGCTATCTTTGCAACTTTCCCTATTGCTGCATGGGTTTTTATCCATCTTCATTAGCCCATTAGGTGCAGAATAGGACAGACTCCATTCATTTCATTTCATTTTCAAATAAATAAATGAATTGTTGATAATAAACCTAACCATACAGCAATATAGTGTTTATAGTTTTTGTTTGTTATTTTGTATGTATAAATATATTTTTCAGGAACAAGCATCATGGGTATGTCAATGTGATGATGCAGTCGTTCAACAATTAGAACAAGATTTTAAGAAAACATTAAAACAACAAACATCATTAGAACAATGGGCTATATGGTTAGAAAGTGTTGTCAACCAAGTATTAGTAACACATGAAGGCAGTCCTAATTTTCCTAAAGCTGCCAGACAATTCCTGCTCAAATGGTCTTTTTATAGGTAAGTAAATCATATCAGACAGAAAACACTTCTTTTCTAATTTTTACTGTCAACTTTGTGTTTTTGTTATTCAAATTCTGTTCACCCATATTTTTACATCCAATGATAAATGTACAATTTTAACATGTTCTCAGACATTACAGACTTATAGCCAGTCAAAGGCTTGATGTTGACTTTTTTTTTTTGCACAAGCCTTATCAATTTGGTCTTCTTCCCATTACCTCTTATTTTGATTTGAGATTGAATCAAAGTTTATAAGATCATCTTTCTATTTCAGTTCTATGGTAATCAGAGATTTGACTTTACGCAGTGCAGCTAGTTTTGGATCATTTCACCTGATTCGTTTATTATATGATGAGTATATGTTTTATCTAGTCGAACATAAAGTAGCAAGAGCTACAGGAGAAACTCCTATTGCTGTCATGGGAGAAGTAAGACAGGTATGTGGTTATTTTATAAATTGTGCACTTACTGCTGCTTACTCTTACACTCACAGGAGCATTCATATTATATTAAGAAAAAAGTAGTTTTGCAGTTTGTATAATATTATGGTAATTAATGAAGAGTTTTTGCACTCTATAGTCTGCTTCAATTAAGAAGACATAACTTTTTCTCGATTATTTGTGTATGTAAATAATGCCATTGCTGTTTTTCAGTTTTCGGATTTAAGTAGTGCAGTAGCACTTGGTTCATTAGAAGCAGATAAGAAGCCAAGTGTTACTTCAACAGCAACAAAAATAGTGAGTTCAACACCAGCAACATCAACTAATACAACTGTGATGTTGGTAACACCATCAGGTACAAATACATCTAGTACAGCGTCTACCACTCAAACTGTGACTGTCAGACCAACTAGTAATGGAATCGGTGGTACTACAGTAAACACAACTACAGGAAATAAAATAGTTGTTTTATCATCTAATTCCACGACTGGATTACATAGTGGAACTAATACCTTAACTCCTGCTACCGGTAGTAATCCCACCACATTGACAGTACGACCGGCTATGGGTGCTCCTGGTAACACTAAAACACATACAATATTAGTAATGCCTGTATCTTCTACTGCAGGTACTGATGGTCCTCAAGTAAAAAGGTTAAAATCAGAGTAATTCTATGTTTATTTTAATTAAGTTCTGTTACTTGTTCCAGTTAGTTATTTGTACAAGATTGCATGCGATTATACATTTCCAAAATATCATTAATTTATTGATATCCCAATTAGGGCTGGGTAGGTATCGATTATGAAATTTTAACTTTGTAGCGATAATAATTATTTTACCCAGCCCTAATCCAAATATTTGATATACTTATACATAATCACCAAATTTTATAAAATGAAAGCAAATATTTACAAAGCATTTGGAATTCACTTTGCTTAATAAAATTATTTTAAATTTTGTGTGTTGTGTTCACATTAGAAGTTAATGAATTCAATATTTCCTTTATATTGCGAATTCCAGGTTTAATTTTAGTGTTTTAGTGCATGCATTTTATAAGACTGAAAAAACTGCTGACATGAACGTATTATAAGAGTAATCAAAGGCTGTATAGTATTTCTAATTCAATTCTATTTTTTTAAAAGATAAAATAGTTGCATGTTTATATTATTGTTGACTACATCATTTTATGGAAGAATTATCAATGACATTTTAGATGTGGTTTTTCTATTGATGCTTACTTAATTCATTTGTTTGTTTATTTCAATAGATGAAATGTGTCATAATGTATATAAATTTACCATTATAAGAAGCCTTATTAATGTATATAATTGTGTATAGTATTTTATCATGAACCACAGGTTGGTTTTGTTCCCTCCCCACCCCTCACTGTACATAATATACCTAAATAAAGGTACTCCTTATTTATTATTTCACATCTCTTTAAATGTTGCAATTGGGTTTGAATGTTTATTTTTTGAGTGAAGTTAGTATTTTTTAAGAATTCGATTTTGCCAAATGAAGATAAGTTTAGTCTCAAAAGTGGTAATTACTATTTGAAAAGTTTTTGTTATTTGCTACTTGTTTTTCCTTTGTGATTTTGAATAGTTTTTATTGTCATTTTGAACCATAGTCTATACCTCAGTCTTTAAATCAGTTAATATACTTATATTTGAAAACAATATTTTTGGAGGATTCTTAACGAGATTTGTAATGAAGTTTTCAAATCATTGTATGTGTATCAGGGACACTGATAGCATCAATTTGCACCATTCTAATTTTCATTCAGACATCTGTGATTCCTGCAATTTCACTAAATTCAAGCATTTGATGAGGTCATAAAATATTTTGAAAACCTCTTTACAATCCTTTTAAGAGCCAATACAAAGTGCAAATACATCTAAGCAATTTAGAAGGTAAAGAATTTGACACATTTACATGAAAGCTGGTTGCAATACGTCATGTCATTTCATTTTGAACTCAGAAAATTTTATATACACAAAATTGATCAAAGCTCAACACCTGAATAGAAGCTCTAAAATTTCATTTCGAATCTTAGCAGTATTTTTTTTTATTTAACAAAGCATTTGAAACTTGTAGTTTAGACTATGGTTTATGGAAGTGAATAAAAAAGATGTTCTGATGTATACATTTTTTTATGTTCACAGTTCAAAGTATTTTGTGAAGTTAGATTTAATTGATCTTATAAGTGTTATTAGATCTTCAGAGTTCGTTAGTCCTAATGATCATTAAAGTCCATCGTTTGTCATTTTTTGGTGTCGATCGTACTATGATCTCAGAATCAGAATTGTCCAGCTTAGCTATGTGTATCCATAATTATCTATGTTTGAAAGTTAAAAAGACACATGCTTTTCGCAAGATTTTCCATCTAGAAGAACAGATGATAACACAGTAGTCTCAATCATTCAGTCCCACTTCATCTACGCATGGTTGCAACAAAAGATGTTTGGGTGTCAGAGAATAAATAATTATTTCTTGTTTATTGTATTATGAAGGTATTATGCAAATTTCGTTCAGTCCTAGTACTTTTGAAGACTATTCCAAGACCCAAATCAACGCCCAAAAACAGCAAAGAATGGACTTTAATATCTCAACAAAATGGCAATGAATTACAATATTGGTTTTATCTAAACAATACATACTGGTTCTAATAGATTAGAAATAGAGCATAGAAAGTGAAATATTTGTGTTCCCTTCTCTGTATTGTTTTCAAATTTAAGATAATACAGAAATGGAAACCAGTTTTTGCTCAGTAGATAGAGCAGTTGTAATGGAATAGTATTAGGAATAGTATTATAGATGATCAAGCTCAATGTAGGAAATAAAGGAATATTATTTTTAGAGTGATAGCAAAGTTAGATATTCATTTCTGTCACATTCATTTAGTTTGCATTTCAAATCACTTTAGTATTATTGTATGATGGTTAACTTGCTTTATTTTAAGAATTAAAATGATCTTTTTTCATTGTGCCCTGAACAGAATATACAGCAAATTAATTATCATTCAATCTCTTAAAGGGATGTAGTTTTCTAATTATTTGTTTTTCCAGCTGTAGGGGGATCAGTTCTACCTATTTTTATCAATTTTCACAATAAAATTCTACAGTGAAATATATAGCAATGATAGTAGCAACAGCAATTTTAAGTTGTTTCAGAAAACTTGAAATAATGTTATTATTATCTTTAAACTGGATTTGATTTTCATTCAAACCTTAATTAAGATTTTAGTGTTTCAGTCATTTGATTGGTCAATTGCTGTATTTCTTAAAATCTTACATTTATCATAATAAATAATATTTGATATAAATATTTGTGAAAACAGAAATGTATTAAGTACAGATGGAATTGCTGGGAAAGCAAATATTTAGATCTAAAATCTGCACTGTGTTCAACAAAACAGGTCTTTTTGAAGTAAGCATGTTCGTCTGATGTCCTAAAATAAGGCTCAAATTTTCGCACTTTTGGTATTTATTAACCTGTAATCTGGCATATGGAAAAAATGCCGTTGACTCAAATTTGACCTTGATATTGTAATGTTGGTTATTATTGAAAATGCTACAGCTCCTTATAACCAATTTTCATTCAATTTTGCATGTAGATATATTACCAAAAATTGAAGATTTCACATGGAAAAGTTTCTCATTTCAGCAGCTGCATGCTGAAGTGGATGATTTTAGATGTGATCCAATATCTTATTAGGTTTTGTCTGCTGACTGTTTCGTATCTTGGCATGTTATATCGGTCATTGACTTGCAAGAAGACAAAATAGAAGTACTGAACGCAGTGCAGATGTAGTTTTAAAGTTAAGAAAATCACATTTTAGAAGGCTTGTGATAACTGCTGGTTATTTGTAATGTGAAATTAAGTTTCTTTAATGTATTGATGAAAAATTAATAAAGTAAGATATATTTTGTCACTGAAATAATAAAATATACAGGCCATGTGATTGCATCCATTGGTAAATAAAAACTATTTAAACACTTCATATTTCTTCACTTCTTCCCAAAATCTTATAAATAGTGCTGTCATCATGTGGGTTTTTGTACATCCATATCAAGAAAGTAAGATCTATACCTATTAATATATATAGGATAACCACAACCTACTTGTCCTTGGATTTTCTGTAACCATTTATTTCAGATTTGAATGTAATTATTGGAAACGATGACTTTCACTGACAGAGATGGGAATCCATGACTACATAATCATGGAATTGACTTTATGCTTCCAACATTCTAACCGTTTGTGACACAGACCACCCTCCTGAGTAGTAGTCTGAGACATCTGCCCATATTTTGTCAGTGACAGCTGCTACAATAGGGGATCTAATCTACCATGGACAAGAACATTACTCAGATTTTCATTCCTTTTGTAAGCAGTCACCAATCGTTTAGTATAGATATTTGGGAATTCGTCCTGAAGTTCTTTATAAAAGCGTTTGACAATCACAGGGGCATTTTAAGCTGTAGAATTGTAGGTGGCAAGGAAAGGTATAATTTGATTGTCATGCTGTGTATTTAGGCGTTTAGGTATCTAGAAACTCTCCCTTTGCAATAGCTTGGTGTCAGATTACGTGACCGTTCACAGGCATATTATTATGACATTCTGGGGTTTAACAAAAGGTGTTTTAATGTTATTTATGGACTCATTCAGACCAACTATATATCAGTTTTGCGGGCTATACAGCAACTCTATAAACTTTCTAATGCGCATGTGTGGCTTAATAGAGAGTGGTGGGCAATTTGTTTCGTCTTCATATTTGCGTTTCAGTCTGTTCATCCCATATCGTCCTTTTAATCTCTAGAGTAATACCTAATACACATAGCTTCAAAATGGGAATGTTTATCAGTAAAGCTATGGATGAAAACATGAAAAAGCAACAGGAATTCATGATGCAAAATCAAATAGTAATGGTAAGCTGCGGGTTCAATCAACCATATCCGTCGACTGTATCCTCCTGCATTATATTATTATGCCTATCGAATACAACTACTAGTTTTAAATAAATATTACAATATACTAGGTCTATGTCCTTTCGGAGTATTTAAAGCCATTCCGTACCACAATAAACGGATATATAAGATTATCCAGATCTCATTACTAATAATCTGGGTACGGGTATATACTTACTTATCAATATCACAGGATACCAGGCCTATAAAGCATTGTCAAGTAGGCCTATCAATACAAAATCATTGAACCAAAACGAATTCCTTTGTAAAGTTTCCTTAAAGGGACAGATGTGCCATTTTGCGGGTTAAGTGTAAATAGTCTTCAGAAGTACTAACAATGTACGAAAATCACATAATTTCTCCATAAATATCTTATTATAGAAATAACTAGAAATTTCAGGAGTTCCTATTCTATAGATGTCTTTTCTATTTAAGTGTCTCAAAAACTTTCAAGCGCTGATAATTCTGGACACACATGGCTTTAAAGGTTCAAATTTCCACATCTCAGCTAAAACAATTCCAGTTTCTGAGACCAAGGTTTGATTGGTCAAAAAAATGGAGCATCTATCCCTGTAAACATTTTTAATAGACTTAAAGTTTCAAGGGAGTGATAATTTTGGCTTCATATAGTTTAAATAGGGGAATTTTTAACTAGCTGATGCATTTGTATAGCCATGGAAACCTATGACAAGGGACATGATGTAGCCACAATTTTTTTTTTTTATATATATATAGCTTGAGCGACAAATTCAAATGCAGAATCAAATGAGAGAGAGACAAATGGCTATGCAGATTGCAAGGAGTAGGGATATGATTTTATGGTATGGTTCGTTTTATGTTTTTGCTGCCTTGGGATCCATAGCAGGGTTGGTATAATTATGATTTTCTGTTATAAGAAAAAAATTGTGTCATAGATAGGCAAAGCTAAATATGTAGAATACTATAGTAATAAATGCTAAAGATGAAAACTAAGCTCTGTCAGCTTAAGAAGGTAAAATAAATGTAATTGAAGTGTTCAATGTATTTCTCAAAATGGAAATACTGGATTTTTTATTTCAGATACCGCAAGAAGGGTAACCCTGCATTTATAGCTCCTTTAATACCATTGACTTTATTATTAGCCTATCAATATGATATGGCACATGGCAGTAAAATGATCAGAATTAGAGGTAAACGTATTCTCATTCATTTAACAACTTTCATTTGTGCTATGGTCCTAAAAACCCAGTTGGCTATATTTTTTGTTAATCATGAATACGTATAGCTTCAGAAAACTGTACTTAGTAATTCTTTGTGATAAAAATGCCTAATAACTGGTGAGTGGTCTTGCTTCTCTACCTTACTTTACTGCCAATTAACAACAGATTTGATTTGGAAAGGGAAATAACTCATTGAACGTACCATATTCATAGGCGTTCCTACCCACAAAATATAAATGTTTTACATCAAAAGACTAATGGAACTTGTAACCTCTTACAAGAAATAGAGTGAGCTTGAATAACAAAATATTTTTTTTTTTTTTTTAGCTGAAGCTGACCGAGTCTTAGATCTAGAGTCTGAAGTAATAGAAATGCCTCATGGCTTGCCAACCTTTTCTCAAATTGAAGCTGGTAGATTAAAACAGAAAACTGAAGAAAGACTAGGTCAATCTCATGATATTTTCTTATAATCAAAAGATAATTTTTGAAATGTTCGTCATATTTAAGGTAATATCGAAAAATTTGCAATCTGGAATTATTGCAATTTAAAAGCATTTGATTCTAAGAAAAATCATCAGTTTTGGCAAACCTTCATGACCTTTGAAGAAATTAGTTGACATCACTAGTAATTTGGTTTTTGGTCCTTCATGAAAATTAAATGAATTGAAGTGCAATTATATTTCTAAAGCTTAATTTTTGACAGTCTGAAATAAAACCAAAATCTCAGGGATGTACTGTAATTTAAAAGTGATGCCTTTGAACCAATTCATTTACAAAACTTAAAATATCCCTTTTCTTCCACTTATTGATAGATATTTACATACATGGTTTTTTTCACGCAAATATATATAAATGTGTAGAGTTATAGATCTATTGTTATTTATTAAGTAATTTTTCTATCTATTTGCTTTGTTTTAATTTTGTACTCTGTTGAATTTTATTTTGTTATTGTAATAGTTTCATAAACAATTTATAACATTCTGTGTTTAATATATTTGCATCAGGCACAGTATGGTATGATAACCTTGGGGTTTATAGTTGATCTCTGCATAAGTTGAGATACTACCTTACATTATTTAAGCCTGGTAGAACCATCTACAAAAATGAATAATAATTTTTGTTAGTCAATCAAACCCTTACAATTTGGTCCAGATCTAAAAAAAAACCTGCTAAAGTTGGCTTCATTTCTATTTAAATTGTATAACTCATGATCCAAAATAGTTATAAAATATATAGAATACATAAAAAAAAAACAGTATCCTTTTTTCATAAAACAAAATATTTTCACTGTTAGAATGGTGCTCAATACAGCAATCATGGAATTGTGTAGAAAGGCAGTCAGAAATAGGCCAGTTGTCTGAAGATTGCACAGCGTGAAACTCTGAGTAACAACATGTCTCAGGTTATGTTTTAATATTACAGAATAAACATTCAAATCTAAAGTCAAGACTGGTATCAAGAAAACAGGTTTTCACTTTTATGAAGAATGGTGTGATGGTGATTAATGTCTATCTGTTGATTTTTCTCTATATTACATCTGGATGTCTGACAAATATTTTGGAATGCTATTAATTTAGTTGATGACCAGACAGAAATATTGATTGGATGAATATCATGTAAATATATAAACATCATTAATATATCTTGATCAGTATCACATCTAGCCTAAAATATAACAATTTATGTAAATCTATAAGACTGACTTTCACCATGTGAAAATATTAATTTTTTAATGTTTATGACAGCTAACTATTAAAGACACCTGAATTTTACAGCTTGTAATAATATTATAGGGATAAAATTTAAAAGGATGGAGAGATCTTGTACAAAGTACCGGTAAATGCAAATCCAATGCCATGGTTTCAGGCTTCCCCAATGCATGACCTAACGTAAAACTTAGAGTATTATTTTCTATAGAAATAAAGGAATCCGAGAAATGTTCTAATAAATTTAAACCAATGAGCAGTGAAAGTGGGTGTACTAATATGTCTCAAAACATGCAATACTGACCATATGAAATATCTGGTTAGACAGCAGAAAACCAGAGTCTGATTGTAATAACAATATGAATAGGAGATGTTTAGTTAAAGGTAGTAATTCTTCTATTGAAACAATACCATATACCCCATATTCTATATCACTCTCTCTTAAACTCTTTTTCTTTAATATACACTTCATATTCTCTATGCATTCTACAACTCTTCTCTAAAATAGAACATGAAAGGGACATGATATGATCAGATTTGAAAGTAACAATGACGACTCATCTTTTCTTGATACTCGGCCATGTAAAGGAAAGACATACAGAAGAAAGAAAGAACAAGAAAGTGAATTTTCTAGTTTAAAATATATATGAAGACTATTTACATATATTCAAGATCCAAATCAACCCCTGAAAATGACAAACCATGGCTTTTAAGTTGGTTAAATATTTGGTTAAATATTTGCTTGTATATTAATTGCTTTATTAATTCTTATTTAATATAAATTCACAATATTGATAATAGCTAAGGAAGCATTGTCAGTATGTCACAGCACACAAAGATATAGGTGGTTTCAATAACATGAGTAATAAGCTCCTTATGAACATTGACCGGTCAAAAAGTCATTTGAGTAATTGTAAAATCAAAATGTTTCAAGGACTTGAAGATATATACCATCATTAATTAAAATCCAAATGAGACTTGAAAATGTAAAAGTCAAACTCATTCAAGAACTATTATACACATAGCATGTGTCTTAATTAAGATCCAAATATTAAATTTAACCAACCTTGAAATTGTCAGTATAAATATTATGGAACCATAATAAATACTCTACTAAAATACCGTTGAACTGAAATAACAAAATCATGTTGATGTTATTACTATTTAGTTACTTGTGTCAAAAAAACACAATAATTTAAAATTTTGATATTGCTCTACAATAATGTATGAGCACTATTAAAACAGTGAAAATATTTTGTTATTGTTAAAAAATTATATATATTACAAACAAGAAACCAAAACAAATCATGACAATGACAAATTGAATCAAGAATTCTCTCACCTTTTGTGAACTGTTGAAAATGTTCCAAATAATATTGTAATACCAATGTACATGTTGTGTCAGTAAAAGCATTAGATCTAATTTCGTAACATTGTTTTCACTGATAACCAATGATTTTATTTCATTGACAATAGTTTCTGTTTGCTGACACATACTAGACAAACAGATTGCTATATGAACAAAATGAAAATATTTTGTTATTATAAACATGATAATAAATAGTCATTTTTTATATCCTTTCAACCTTTATTGAACTGTAGATGACATACAAATTTGTTTTTGCAATACTAGATAGATGTTCCCACTGAAAGTAGTGTATGAACACTCTCAATACAGTCATCTTAAAAAGAAAGCAGATTTAAAACAGTATGTAAAGATATTCAGGCTTAATTGACATTTATGAAAGAAACAAGATTTTATAATGTTAAAAATTGGTAACGAAGTGAAAGAAGTCATTTCTAAACATAACCAACCATGATTCCGCTTACTTTTTGAATCTTGATTCAGTAATAACTTGAGGTGTTGGAATTCCTTTGGATAAATACAATAAGATACCAGCTAAAATATATATCATAAAATATATAATACAATTAGATTACAGTTTTCTCAATTTCACAAATAAATTTTTATATTTAAATAATTTTAAATAAGTAAAGCTTTCTCAATTTTAGTGGGATAGTTTTTTGTGTTTTCCCAAAGGATTGAAGTGGCCTATCAATAACCTGAAAGGTCCAAGGTTAGAACCAGCCTAGGTCAGATTTCAATTCTGTTTTCCTCTTTACTGGTGCAGATCATAGAGATGAAGAAAGGGTATAATGTTTAAATGGGAAAAATAAGCCAGGGCTATGCATTAGAACCACGATGAAAAGATAAAGTTAATATCACTGTTCCGGCTTAATTTCCCTCATAGTACACTGCTTCTGGTTGCCAAATCAGGTGCAGAAAAGATGGATGTAAATTTTTACTTTATTTCTGATTCTCTCAAAACCTGTTTTTTTTACATGATCTTGACAAGCCTGTAAGTCGTAGTCAAATTGAAATGAAGTCATTTCTTTGTTAATAAGCTTTTCATAAACATTTTCTATCATAAGTTGATGGGACAGTTTGAAATGTTTACCTGTTTCTGTTGCTGTAAAAGGTGAACAGATGATAAAAACGTAGTAGTAAATTGGAGAAATATAGGATTTTTTTCTGACTGTAACAATATAGTTTGAATAATTTCATATACAAACTTATATACCATATAGTCTTCACTACAACTTCTCACCTAAAATAGTAAAGTTTATCAAATTTAAACTTATTTGAAATCTTATAATATACAAAACCATACTTAGTTTCATTAAAACTTTGATTGTTTTGCCTCAACAATCTTTTAAGATAATTGTACAAGATATAGGCCTAATCCAAAACTTTAAAGCCCACTCATCTATATGTAAATGAATTAGATTTGTCATGTGATATATAGTAGACAGAAACATCTATCTATTTCCAGCCTCTGATAGCTATTTGGACAGATGTCAGCAGGGGTAGAGACAGAAAAAAAGGGACATTCCACACTTCCGCAGGTGCGGGGGTTTTAAACCTATTTAGATACCTCGGATCTGCAAATCTCTGGTATATCTGGAAAGATTAATAGTTTTGTAGTTCAGTCATGCCATCATTTTCTCCCTACACCATGTATGTCATGTCTCTGGTTCTATCAAAGGTTTTTTTGGAGCAACTGATCTAGCATCGGCCAATTAAAACTGTGTGCGCAGCCAAAAATTCAAAGGTCACAGTCACGTGATACTAACAAAACAAATGTTAAGGTGATGCCCAACACTAATTTGCAATCATCTTAAAGGTAATTCAATATTATTTTAGAGAAAACGCATTTTTGGAGGTGTGGAAAATTCCCATTTAACAGGGTCTTTTTCTTCTGACTCTACTCCAGCTGACAACTGTCAAAATATCTATCAGAGGCTGGAATAGAGGCAGATGTTTTGGACTAGTGGTATAGGTGAATCGTTTCCAAAGAAGATTACTCAAAGACTGCTTTCATTCAAAGAATCAATAATGGAAACACATGACTGAGTGAGGGATCTTGAACTGCAAAATTATCTATCCTGGCAATTAAGTACATTGGAGGTAACAAAAGGGGTCTTAAGTCCAGTTTTTTAGTATATTTTGGGAATTGTAATTAAGGATAGTACCAAGTAAGTAGGAAGTATCAAGTCTTGCAGTATTGATGGTAATGGTAAACATTGACTACATTCATTGATCAATACCAAAACATCCTTTTCCAGAAAACTTGGATCTAATTTCCATATCTTCATATATATTTCATATTGAATGAATTTCAGCTCTGAGAAATAAAATAAGAATATAAACATGCAGCTGTTATGATTATTTAGTCACATTTTGTAAGTAAAGAAAAAACAACTCTTATCTCATAGCTGTGATATATTTTATTTAAAATAATAAATCATGTCTCAAACAAGCTTTTCAAATCTCAAGTGGTGATATAATATATCTTTTGTTTGTAATACGAAGAGATGAATTTGCAATAAAATATTAATACTTTATACAAAATATCAAAATTATGACCAGCTCAGCTCTAAAAAAGCAGAATCATTTTCATTTCTAAGATCAGTTGATTATGAGTAAACTTATAAATCATGAAAGTGCAATATCTTCTCTTCCTGATTTAAACAATTGTATTATACAAGACAATCAAAAACAATTCCTTACCCTTGTCTTTATCACAGATCTTGTTAATGATCAAATCAAATTGCTTGTCTTTAAACTTTGATGGTAAAGAAATAAGTACATCCAATAAACAACTGATGATAGGTAAAACATCTTTAATATGTAACAAATCAATAATAGCATCAACTATATTTATAATTGCTGTCAATTCATTTAAAAAATGTTGGGTAGGCCTACATTTTACTTCCTTACCAATACGCTGTGAAATGTCTTCATCTAACTAATATAAAAAGATAAAAATGTAATTAAAAGATGCAGTAAATAACCTGTTTTGTGACACTGGAATACTGAAGTACGAGAGTGATAATGTAAATGTACATAGTTAAGCCTAGTATGTAGATCTAATGAAGTTTTATCGATGTTGAATGAAACTAGGAGATTTTGGGTATTTTATCGATGAAGAAAAAAAAGAAATATTTTTAAGGCAAATATTTTAAAACCTGCATAGTAATTTAGTGAAAAATAATCGGCATTAAAAATATTTACCGATTGAAAGAGACAAACATGCAGTGAGGCATAAATTGGTGAATATTTGGATTTCGAGGTACGTATTAAAGAGAGATGATCGTTCACTTGTGACTTTGTTTACCTGTATGATATTAGAAGAAAATGTAGTGGAAAAATCAAATCCTAACTGCATCAAGCAGAAACTATTTTCACTGGAAAAACTATCAATAAATGATTCTTTCTGTTTAAATGTCTGTAAAACAATAATACTTTCAACAATCATGTATTACAAGAATAATCCAAAAAGGTTGGCCATATATTATAAGCTAATAACAAGGATTTACAACTGAAATATACATTACGGGCACCCATAACTAATAACTCTCTTTGGTGTGATATTGATTCCCCCCTACCCTCTCCCTTCTTAATCCTAATCAATTTGAAGGTGTGACACTTTGAGAAATTATATCATCATATCAGTTGAAATGAATCTTGAATTCATTCCTCAGTAGCTGTAGCAGAAGAAACAAGTGGTTGCCTAGCAAGATACGCCCACATTCCTCATACATTTTCAGTATATCAAGGGCAGTCACCTATCTGTGGCAAATCACACCAAAAATCTAATTTGTGCAAGATATTGTTGTGCAAGACACATTATTTAATAAAATTCTGACATAAACTGTCACCTCTATCGCCAACAAATTTTGATGAGTTTTTACTAAGTCATGGGCAATAACTCAAATTCTGTTGATCGAAAAATTGTCAAATTCAATCATACCAAATTTCATTTAAATCGGATGAAAACTGTACTCTCTATTGTGTTCACAAACAAATTTTGACGCATTTTTCACAAATCAAGGGCAATAACTCACACACCGTTCACCGAAATATAGCCAACTCCAGACTTGACCAAGATCTCATCATTATAAATATTCACACCAAATTTCATTTAAATTGGATGAAAACTGAAGTCTCTATTGTGTTCACAAACAAATTTTGACACGTTTTTCATAAGTCAAGGGCAATAACTCAAAAACTGTTCATCGAAAAATCGTGAATATCAAACTTGTCTAAGATCTTATCAATATAAATGATCACACCAAGACTTTAAATCAGATGAAAAATGTAGTCTCTATCGCGTTCACAAACCAATTTTGACGCGTTTTGGCTAAATCAAGGGCAATAACTCAAAAAACGTTCATCGAAAAATCATAAATTTCGAACTTGTCCAAGATCTCATCAATATAAATGATCACACCAAATTTCATTCAAATCAGATGAAAACTGTACTGTTGTCTCTAACGCGTTCACAAGCCAATTTTGGCGCATTTTGGCTAAGTCAAGGGCAATAACCCAAAAACCGTTCATCAAAACACTGTGAATATCGAACTTGTCCAAGATCTCATCAATATAAATGATCACACTAAATTTCATTCAAATCAGATGAAAACTGTAGTCTCTATCGCATTCACAAGCCAATTGTGGACAGACAGACCGACGGACATGGGTGACGACAATATGCATGTCTGCAAGATGATGCTTGCCTAAAAAAAGGAAAAGGGTCAAAGGGACGATATTCATTCATTATCAATAATAATATCATATTTAGGCTAAGATAATACCTTATATTCTGGCAATATACTTTGGGATTTGATATTGTTTGTTTTCTGACTTTGAAGAACTGATTCAAATTCTCGCAATTTGTTAACAAATGACAAGGCAACTTTGAAAGTCATTACATGCATAGATCAACGTCAGTTTTATGTGCAACTCTATCAACCAAAAATCGTTCATAACACTACTTTCGTTTTTCCCGCGGTTTTCTGCGATTGTATTATGTAAAATTCTGATTCGTATAAATTTTTTTTTTTAAACTATCTGCGATACCATATTAAATGGGCAGTTTACATTCACAATAACACATGGATGCCATAACATATCAATATCTCTTGGAAATCGTAAGTTCGAAAACAAATATGCCTAGCTTCTTGAATAAAAAAAAATATTTATTGTATTCATACATGGGGACTATACATTTTTCTATACTCTTTGAATTTGTATTTGTGTTTATTGTCATTTAACAAATTTGTTTGATGAGTTTCATTTTTACAACCTTGTATCAAAACAGAATATTTTTACCGTGCTGAGATTCTGTTTTTTCCAACATAATCCCCCATTGACGTCATTGTCTAGAGCGCCATAACAAAGCGGTGAGGAGGCCAATGTTTTGATTCAGTTTTGTTATTATTTGGACACGGAAATAGTTTGGAAATTATAATACCTATGCAAAACTGTCATTTTAAAAAGGCAGTCAGATAAAAGCCTGATCTGGGAAACGATGGGTAATTGTCTGAAGTCGCCAAATACAGACGACATTTCACTGTTGAGAGGAAGCGACAATGGACCCGAAGTTGTGGACCCGTCTGCTGTACATATTGGACCACCACCACCTTATCAGGTTGACCTCATTTTATTTTCTACTTCGACTTAATAATGATGTTATAAAACAACATAGAGAAATCTGTATTTCATATTTTTTTGTAGATACATCTCTACTGCATTTTATGTACCATTTTGTAGAAATGATCAACAAAATGACATAACTGTCATGACATAAGGCAGATGATTGTATTACAAGGACAATGAGATCATGAGTGAAAAAGTCATACAAAGAAAACAAAGACTGAAAGAGGATTACCCTTTATGAACAGCTGATTCCCCGAACTTCATATTATAAGCTTGTTTTGCTGGTTACTAGACATATCAATCACTGTAGGGTTCAAGAACTCATTTTTATGCATCTAGTTTATTTCCACAAAACAACGATAATGAATAATGTTGCCAGATATAGAACAATATTTAGACATTATATTTAGAAATTATTATTATAATGAGAATTAAATGTTTCTCACACACATGTTATATTTTGTATTTTATAAGCTTTCAGGAAGTTTTATAAAACTTTTTTATAAGTTCAAGTGTTAGACAGTGCAGCTGGCAAAAGTTCAGCCATTAAATTTAAAAATTAAAAAGTGTATTAATAGTGTTAAGTAAACAATTCTATTTGTTGGAATTAAGTGATATTTAAAAAAAAAAAAAATACTTCTAATCTATACTTTATTGACAAGCAAATACTTGCTATAGCAAATACAGAGAAAAAAACGTAGCCTGCATAATTAGATTTACATACATTCGAGTACAATACAGAAAAACATATAAACATAAGTAGTATAGCTTTCCTAATAGGAAAATAATACATGAAATATATACATGGTATACAATAAACGCAAATATGGTAAGACAAGCTGGAAAAGTAACACACGAACAATACAATACATTAAAAATAGCATTTATGAGCATACCAAGTCTTTACCCTTCTAGGTACCATGGTTGAGCATTTTTTGATCCACAGTTTTCTTAATTGATCATAAAGACTCAAAAAGTCTTTTTAAAAAGTCAACTTATGACTTTTAACAGAAGGATTATTAAAAGATGTCTTGTTTATGAGGTTTGCTAAAAGGGTTTTTTTAATATGAACTATTTTATTGATTTTAGGAGAGTGTTCCTATATATCATCCATCACCTAATGTTAGTAGACCAGCTAATCAATTGACTGAAGATGAACAAGTGAAAATAGCACAAAGGTTAGGCCTTATACACCATCTACCTACTGGAGTATTTGATGGTACAAGTAAAAAGGCAAAGGAGTAAGTAATATAGGCTTGAACTGATCCATAATTAAATCAGTAAAATTCTGATGGTCTGAAAAACTATTTTTTTTATTCGGTCTAACATGACTTTCAGTTGTACATGGCCATGGTGCCATTTAGTTCTGTTGAAGAATTTTAAGAATACCCAGTGGACATTGGTCCATATCAGAATAAAAGTAGAATTACCTTATCTTAAATGTGTTTAGCACAACTCTTATATGATATGTGTTTTTTTTTCAGGTGTTGTATTTGTATGGAAGAATTTCTATTAGGAGATATGTTAAGATTTTTACCTTGTATGCACACATATCATAAAGAATGTATAGATGACTGGTTAATGAGATCCTTTATTTGTCCGTCGTGCTTGGAACCAGTAGACGCAGCGTTGTTAACTACTTATGAAACAAGTTGATGTGATATTTATATACAATGGTGCTACTTTTATTTCAAGAAGTTAATAGAAATGAGAAAAACCTTAGACTGAATCACTGCATGTAAATATGATTTAAATGTGTGATTGACGACATATTGTGTCTGGTTTGCAGCAGTTAGTTTGTTATAGCACTTAATATGGAATTAAAATCGATGGATATTGACCATTATGCATCTCAATGATGTGATTTGTGATGAATTATACTATAACAGCCTGAACACGTTACTAATATTGTCTCACTACCACCATAAATATATATATGATAATTATTTATAATATAACAGATCTGTGCTGGTTTGATAATTTACTACTGGTATATTTTACTATGAAATAGTACATATATTAATACAGTGTTTATAATACATGCCCAAAAGGTTTCTTGATCTGTGGACATCTGAGCATTAAAGGAATATGTCCAATGTAATAAGTCCCAAGTATTTAGTTTCAAGTTTTTAGACTGATTTATAATTGGAACAAATGCATTTTATTTGCTCAGTGTCCTCAATCCAATAACCATATTATTACCATTATAATTGTCTTTCAATTAATTGACTGTGAAGCCAATCAAAACTTAATTATCATACTTTTTGATATGTAATATATTCATTCCTTTTTTCTGAATTAACATTTATGAAAAAATGTGTAGATAGTAAGAAATTTTAAATTCCCTATTGTTTACTCACTTTGGAATTTTTGACAGCATTCATTTGGGTTAGGTCAAATTGCTGCTAAATTATCATCTATTTTCTACAATCTCAAGAAATGTCTATGTTGATCTCAAATAAATTTCTCCTGAATGAGTTGATAAGAGTTGGTGTATTTAAACAGTCGTCTTGTTATGTAAGGTTCAAACTCTAATTTAAGTTATACATTCTTAAGCTTTGAAACAATATTTTATTTTCTGGCTATTGCTCTTTCCTAGTTTTGTGATGTATATTCAATTTGTGCTTTCACCTTTTTAATATGTTATATCTTATTTAATATGGTTATTTCTTTGTTTGTATACTTTCATGTTTATTGCTTATTTAGGGCTAGTCATTTTACTATTAACAGGAACAGATGATAAATATAATTCCTCTTGCAATTACACAATAATCTCACAATTATCAACAGTATTTGTAAATAGCAACCTGAAATAAATAAACCAAGGACTAATGATGAAGTGAACCTAGTTTATCCTACATGATTTTTTTTTTTGTGAGGTGACCAGGCATAGGATCCCAAACAATAATTGGATAGCTAAATTTAGTTGGTAAAGAATACAAAATGTATATTCCTTTATGTACTTCACAAATTATTATAGAGTTTAGTCATTATTACGATCCATAATATTGATAGGCATTATACTTCTTACCTTTTATATACGTCTAAATTGCAATATTGACCCCTATTTAATTTCCATTCTTTATGTGCAACAGCAACAATTTATCATATCTCCTGACATTGGTAGTTAAATTCTGTGTGAGTTACATATGAATTAAAGGTATGACAGAACGAAGAACTCATTCCAATCAACATTTTATGCTCATTATATTACAGGTGTTTGGACGTTCAGTTGATAGTTTTTATGCAGCACTATAGTTCGTAATTGAAATTTAATTTTTGATTATCTGCTTAAAGAGTTCAATTTCTTATTTGATCGTGGACTTAGCAAATGTCCAGATTTAAATTCTTAAGTGTGTTATGAAAAACTGAAAGCAAGTTCTATATATTGAAGAAATCAGAATAAAGTTTTAAATGACAATCACTATCTGCAATTAAATTTAATACCGTACCTTAAGCATATAATGGTTCTCCCTTTTTATTAGGAAACAGAATTTTATTTGTCTTAATATTCAAGTCAAATTGTAAGGTCAAGTCTGGATTCTTTTTGCTAGCTAGTTTGATTAAACAATGCAAGTGATATAACAAAGCTTAAAATGCAATCTTTTTTTAGTGCTGTAACTTATTTATTCTTATTAGTTTGTTTTTCACGGATAAATCTACATGAATAACCCATTCACAATAAAATTTAGAAATATGATATTGTGTTTTGTATTATTGAGAAGGGGAAAGGAATCCCAAAACACATCCATTCAAGTAGAAGTTTTGGTTGAAATTTACTTAGTAAGTATGTGGATTGCTGATGTCTCAAGTTCAGTGGTGACAATAGGCTATTTCAATGGATCATTTTATAGTTATTGCCCTTGAATTATTGAATTATTGAAAATACGTCAACATCAGTTGAGAAACCAATATTATCATTCACAGCGGTTAGAAAAAAGCTATGTCCTTGAAGTGGGAAACAACCCCAAACCATCGTGTGATTCATTTGTAGTCTCACGCAAGCAATGCTCTTTGGAGTATCTTCCCTTTGAAAATAAAATTTCTGTTGGTATCTTTGTTCATCACATGAAATCAATGTTAATTCCTTGCAATTTGTCCATAATCTAATGTATTAGCTATTTAAAAAGTTGTCAATATTTTTTCCAAATTTTTATGTGTTTCTTGGGGTGTGCGTAACAATGACATATTTTCGTTTTCTAATGTTCATCAAAATAAGCTTTTAATTTTCCAAGATGTCAGCCCCCAGAGAAGTACGCATTTTCTTCTGTTCTTTATTTTTCTTGTTTTCTTTCGCATGAAACATTACTTATTAGTACAAAGATATCATGACTGCAACTTTCATGACAACAACATTCTACATACAATGTCCAAATATCATGAGTTAAACACAATTGCATTTTCCTGTGGTCAGATAGTCCGAAACATCTGCAATGCCTCTATTTCAGCCTCTGATAGGTATTCCGAAAGTTGTCATCTGGAGCAGATTCGACAAACTAGGACCTGTTATATGGGGTCTTTAGTCACCTGCAAAGGTGAAGGTTTTTTAAGACAGGTGATGATTGCATACATGTCACAATCAATTAGTGAAGACAACACTAGCCTATTCATTACAATCAATTTATGGATCTCTTCTTTCTATTGATATTCTTATTATTTAAAATATATACAGTGGTGTAACCTATTTTTGTGGATATAAGGATTCAACACCAAAGTTCGTCAAAGTTAAAAAAACGTAATTTTTTTTTTTGTCTTAGATGTTTCCTCAAATATTCTACAAAATAATTAAAATTGGTTTGTTTTGATTTTCTTTATGAATCCCTCACTTTGACCCATATTTCATGAGCAACCAACGTGGCAACGGCGGCAGAATGCGTCACCTATTTTCGTGTACAATGTTTGATCTATAAATAAGTCTAGAAAAACACATTGTATGGATACCGGGTGGTATAATTAACTTCTCTTAGTATTTATCTTTAATATCAATTCATTATAACAAGTGACAATTACTAAAAAGAACCACGATTTTAAAATAAAATAGTGACTGACAAAATAAGATACGTAGCGTGATTTATTGCTAAAAGTCACTGAAACAACATAAGAATATGGTCCACTTTGTGTTCCATAGAAATTTTCTGGTGACAGGGAATCCGCTAATTGATCACGTGACTTCATTCGTTGGACTACATTCTAGCAGACGACACTTGGAATTCCGATTACTGCTTGGGATTATAAGGTAATTCGGCTGATAAAAAATGGTGACATTTGGTAATAAATGAAATCCGCCATTTTGTATTTGTTAAAGTATACATTAATACTGAAAGTACTGAATTCATTCTACTAGCTGATATTGTAGAGAAAACCCATGTTTATCAAAACAAACTAATGTGGCGGTTGCGCAAGGTCGTACATGTAAATTATTAATCATTTCCGGAAATCCACGAAAAATAGGTTTCCACGAAATTAGGTTACGTGACTGTATGAATAATGAAATATATTATCCCTATAGTAATGGTTGAAAGTACCCGCTGTATTGTTCTTGTGTATGGTATGACATGTTTCTGTTATATATGATTTAGGTTTTGTTTACCAGTGATGATTCAGGCCAACTTTGGAATTCATGTGTCTGGGATTTCTCAACAGGAACAGGTTTGATGCAGTATAGGGGTGGAAGTTCTGGTGCTCACAGTTTAAGTTTATTGGGAAACGATTATTTAATTGGTGGAGGAGGTCAGAAATCAGTAGTTAATGTGTGGGAATTACAGAGAAAGGTGAGGGATGTAGTTGTATTGAACCAGGTCCAATAGCCTATTTAATAGGTGTTAACTTTCCAAACCTGGGACATACAAATGAAATGATGGTATTCAATAGGTAACATATTTATCATGTCAGTGTTTACTATATATATATATTTAGTTATTCTGTATTTCCATTATTAATTGTTATGCTTGATGAAGATTCCTGTATGTGAATTGAAACGTTGCAAAATTAAATTAAAGGAGTAGTATATCCATAATAGTTGTTCTTGCTGAATATTTATCATTTTTTATGTTTATGATTTTAACAGGATCAGAACCAGATAAAAATCATATTACCTGGTAAAGTAAATTGTTTATGTCCTTCACCTGATGGTAATTATTGTATTGTTGGTATAGCTGAAAAAATTTATATTTGGCAGGTGAGATTTACACTAATATTATTTCCATCTGACTATACTAGTCTAATGATTAGTGAACATGTCTGTGACAGTGTGCCAGACACCAGTGCCTTCTTTTGAATAGTAGCTTAGTACCTTTCAATCACTAAAATTATTATCACATAATTATATATTTTTTACACATGAAATATCATTGTCATCAGATTCATTCATGGTTTGTGAATGCCTTTGAATAACTGCCTATTTTTTTAACATTCTTGGAGGCACAGTTCCTTTTGTTGGCGTCTGGTATCTTGCACTGCAAGCTGTGCAAGCTTGACATCTGTTAACGATGCTGGTCAGTTTATTTTCTATAAAACATTTTATTAATTTGTAGACAAGTAGTGGTAATTTATTGAAAGTTATCAGCAGACATTATTTAGATGTAACTTGTATTAGATTTACTGATGATGGTAGCCATTTTATCACAGCAGGAGATGATAATTTAGTGATAGCTTGGTGTCTTCCTAGGTAGGTAATAGAGGGTTTTTTTCTTTTTGTGTATGTTATCAAAATAATAATCATGTCAATTAATTTCTTCCATTTTGAAGAATTTTTGAGTTTAGAATGTTAAGATGTGCAGAAACAAAACATCCAATAAATTACAAAGGAATCACTATTTGGAAAATAATACAGAAAAGCATACAGGATGGAAGCCACAGATGGATTTACACAGGATACATGTGTTCTATGATAGTATAACTTGTTTATTCACAGAACAATCTCATCCACTGATTTTCCCCTCTCTAAACCTGAACCTAAATATGTATGGACAGGTCATTCCTTACCAGTGAAAGATGTCTATGTTGGTAGTGGTGGTGTAAGATCCAGAGTTATTTCCTCTTCATTAGATCAAACATGTAAAGTATGTGATAATTCAATTATTTTATAAGAATCTTTTTTCAATTATCTTATCATATGACATTAACTTTAGCTTCTTACAGCTTGTTTGAATCTCTCCAAAATATACGTATTGACTGTTTTTTTTATGCATATTTTCCTGTATAAAATTAAGAATTATAGTTGATTGCTGATCAGTTTCTGCAGTGTAAACTACAGATTTTGATAAACACTGTATAATTTTTTCTTTCAATGATTCAAGATGGTTCTGCAAATTTTTTACTTTTAAAAAGTGTGACCATATGTTTAAATGATTGTTTATGTTATTTTTTCTAGTTATGGGATATGACAACAGGAGAATTATTATGTACATTTATATTTGATGATCCTATCATGTCAGTTTATATGGATTCAGCTGAATTTAGAATATTTGCAGGCTCTAATACAGGTCACATATATTGTGTTAATTTATATGGGGCTGTAAGTATAAACTAAATAAGATTTTAAATTATGTTACTGTGTTCAGTACTTTATTAAGGATATTTTGCTGAGTTCTTACGTTTATTCAATGATACAAAAATCATCATAGAGTTTTGTAACAGTTGTGGGAAATGCACCAAGAAATCTGAAATTTCTTTGATTTCTATACTTGATTATTTATTACTTTTTGAAGAATTTGTCATAAATATATTTCTTCGATCTAGGGACAAGTTACACAATTCATTCATTTTCATACTTTTTTCAGAAATTGCAAAAAGAAAGACATATAACCAATAAATCAGATGATGAAGGAATTTCCATTTACAAGGGTCACAGGTATGTACCAGTGGATCACTGATATTTCTATATTTATAACAGTTTGCTTACATCCCAAATTTTCAATCAAAGGGCATCAGGTTTTTTTGAACTCGATATGAGAATCATAAGTTTTGAGCTATCTCACATTAAGTTCTTTAATTTACCACATATAGTTTTGATTGTGACATGTTGTGGTAGATTTATATTTGTATCTTTCAGTTCCAAGATCAATTGTTTAAGTATGAGTATGGATGGAAGTATATTAGCATCTGGTTCCGCTGATTGTACAGTGAAATTATGGGATGTATACAGTGGTCAATGTATTAGAACATTAGATCATAAAGGTAATCTTAATATTATTTTATGATCTGTGGTGGTCTAGAGGGTTTAACTTTTTTTTTTTGATGAGATGGGATTTCTCCTTGTTTTTACACCCCTTTATATCATTAGAAGTCATTATTCCTTACTTTTCAAATTCACAAATCTATGAATAATAACAAGATTCCCGAGGTACAAGGACAGTGACGTATTCAGGTTGGTGTCAACAGCTTTTTGGATAAATTAATCAAAATGACTATTAGCAGATGATTAGTTAATGCTTGCTCATCTACTTAAAAATCTTGATTAAAGGCTGCTACAGATTTTACCTCCCACTTGTAACCAGTTACTAATGCTTTGGCGTGTACTAATCAACGTGATAAGAGAAAAAGATAAATTTGCAACTTCAAATGATGATTGCCTTACAAATACCGTTTTAGCAACTATTATATATTTTGTAGGCTCTGTCACAAATGCTTTCATCACATCAACTCCTAGTAATATACTGAACCCTGACAGTAAACCTTTTCTAGTGGTGCAACATTTCAAACGTCATTTACATTCTACGCAACAACAGTTGGAGGGAGATAACTCAAATCAGACAGACTTAATACACATGAAAATAAGAGGATGCAAAAGGGTAAGTTTTAAGTGAATTTTGGGTTTTGATTTAACTATAACTATAGGGTGTTTTGAAATTAGAGTTCCCTCCTTCACAGCATAAACTCTTCCACAGCTTGCATTCTTGAGTAGTATGATTTCAACAAATCACAAAAGGATGAGAATCAAACTCCTTTTAACTGTGCACCTATGTCACCTTTCTTAAAGTTTTTTGATAGTCCATAATATTTCCTTTCAATCAAGATCTTGACAATATGGGAACACCCGGTATATTATAGCTAGAATTTTGGTTTCTACTGGTCCATTGTACATGTAGATTCATGATTACAAGAATTCCATACAAAGATGACTGTCACTAAAAGATAATCACAGAAAATTACATGATATTCGGTTGCATCAAATATAGTCAGCAATATAACACTCTTTCAATGGTTGTATTTCAGAAATCAGAGAGAACATCTAACACTGATATAAATAATTTGATTCAGTCAAATGTTTCAGTTGTAAATCAGGTAAGTTATACTGAAAGATAATTCCGCATATATTAAAATCTATAAATAAATAAATTTAATAAATTTCAGACAAAAACTATCTTGATAATTTGCATTAAGATGGTATTGATGTCTGCGATTATGTCTCCTTGTTTGATAATTCCAGTTTGGTTGGTTTAATATCATCCCTCAAAAAGGGCATTATTTTATCGAATGTAATGCGTCTTATCAATATATATTTATCTATTTCAGTCTGATGTTGATGTTATAGAAGCTCATGAAGAATTAAACAAATTAAAAAGTAAAATTTCAAAGTTAAAAAATGTAAATAAAGAGCTATATGATTATGCTGTAACAAATATTGTAAATAAAGTTTAGTTCAAATAAAGAGCAATATTTCACTTGATCTACTTTATTTTTGAAAACATGGTGTTGCTTATGTAATACCTGTTTGATAACACATATCCCCATAGTTCCCAACAACCTTTTTAAGCACCCCCAGAGCAATCAATAAGACCCGTCACACCCAACAAAGCAGGAATAAAGGCCTGCTCTTTTTTCGATTCCTAACTATCAAGGGATATTTAACTGTTCAGCCAGTAACACATTTGAATGTCAGACTCTCCGGCAAACAGAAACCGGGTTGAACAAGGGTATTATTGATATTACGGCAAGTCATAGAGACCAGGCCAACCATTATGTCCTTCCAAAGAAAAGTAATTTGTTATTTATGTTGCCATGGAAAGTCTAATGTTAGGTGTTAGTTTACATCAATGTTTAATTAAAAACAACCTCATTAGTGAACCTTTCTAGTTATATTATGTTTCAGTGACAGTAATATAAATAATAAATGATGATTCCCATTGATTATAGAGGGTGATCACATATGATTAATAAGCCTTATGAAATGGTAGTTACGTCGAAAGTTCTTAAAATGTTTAAATTGATCACATTTTACAGTTTTTAGAATTGAACTTTGTTCAGCACAAAAGTGATATTCTTTTCAAAGTGGTTGAGAGATATAATTTATTGTTTGATTAATTCATCCAAATAGTAAGAGCTTTTTTTGTTGAAGTTTTGTTATTTGTGGCCTTTTTGTGTTTTTCGTTAGTGGCGTTTCTACGGTAGAATTTGGAAGGAATTGCCTGGTAGCTCTCCTTGAAAATTCTATGGCCCCGACTAATGAATCCGAGAAACGCCCCTTGTTTCGTTATGTGGGGCTTTTCTTTTGAATACCAGATACAAGGCTGTGACTTTTTCGTGTTACACTCCTAGATTTATTGCACAGCGAATTTTTAAAATCTTTTCAAAATTATAAAAAAGTTATAATTATTATTCCTACATATCTATAGCGTTCAGCATTTTGTATTGAGTGTGTTTAATCCTACGTATTTAACCAGGCCTAATAAAGCCCCATAATTGTTTTCTTTTCAAATGCATATTAACTGAATAAGACTAATCATACTTTATACATAGGTAACAGCAGAAATATGTATGGAAACAACAGAAAACTGTGCACTATATTGACACCAGCAAAAATGGGAAAGAAAGAAAAGTATGTTAATGATGTTGAATTGTACGATTTACTGAGATCTAAAGAACTCTACAGAGAACAGAACAAATTACAGAAGTCTTTGGAAAAACAAATCCGCGAAATTTCAAAAAATGAAAAGATTTTAATGTCTCGTATTGAGTGTCAGAGACAAACATTCTTAAAACAGTTCAATGCACATTCAGATCGTAATGGATACTTTAATGTTGAAAGTCTGCAACTGCCACTACCCGAAGGCTCTTCTAGAAAACAAAGTACTAACGATCCAGACTCACAGTTTCCATTCATGTCCCCTGGTAAATCCCAAGATTGTCAATGTATTTCTTATGAATTGCATAGAATCCAACCAAAACCAATTGGAAACAACGCCATGGACCATTCGGCGAGCAAACTCTTAAATTCTGAACAAGTGGATCAGCATACAATTTTAGATTTAATCAAGAAGCATAAAAACGGATGCATTGTTGATAGTCAAACTGGAGTAGCAAACAAGTGCAAAGTTACCTTTAGTTTGTAAAGTGCCATTCTGGAACTATGTGACTGTATATGATTAGTGGCACCAGTTTTGAATAATTTCTGAATTATATTCCCTGAAATCTAACATAGAAATCGGTTAATCTATTGTTACAACATGATACAATAACAAAATCGTTTCACTGTTTAATTCTAAACTAAGAAGCAGAAGAGAGGGGTTGTTAGCATTTACAGTCTACGTATACCGTGAATGGAAAAATGATGCAAGTTAAGAATATTTGCGTTTGATAACTATAGTAGGCAATGGTAGCTGTAAAATTAAACGATTTGGACCAAATTATTGGCAAGACATCGACTATTACTTGTTACATTCTTTCTATTGTTAAAATATATAATAGTATGGTGAAGGATAACAGGAGGGAAGAAGACATTTGCTTTGATCGTTTTATAAACATCATTTTAATACACTAACTTAAATGTGGAATCTAATTGTCGTCACCCATGTCCGTCCGTGATAAAAAGACCATTGTTTTCACTAGGTAAATTGATAAAAAAAATGGGGTGGGGGCAGAGTCAGGCCAGCATCTTTCACCCTATCCCTCTCCTCCACCCCCCTTCTTCGAGTAAAAACGCCACAAACTCGTCTCAATATATACATGCATACCAAATTTCATTCAAATTGGTTAAAAACTATATCCTCTATGGTGTCTACAAGTAATGTGGTCAGACGGACGGACAGAGGCAAAGGTAATATATTATACGTCCACAATTATGTGTGGGCATATAAAAAGCATAACTTTGACAATCTTGTTCATAGCATGCTACAGTTAATCTGTAATGATTTTTGATCAAGTTCAATACATACTATTCAGTCGAACTGTTTTATTTGTATTCAATTTTACAAAAAGCAAAAACTCATAAACGATATTCAGCAAAATATAAATTACAGCAATTTAGTAAATAATTCACAAAACAGTGTGAAATAACTGCATGTCAGATCAATGGTAGCCATAGAGTTGTAAATAGAACTTATTATATAACTCTATGATTGAAGCTCATTGTTATGCATCTTTCTTATCCAATATGTCTGCAGAACATATATATCTCAAATTTTCAAGCGTTATAAAAAATATATACAATAGAACGATTCTTTAAAACTTCTAGTAACTGTTCTATAGAAGCCTTACCTATAATCAACAATGCCAAACAAGTCCCAAATACGTCACTATTAACACATTAGAAACCAAACCTATGCTGCTAAGGACATCTTCACAATTGTCAAGGTATTGCAAATTTTGGCTTATACCTTGACTGCAATGATTAATGCTTAATTCTTGTATCTATAGTTGTTCTAAATTTCATAATTATTTAGGCTATAATTTGGCTAACGAATATATCAGGGCTGTAACTAGAATCTATTTTCTATGAGGCAATAATCCTGTTGTCTTCAAATAAACGATATATTAAATTTATATTCTAATTTATACAAAATTTCTTTTCTATCAAATTCTGAAAGAGGCATTTGCCTCATTTGCCTTGATGTAGGCCTTAGTTACGGCCCTGTATATTATATAAGGGAATTCTTCAGTCGATTCCAAAACAAGTGAATAAATTCCATATCATCATCCCAAGTTATATAAGTAGTTGTCTTTAATAAAGCATTAAGTGAATTGCTCATATTTTCACTGTCTATATCTTCTAATAAAACTACACTCAAAGGTTCCATAGCTCGATTCAAAACGTGTTTTTGAGCTAAAGTCATTTCAAATTGACACCATTCACTTCGAGCAAAATTATTACTTAATATAATTAAAACACGACGACTATTTTCAATCGATTCTACAATATTATCTATAATCAATCTACCAGCCTGGAAATCTCTTTCATGTATACAGAGTTTAATGCCTTCATTTCCCTCTAACTGTGGTACCAAATCATCCAAGACCCAATCGTCCTCAGCGGAGTACGACACAAAAACGTCATAGAGGTACTGTTGTTCCGCTATATTGTTTAAGAGTTTTGGTTGATGTCGCCAGATATATATCTGATATTTGATGAGCCATCTGTATTTATAAACAAAAGATACTAGTATAAATAAAAGAAGTAGAAGACAACAAACACCAGTTATAGACGTATAGGCGGAGGCAAAAATGTGTTTCGTATAACTTCGTTCCGTCATATTTAAACAGTAATATCCCCTTGGAAAATGTTTAAATTTTGAATGATCTCGCTTCATCCACTCAATCAGCCAAATATTGTCACAAATACAATCTAGTTGATTATAAAAAAGTGAGATTGTTCTTAACTGTGACCTAAATTTATCAGGAAACATTTTTTTTGATATTTTTCTTAATAAATTCCTACCAAGATATAAAGTAGTTAAATTCTCAGTTCTATCCCAAAATCTGTCTTGCCATTTACTTAACTTGTTCCCATATAAATTTAGAACCTTGAGTTCGGTGAAATTTTGAATGGATTTCGGTATGTTATTTAACCTGTTAATTGAGAGATCTAAATATTGCAAGGAGTGAAGTTCTGATAGCACTCGGTCTAATTGTGTACAAAGAAGACTTCCGGGGTCACTCAAATAATTAGCAGCAAAATACAGATATTTGACTTTCGGACAGCCACTGAACGCCAATGGATCAACATATTTTATTTTTATTTGATTATCAGATACTGTTAACCTTGCAAGATTTGAATTTTTAAAAGAATAATTCTCAAGTCTTAAATGGGTTTTAGAACTTTGCTGTTTTGCCAGATGGAGGTCAGTAAGGGAAGATAACTCTTGGAATGATCCAGATTCAATCGTTGATATACAGTTGTTATCCAGAACAAATTTTGACAGTTTCTTTAAACAGTTCATAAATTGAGGAACATATTTACAAATATTGTTAGTCTCTAAATTCAAAAAGGACAAAGAAGGGAAAAGAGTTTTTACGTGACAAAAATCTGGGAGTGATCTAATTTTATTTGAAGTTAAGTATAATTGTTGTAAATTTTCCATTTTATCCATTACAATTGTCTCGATCGAATTGTTTTCGACTTTTAAAGTTTTTAGACCCAATGAGTTAAATTCTGTTAAATTTAATGTCTTAAGATGATTGTTGGAAATGTCAAGAATTGACAAAGTAAAATGATGATTAAATAATCCTTCTGGTATAAATTTTAAACCGATATTTCGAAGTATAAATTTGTTACAGTCTATATTTCATATCAGAAAACAAATTAAACAAAGAATCAGCCGTCAATGGATTAAAGGAGAGATGTAATCTTTTTAAATATCTTAAAGATGTAAAAGAATTGGTAGTAATATTTGTTATATGACAATTTTGAAATTTGAACTTCTGCACTTTCAGGTGTGTTATATTGGAAAAAGTGCGTTCATTGATCAAAGGGAGATAATTATATTTAAAAATGAACCTGTCGGTTCGAATTGGAAGTACAGGTATATACGTTAAATTAGTGTTGACACATATTACTGTGCCTTTTAAACATTCACACAGTTTTAAACTACAAGCATCTTCTTCACAATTACACATAGAGCAAACCAAAAGCAATAAGCAAAGAACTAACAGTCTTACACTATTCATCATTTTGTATGAATTACTTTCGCATTATATATCAAAATCACGTCCTTTGAAAGTTTGTATCATATAACACGATTTATAATCTTTTGCAGCTATATACACAATCATCAAATAGTTTAGCTAAGGACACAATTTCCAAATACGTGTTGGACCTCATTGTGAAAATAATTGTCATTGGATTAATCTTTCCACTATTGCTAAATATTCGGATAATATTTCAGGTTTAGTTTGCAAGGCGTCCACAAATGTCATCTTAAAAAGCTATTGTCCTTATTTTAAAAATCTTGATGGTAGGCTACTGGTTATCTAAATTTTATATTTATCCAATAGTATATACTATTGTTGCATGCCCACTTGTCCGCTTGTTTAAACTTCCAAAGCAGGATATCTGTTGTCCACTAACTTTAAGCTTACATGGTAAGAAACCTGTTTTTCACTTTTCAATGTCCACTATCTTTAAGTTTACATGTTCACAATCTTTAAGCTTTCACAGCAAGATAACTGTTGTGTACAATCTCCCACTAGCTCTCATATAAGGAATCTGGTGAGCACAATCTTTAATGTTTTACGGTAGGATACCTGTCCACAATATATTTAAGTAAAAGTACCCGCAGTTTTCCAGTAAATCTCTATGTTGTAAACTACATATTCTCCAAAATCTTAAAGAGATATCGTGTTAAATATTTCATTTCCGCCGCTTTGTGTCCTTTCAATGAGTCACGCACTTCTCTTTTATGTCATATTAGCAAAAATCTATTCCTATTGACAAATACATGTAGGTTTACCCCGTTACACCTTTAGTCAGTGATGAGGCGATATCCCTATGGCTAGAAACCCAGAGACCTCGGATTGTCTCAATTTTATAAGCTTAAATGGTATGGTTAAACTTGTTTGAAATCTTGAAGCTTATCAATCTGATTAAATCGAGATATTTAATTTCGTGTTTAAGTTTACATGTTCACAATCTTTAAGCTTTCACAGCAAGATAACTGTTGTGTTCAATCTCCCACTTGCTCTCATATAAGGAATCTGTTAAGCACATTATTTGATGTTTTACAGTAAGATACCCGCTGTCCACAATATTTAAGGTACAAAGTCATACATGTACTATACACAATCTTTAAGTAAGGGTGCCTGTTGTCCATTCTCTCTAAGCATTAAATCTCTATGTTGTAAACTACATATTCTCCAAAATCTTAAAGATAATATCGTGTTAAATATTTCATTTCCGCCGCTTTGTGTCCTTTCAATGAGTCACACACTTCTTTATTATGGCCCGTATGCACCAAATGAAATTAAGCCAAATTTAATTCTATTCTTCCCGAACAACATTAACGTTTAATTTAATTCTATATTTTGTATGCACCCCATAGAATTACCTTAAATGTTTTTAAAAATTGGCTAATTTAATGCTAAACTTAAAGTTGGTCAGGACCAGTTTTAACTTTTAATTCTATTCGTAAATCAATCGAAATTCCTTTTGTGGCTCTTCGATGTTTCAAAATGACGATTATTTCGACGATTTAGATGAACTTGGTGAAATCAACCGTGTTATTCCCATCAATAGACATGTCAGGGATCGCCTGGACCCCTTTACATGGTTTTCGGAGGAGAAATTTACAGCAAGGTTTAGATTGAATAAGCAATCGGTGTTGAATATCACTAGGCCTAATAGTTTGCAAAAAGGAAACATGAGATGGATTCCATATCAAATTAATTATGACGTTCATTTGCTCCTTCGAGGGTTAAAGTTTGTTCCAAAATGTGGTTTCCGCATACGAAAGGAGAGCACTTCTCAACACAAATTGGTCAAAGAAGAATAACACAGGGGTTTAAATGGACCAGATGCAATTAATAACCCCAATGGCTCCAAAGGGGTTAAATAGGACCAAAGCAACTAGGGTTAGTTAGGGTTAAGACTGGTGTAGGGTGGGGTTAACCCTCTCTAAATTGTTTCGGGCCCAGTTAAACCCCTGTGTTATTCTTTTTTCTGGACCATTTTATGTTTGAGAAGATGCGCAACGATGTGTTTTTTCATTTCATATGTGGACACCATATCTTGGAACAAGCTTTAACCCTTTCCTGGGCTAACCCTAATTGATTTTCTAAAACTAGATATCTTAGTCCGTGGTAGATTACCCCCCATCCCCCTTCCATAGGTTTAGTACATTTCCTTTAATTAATATTTCTTATTTATGATAACTTGCAATTGAAGAGTGTCCTCGCAAAAATATCATACACGTATACTATTTTCACTTAATAAATTATATATATTTTTTATATGAAATACGCATTTTCCTTTTCATTTAATATAGGACAATTCCTCAGTTTCACCAGTGAAAATGTTTATCATGATTTCCATGGTTATTAATGTTCCTGTTGGAACCAGTATTCTTCTTATATATTTCAGATTCGGAAGATAATGGATTTGCATTTCAAATATTCTATATCATTCTTTTAAACTAACTTCACAAACATTGCTCTATCACTAGAGGTTACGCCTACATGCCTGTGCCTGTGCTTTCGTAACATTGCTTAACCGCAATATTACAACCTTAAATTCCTAACCCTAGGTCTCGATGGCCTAGTGGTTGCGTGGCAACTTTGATGTTCCGGGTTCGAGTCTTAAAAACTCAAACGCCGTCTTTTCTATCATTTTAAGTATATAAAAGAGGTCTGTGAATCTAGAATGGCCTAGCTTAACCAAATCGCTCACTTTTTAACTTCTTTGGTTACACAAATATGTGATTTGTTTTTATATTGCATCTTGTATTAGATCAATTTCTCCTTATACTTTACTAAAGTCAAGCAGATATATTTTTGCACATAGACCTATTCTAATTATGAACAAAAAAGATTTGAAACAACAACTTTTGGTGTGTTAAAGGGATTGTAAAAAGGTTTTCAAAATGTGTATCAGGAGCATAGTATAGTTAGCCTAGATAGACTGTGGTTCCTGCATTTCCAACTAAGTGTTTGATGATGTCCAGTGACCTTATGCGATACAAGAAAATTTAGTGACTTGATCAAACACTTAGTAAAACACACTCCTCCAATTTCGCTTGTAGAGCTTCAATCATTATTTCTGCTATTCTGAATCAATATTAGCATGGATTGCTGTGGTACTGCAAGTATTTTCCTGTAGATATGATAAAACTACATTTCAAAATAAGGTAAAACTTCTGTAACTTTATTAGATAACAATATAACAAAACAACAAATTGTGTAATAAATGAAATCTATGTACAAAACAATTTAACTTTAAAAAAATGGTGATTAAAAATCAAACGACTCTGATTCACGTGTAATATTTGCTACTTTATTACTCTTTAAACGTGTTGATACTTTACGTTTAGCTGTTGTTTGGTGCAATTCTAAAGTATCAGTGCTACTACTACTAACTTGACGGTAGTTTGTATTAGTCACCGATTCACTAGTTACACTAACCTGACTTGCATTAACTCGATTGGCACTTATCTCAACCTACAAAATCAATTTGGTAAAATTATTTTTGAGTCGAAAGCTCTTAAGATTCGAACCCAATAATTGGATACCCATTCTCTGGCAAACGATCTATTGTGAAAGTTCCGATAATGCTCTGCAATAGATTCAGCTTTACGGAAACTGCCGAGGATTACTGAAAGACTAGTTGAAAAAAAAAATATTAGAGTTTACAGGGGAAATTGCACAAAAATAAGCAAAAGATCTGCAATGACTTTATAATACATGTGATCAGTTTCGGTGTGAAGGCTTTTACAATATAGCATAAAATTATATTGAAGGGTCACTATTGTGCTTCTATAAAACTGTTTATGTTTATCAAGGTCATGTTAACACAGTTCCTTTGTAACTTTAATTTATAAAACATAATAAACATGAACTTACAAGAAGAAAAGATTGTTTTTCAAAACGAACGGCTAACATTAAGATTACCCAATAAATGATTACAATACATATAACACTGATAATAATATAATCTAAATATGATGGATATAGATTTAAACTTGTCAATAATCCACCAGTTTGTAATAATACAATTCCAATATTACATAATATCTAGAAAATATAAAAAACAACCTGACATCTAGATCAAAATCATGATCTTGGAGAATGGGGCCAGTTAAATACAGGTCTGGAGGATCTCCTTATGATGAGTGTCACTCATTAAAAGGCAATTCAAATCAGCATAGTTTGTCTATAGACTTGTTTTAAACCTTACAAAAGTAACTTGTTGTATATTTTCACTGACTTCTTGCTCCTGTTCACTGAGCTCTTAAATCTTAGTCCAAATATTAGAATTCTTACTTCCAAACCAGTTGAGGATTTAATTTCTTGAACGTGTGTTTAAAATAGGACGAGTTTTTGTCAATCAAGTTGAATGCCAAGATACCAGGATGGTGATAAATCAAATTGTAATTGTAACTTACATCAAGTATAAGGTGATTATTACAAGATGTATACTTCCAGAAAAAACATCTAAATAAAAATATAATGATTATAAAAATGTAAATGATAACCATAGACTTTCTAATTACTGGATAAAGAGAATCAAATTATCATAAGCTATACATTAAACTATTACATTAAAGAGTGACAATCTATCAGTTTAACATTTTCAACATGAGTAGTCGTTAACCAGTCACATGATTAAGCAATATATACCTAACCGGTCACAAAACGTTAACGTTATACGTTTATAATTAAATCACGATTCCGTTTACACGGTATCACGCAATTTGATTGGATAACAGCGGTCACATGAATTCGGTTTATTTCGGTGTAAACCGAATTTAAATATAAGCTCCGCCCCTTAACGGACTACTTTTATCATTGAGTTTATATTGAGTTATATTGGCGTGGCTACTACACAGCTTCGATGTCTTTCCTTCGACGTCACCAGAGCCAAAATCAACACTTCACTGAATGAATACAGTATTTTCAAAATTCCCTCGAATGTGCACACTCCAAATATCAACAAAATCATGATTTTTGGACTTATTTCGAACTCGTCTTTCAATAATCAAACTTTAAATGTGGCCGCTCCGTAAACTTCCAAGCAGTAGACTATAAATAGGTGACCTACTTATTTTTGATTGGCTGTTCTGTATGACATCTCTATTGTTAGTATCAGTTCATTAACGTTATGTTAAAATTTTAGGTATTTATGCACCAATTTTGTGCCTTAGTTTGTTGCTATTTTAGATAAATATTTAAACACGTATTCGAGTTGATTAATTATAAAGAATGACCTGAACATTTTTTCAATTTATCCATGTATAAACAGAAAAAAACCTATGTACACTTATGTATAAACCGCTACGCGGAAAAAAACCTATGTTCACTTATGTATAAACCGCTACGCGGATTTATACAGTGTACACAGGTTTTTTCTGTTTGTACATCGATAAACTGAAAAAATGTTCCGGTCATTCCTTCGTTTGATTTCATTTGCCCTCAGTGTTTAAAGTGTCTCAACTCAGGGGTATAAAAAGGTAGTAAATTTACTAACCAGATAAAAAGATACCTGTTTGTTGGCATATATATTCGAAAATCCTCTTCAATTTTTGTTTGTATGAACCTTGGATTAAAACATATTTTTGGTTGTATAATGTGGAACATTATGAGCTGACAAATAATACCTTTGAATATAACATATAATATAACTTTACCTGTATGGTCTAGCTAACAGCAATAACAACAGATAGGATACAGTTAAACAACATACACCAATAGATTGATATACTGGACTGAAATTATCAATAACAACAGATAGGATACAGTTAAACAACATACACCAATAGATTGATACACTGGACTGAAATAATCAATAACAACAGATAGGATACAGTTAAACAACATACACCAATAGATTGATATACTGGACTGAAATTATCAATAACAACAGATAGGATACAGTTAAACAACATACACCAATAGATTGATACACTGGACTGAAATTATCAATAACAACAGATAGGATACAGTTAAACAACATACACCAATAGATTGATACACTGGACTGAAATTATCAATAACAACAGATAGGATACAGTTAAACAACATACACCAATAGATTGATACACTGGACTGAAATAATCAATAACAACAGATAGGATACAGTTAAACAACATACACCAATAGATTGATACACTGGACTGAAATAATCAATAACAACAGATAGGATACAGTTAAACAACATACACCAATAGATTGATACACTGGACTGAAATTATCAATAACAACAGATAGGATACAGTTAAAAAACATACACCAATAGATTGATACACTGGACTGAAATTATCAATAACAACAGAATAGTGTAGGTTGGAACATAAAAGGTTAAAGCAATATTAAATATAACGATGAAGGGGTAAAATAGTATTATTGTTTAACTTACTGAAGTAGTAAGGTATCTGTTAAGCCTAAACTAATGAGTATTCTAAACTTTGGTAAAGCATCCCACACACATGACCTTTTCTTGTAGGACTCGTACACAAATCTGGAAAAAGATATTAATTTCTATGCAATTTTAAAATGAAAATGGCACATCACAAGACAATTATAGTCTATGATATTGTAAATCTTCATCAAATGAAATAAAGTTTTTATGTTCTACATAAACGGTGGTATAAGCTAAACAGAATCTTAGTTTAAACTCTCACATTAGTGTGTCAGTGTCAAGAACAAATAAACATATTTAAAAAATCTAACAGTGAATCATCATCACTTAATAATTAATTTAACTTTCTTACCCATATTCATTTTCTTGACTTTCCAGTAAATCCCATTTATTCTGTCGTAATGGAAATATTATAAGGCAGAATAAAACAAAGACTAGACAAGCTATTAGATAGAAAAACAGTAACAGGTTCATTGTCTGAAAAGGAATACAGAAATTTATATTACCAAATACAGAAATGACAAGTTAGTAGTTTGAACTAAATTACTAATTTTATTTTACATTAATACAAAGTGTGAGAGGTGTATTCTTACCTGAAATATGATGGAATCACAAGTGAATGTATTATCATATAGAAATATATCTCTACTGGACAATCTAAAAACCATACCCTAAAAAAATTACAAAAACATTTAATTCACTTCTCTACTCATATTGGCATATTTCAGATACTGGTAGTAGTAGCAGTGGAAATGATGGTTTGACAATACAATAAAAGTAGCCTACATGTACCTCAAATGAACTATACAGTAATCTTCGTTACACCTAATGATGTTGGAGGAGAAGGTTGGGTGTGTGAAGTCTCGGAGAGCACCACCAAACCGTAAGAACGAACCTTGACATAACCAAGCAAATGACGTTATGTAAAGGACCAACCCTCTTAACAAATTATTCTGTGACTATAACTGTATCAAATTTCAAATCAAAGTCAAAACATTAAAAACTTACCTCATCAAATATAGATGTACAAGAAAAAGAACGAATTATGCAAATTATTATTGGCATAAGATAAATAATAACTATTAAATATAAAAATCTTCTAAGTTTTAGCCTGCTGTTTATAATCATCTCTTCTTTTTCTTTATCTTTCTGGTGTTTTCTTAATTTTAACAGAGTTTTTTCCTGAAATAATTTTAACATGATTCTTTAGAATGTAATAATATAAAAACTCTACATTTGTAATGGAAAAAATAAAATGGATATGAAAAAAAATTGTCAATTTTTAAATAACAATACAAATTAGTAGCAGACTTTGACATTATGAGATGTTCCATACACCTTGGTTATGGCAAAAAGTCATTTTGTCAAAATTCTATGGAATAAACCATAAGAGATATGATAAACCATAAAAGACATAAAAAACAGACATAATATAGTCAAACTATCACATTAATGCACCTACATGGGCACCCATTTACCTTGCTCTGAAGGCATTTAGAACCACTTTTTTGTAAATCCAATTAGCATTTGTTGACAGTTCTCTCCACTCCCTCTGACAACTATTAAGTAACATTTTTGTTGTTAAAACAACAAAAATGTTACTTAATATGATCGTACTATTACTTAAATTACAAAATGAGCTGATCAAGCTATCATGAAATTATGTTTCTGTTTAAAAATGTCCCCAAATAATAAAGATCTGACTACCTCTCTGTTGTTAATGATCAGTCCTATTATTATTATAATTGTTGGTATACATAACGCTGTCAACCATTCTATATACAACTTATCTTTTGTAGTGGATACCATACACCCTAAAATATATTATCATTTCTTATAGTTACTGCTTTTGCTTCTAATGAAATCTTTATTCAAAAGTTATTGATGATTTGTACAGTAGGCCTTCATGTGTATAGGCCGTCTTCATTAGCCCAGATGGTGCAGAAAAGTAGGTCATAAAACTCTATTCATTCATTTCATTATTTAATAATTTTCTAAAATATTTGCCAAGTTTTTATGGCATAAAAGGAAACAGATATCATAATGGTGCAAATAAAAGAGTTACACATACACATATTTACGCCAGAAAACCTGTCGTGAGAAAAATGAACATACAGGAGTCTGTCTGTTTTTGGTTCCAGTTTTACAAATGAAATAATGTTTTATGATAGCTCAACTTATACTAACTTAAATCAACAACACTAGCAGTAAATTTACCAAATCCTATGATACTTATAAATTTTATAACTGATGGAGGCCAGTTGGTTTTTACATGGATAGATGATATTAGTAGTTGAAAAAAATGAATCATGATCTTTAGCTGAAAGTATAGATCACATAATTCAATGATTACACCACCCTTTCCTCTATTGACAAAAATTAACCAAAAATTATTTTTGATCATTCTTGTTATTTTAAAGCTTGCGCATACAAATCCTTTCATTTTGATAATTTACTTAAAAAAAACCTGGAGGTTAAAGCTCAAACCAAGAAATAATGTAATCTCCTTTCTGTTCCTGTTATAAATTTCACAGGGCCTAACTGTGTAAATTTTATCAATGCACATCATGAATACTAAAAAGATCAACTCAAATAATTTTATGAAACGAAATGGCTATGTGCTAAGTTTCAATAATAATCAGAACATTTTTATATTTCTGTACAAAACCTTGGTGACATATTGGGGAGTGAAACCTTGAAGAAAGAAACCAATCAGCACAATGAGTAAAAATAAACCCAGTGTTACAGCTGTCCATGGAATCTTCTCACATGGTATACATGAATTACCAAACAGAAAATATTCTACAATAGAAAAAAAAGTTATTTTAATCCCAATAGACTGCTTACTTGATGCAATATGATCATGGATATGGATCATACTGAGAATTCGTTTCACACTGGACAATCAATCATTGAATCTTTATCATAGATTCCCACTTCATAGACACATGTAAAATCTTTCACGAGAATAGAACCAATATTCAAAAAGCCAACAAAATTGACAGTGATTTCAGCAGTGCCCATCTAAACTATCTGGCAATTTTTTCATCAAAGACCTATAAAAGACTTACTGGCATCAGATACAGTCTGATCACATGACTCACAAGTTAGCCCTGTTGTTCCTGGTAAACATTGATTATCTGGCTGACAGTTCTGAGGGAAGAAACAGGAAATACATGCCACTGATTGGTTTTCTAAATGTCCACCTGAAAACAAGTTTAACTGGATTCTTCATTTAAGTTTAAATCATAAAATTAATAAAGTTTCAAGATCAGTTAAATTACTTATTTCATATGGCCAGACATGATTGGCCCCAAATAAATATACATGTATCTTTGATTCAAGTAGCAATCAAATGTTATTCAGGAATCATTAAACTAAGACAAAAACTACGGTACCCTTCAAAACATGACTGTTTAAGAATGAGGGGAGTTTTTGTCTTAGTTTCCTCTAAAATATTTCGCTTCACCGCATAGGCCTAGTCTATCTATAAAAGTTCTTGCCATTTTTATAATTCAAAAAAACAAAACAAAGAACCAACCTGTTAAGTTGAAACGTGTGATATTTAGACAATGAATTCTTTCATGTACATCCATTGTATCAATTTCAACATCAAAATGTCTTGTCACTAGATAGAGCTGCTACAGAAAAAGTAAGAAAAGTTTAGAAGTCATCGGATTGATCAAAAGAGTAAACTTATGCTACTAGAAAATGTAGGCCTATCCTTAATGGAAGATCTAGGCTTAATCATGGGAAATAACTGACCAAGTCAAGAAAACTTGGGCCAAGATTTTTGTCTTTTACTACTGGGGTGTGTAGTTTCTGCTGTCTTGATAAGGTTTCACGGGAATGTTAATCTTAGAAGAGAAAGTGAAGCAAGGAAACTAACCCATCCACTAAAGAGATATTATTATAGTAGATCTAAGTAATTTTGGCATTTGATTTATATTTAGCCTATTTGGCAATAACTTAAATTGTTCTTACGTTACCTATGACATTCCAAATAAATAAATGATGCTCATATCACCCAAAATGAGTTCTAAATCTAAATTAAAAAAAAAAAAAAACTTTTGTTTACTTTTTAAAGTTAAATTCCACATTGAACTAAAGGGAAATAGCTCTCATAGTCTCGGGTTCATAGTTGTCTCCCTTTGACCATAAATTCTATCCAGTTTTGTTTGCCGAGATTTAAGAACCTCACAATATTGTGTTATCCTCATGAAAATAAAATAAAACATTTTTGCTCAAGATTGGGCTTGTGAAGAAGGGCAAAACCATACATTGAGCAAAGAAAGATAACTGTTGAGGGGCCTTTTATTATACACAGCCTGTAACACATAGTCTCATGTTATTGTCCCATGACTATGAACTAAAGACTGGCACTATGAAATGTAAGGTCAGCATAACATTTATACTTGTCTATATCCAGTTGCACAAAGCTTTCTCTTTGATTTGGTACAAACAACAAAACTGACTATTTATATATTTTTAATGTTCACATTTTTTATTACAAAATATGCAGGGAGTAGGTCAACATATAAAACATTAATTTCTTAAAAAGTATAGGCCTAGTATTTTGTTTTGATTGTTGTTCAAGATGATCTAGAAAAGGTCGAAATTAGCACAATAACAAAATACTAAGTGGAGTCATTTATTTACTGTCTGTAATGGTAGCCTCGTTTCTGACTAAAAATAAATTGTTCAGATATTAGGGTTCAGGAGTTTTCATTATTTACATATTCAATATTTGGGTAGAGAATATATTAATTATATACATAATATATTATAACGGGAAATATTAAAGCTTGTATACAGCATGGTAGAAATATCAAGGGAACCCTATCTTATTGTAATGTACAGTACAAATATTTTTGGTAGACTTTTCTTCACTGATTATGGACACATATTGGTAACCAGACACAATTTGCTTCATCTTTTGTCATTTTTTCCATTGATAAATGCAAGTAGTTCATGCCCAAATTACCACATGACAAGAAATGAGCTTCAATGTATTTGGTAGGTCTGATAAACAGATACATTCAAAACACATTACATTTACCTACACGCACACAGAAACTCAACCCAAATGACTAACATTATAAAATCATGGTACTAATATTGTAGATGACTAACAAGTGCTGAATTAAAATCAATCCTATAACATACAAATTATAAAAAATTATAAAATTCTGAATGATACTACATAAACATGGTATTTAAATTCATTCATTCTTTAACCTTATATGTCTAATTTTCTACAATGATTTTAACAAGTTAACAGTTTTACTGTAATACAGACCCATTTTAACTATAATTCATTTGATGAATTGAATTTGTTCAATAATTTGAGATTCTTTCATTTTACTCCCCATCCATTCTACTCTAGTATAATTTGAGGTGTATTGAATACAATTGTAACAGAAAAATAATTTTTCCATAAATGTGACACAACCAAGGTATAGTATTTTGGTATATTTAGTTTTATTCGTGCAAAAAAGATTTAGGTTAAGCAATTGGTCACTGCATAATCTTAGTGAGGGAATTTGTAAGCAATTCAGAATGGTAGAATATAACTACATGTATTTCTAATAATAAAAGCATAGGAAGGTATATAAAAAGAATATAATATTAATAAAATGAGGTCAGATATTTCACGAGACTTTTTATAAGTATAGTGATCTACACTATCTATACTTTATTGTCTTTCATACACAATATTTTAACAATAAATGCATTGGTTGGTAGTAGATATAGGGTGGCACTCGATTGGAGAGTTCTGAACCCATTCCTTGTTTCAATTCCACTCCCAATCGAAAGGTCACATTCAGAATTTTTCAATTTATTTCCTTCTCCGTCAGAATTCTGTCTGCCCCTACTATTTTTTGTGACACACATTGGATGCGTTCTAAAGTCAGTTCCAACTTGTTTTATTGAACGCTGTTGATTCCATAAATCCCAAACATGCAGAACACACCAATCAAGCGGCCCCTTACATTGTTTGCTGTAATTTACATTGTTTATACACTTGGCACTAAATAATAATCAACTACTTGAATCCTTTTACAAACTTAATTCACAATGGCTCTGATCTAGTAGAACCTCCAACTTAAAAAATGTATAATATAACTAAGTTGTGAAAATTCTGATACCAAAAGCCTTAACTAGATCTATGCCCATTAGTTTGAAATAACTATACATCATATAAATAGCACTGAGGTCACAATATAAAGCACAGTTCATCAACAATCTTCACCAGAAGTCAATGTTGAGGGTGTGTTTATTACAAGTGTCTTTATTGTTTCTAATAAATATTTCTTTATCACAATATTTACACAATTTCATTAATTTGTGAGTTTTCTTGCCATCACATGTCAGCAAAGTTTTTCCCTGAGAAACTGACTAACATGAGGAGTTGTTTCCCCTTGTTTTTTTTTTTAAAAGCAGACACTCAAATCACTGTTTTGTGAGCACAATAAAAATAGTTTTGAGGTTAAAACACATGTTTTAACAAGCAAATAAGTCCACAACACAATAAAACACAATATTAATGTGAGTCCACCATATGAACCTGTACATTAGCTATAACATTATGAGGTGTGTCTAAAATTGTTGTAGTGGGGGTAACACTAGAGTCTGAAGGTAGACATGTTTGTTCAGGTATTGTAGAGTATGTTGTAGATAAACGTGTTTGTGGAGGTGTTGGACTCCTACTTCTCCTAGAGATACTAGGAGGTGGGGGTAATATAGGTGTTTTAGATACACCATGTATAGTAGGTTTATATCGGTCTCTACCTATTAACAATGGTTCTAAACACGGTAAACTAGCATGTTCACTATCTTCATGAGGTGTCATAGTACTATAACCATGATCACTGTCCCCACCAGCTGGTCTACGATATGACGTATTAACTCTATATGGAGAGATACTAGCTGGATTCTCAAACGATGCTAACACAAAATTAGTATGACCTGAAAGATAAATCAAAAGACATTTTAACAAAACCCTATGCAATTCTGACTTGACAAATTTTGACGAGTACAAGTCAGTGAGTTTTTTTACTTTGCTTACTTTGGAGTAAACCAATTTCCAAAGTAGCTGATGAAGATTTAATATCTGAAATAAGGTGTTGATGGCTATAGATGAGCTCTTGCCAAAAAGGTAAAGTAGTTATTTATTTTCTACTAAGAAGTTTACAATTTGAAAATCAATGAAATAAATCATGGTAAACCTATATTCCATGATTCAAACATTGTAAGAGTGGCTTACCTGAACTTGGTTCATCTGCAGGTTCAATATCTTCTGGTTCATTATAATAATGACTCATTCTATTATTACCATCAGGCATAGAACTAATATATTGATGTGTATTACGATGTACATGATGTCTATAACAATAGACACCTAATGCTAATATCAGAAAACATCCCATAATACCACCTGCTACAGGACCTACTGGTGTACTCTTTACTGTTGGAGGTTCAAGATGTTGTGCCATTACATTAGCTGGAATAAGAAAAATCAATTCTGTACTATCTAGAAATTTAATACCGGTAAGTGGGCGAAACGTTTCAAAAAAAGTAACCTTACACTTTCATATCATGCTACAGGTTTTAGAATATCTTGGTTTGGCTAAATATTGTTATTATGACTTGTCAAAGCTTGTTGTCTTATATATCTTTCTTTTTCATAAACAAGTGTAACTTGTGTTGTTCGATTACTATTTATTCTTCCCAAAAATGAAATAAGACGGCTTGACTCATTTTTTCACCTTTATCACACCTACAGGTTTGAAGAACAACATTACTAACCTCATCTTATAAATAATACAAAATACAAAGATACATACCAGCTATTTCATCACCATATGGTGTATGAGCACCAACTACACCACCAAAACATACTCTTTGATTAGCACAATATGGTTTATTAATAGTTGTTTTACCATCTAACTGTACTTGACACCATTCACAGTCAATAACTCCCATACAATCACTATAATATAGAGTATACTCTTACAGTATTTAGAACCAACACCTATAATGATCTTCTAGATTTTTTCAGACAGCCAGTTGGACACCATTTTGACATGACAATGTATGCTTAAATGACACTTAATGAAGAATATAAATGAATATAGAAGATAGATATTTAGACACACAAAGACTGCAATATCACAATATGAAATGATAAACAAAAGGAGTTAGGGATTTGCTAATGAAGTTATTCTGCACTATGAGAAAGAAACCAAACTTACTTTTTAGTTTTCCTTTCTTCACAGTTAGGTTGATAACATTGTTGTAATTTAGATGTTAAACTAGCATTCACCATTACTATATGTTCTTCTTCTGGGTTTCTATCACAACTAGCATTTCTGTAATAAATATATAATTTAGAAATAATTTATATTGATAAATGTTATTTTATTGAAATATAACTCATTATTGGCCTGTGTGTACTACAGTGTACAGTATTGTGTGTTTCATCTAAATCAATGCCAAAACATTTGTTATCTGTTTTTCTCTGAAAAGGATTCAATCATTGAGTTGATGAGTAAGCTTACCAACTAGTGACAATTATCAAAGTTAAAAATGTACCATGACTACGAAACTAAATAAACTTTTGGACTTGATTTCAAGGGGTTTAAGCTAATCTGCTGAATATGCCAAAATAAAAAAAATTATGCTTACAAGTCTTCTTCATCAAGGAGTTCACCAGTACAAAGATCCATTTCTAGTGGACATTCACAAGGACATTCACATTCACTCTGTTCCATTCTGTGACAGTTTAAACATAGTCTATCAACCTAGAATATATCAATATGTTATTTATCTTGATGGATATATCAAGTTTATATCTCATGCTATTAAAACATGTTTCAGCAGGACAGTTGGACAGTTGCTCTGTAATGAAGCAATGTGTTAAATTCTGAACTACCCAAGAAACCAAAGAAAAATAAAGGCTTACCATACTACAGGGACAGAAAGCAGTAGCTGTTTCACAAGTATGATTAACTATACCCAAGAATGCATTAGTACCAGGTATATAGGTGATCTGAAAAACGTTTTTTAACAGTTATTGAATACAGCAATAAAATAAAACCATCAGATTTTAACCTCCAATAGATTCTCCACACATAAAATTATCAAAAGTATTCAGTATGGAATTGTAAATAATACGAAATATTACAAGCTTATGGCACCAAATCTATTTGCAGGTAGATTCAAATTAATTAATAAGCTATCCTTGAGGGCAGGTTTTTAATTTAAAGTACAAGACTTGAGGTACATTTCTTCCCTCTAAAGGCATAGTTGGTGCAAGTACCCTCAGGCTTCACTTTCATGTATTCATAACTGTCCTTGGTCATTATCTTATAAAGAAAGAATCTTACCTGATATCTGGCACAATGTTCACCATGTACCAAATTAGTCAGAATACCTTCTAGACTGGTGTTAAACTGTAATTAAAAAATATTAAATATCAATTTGTATAAGAAAGGTAACTATAAATAATACATGCTAAATTCTACTTTGATTCAATCAATCTTTATAAATTGGACATGTAATACTATGTTTATATGAAGAAATTACCTTATAATATCTCTGTACTGTTCTATCATTGTATCTATTACATAGTTTTTTCTGTACAAATCCTCTATGGTTTAATATATCATTAGCTACTAGCGGTTCCTGAAGAAAATAACAACAATTTATAAGAGCCATTTTAATTCCATTGTAATGGGCTGTACACTTTACATTACATTACATTTACGGTACATGAACTGTAAAATTTTCATATATGAACACCTTAAAAAAATCAAGAAACATAACATTAAAATGTTTCTGCAAAAATAGTAACTAGTTTTGGCATTCTTAAATTAATGTCAAGATACTTTAAGTTAAAACTTTCAGACAAGTTAAGAGACTCATTTCTCTAGAATTTGCTTTTAGTTTTCACAAATTTGAACACACAATGCAATATATAACTCACCTTATGTGTGATATGTTGTTGTTCTACAGGACCTTTACCATTAGGATCAATAAAAGCTGGATGAGCTATTAAATATCCCTTATCATCCATCAAAAAACATCTAACAGTAGGCTGATTACACCCTTTAATACTTTCTAATAATAGTTTATGGAAATATCCCATAGTTATATCCATACCCATTACAGCAGCTACTCTATCAGCTGGACTATGTAACGCTGCTGGTCTGAATTACAAAAACACAATGTAACAATATAATTCTGTGTTCGGAGGCATTTACAGAACCAAAGAAGCATATTTCTACATTTTTGTAAGTTATTGGGCTAGATACCAGATTTCCAATGTTATACTTTTATACAAAAACATTTTGAATATAAGAATTTGACCCAAAAAATCAAAGAAATTTACAATAAAAACATTGCAAATATGTATTCCTAAATTCTAACAAACAGTTTTGTGGTGTAATTTATTTTCTGACTTACTTTCCCTCAAATATAGTATGACTAATAGTAACAATATAACCAGCACCACCAACATCTAAATATGGTGCCGTTAATGTCACATGACCAGGAAATTCTAATGCTCTAGAAAACCTAAAAGAAGAAATACAATTTCGTTAATGAGAGTGGGTAATTTTAGGATATGCAATAGATACCATAGGTAGTATATCAGTGTTGAACTTATACAGACCATCAATATTAGTAAGAGTGGTTGTAACAACAATATATAATTTAAACTACGAAAGCACAGGCTGGGGTGAAAATCTACATAATGAAGTGATAATAATGATTTTCTAATAATAAAAAATTTGGATGCTGGAGGTTGTAGTTTTCTGTTTCTATTTTTGTTTGACATCAATCATAAGGTTTTAGGTATATAAAGGTATTTTGTGTACATATGACAACAATTCAGATAAAACAATGAAGGCAGAATAGTAGGATGTAAATCTACATTGCATTTCCAATGAATATAGTTTTAAACTTACCAGCTTCTCTTGGTAGGATCAAATGATTTACCAAGTTGTGTACCAGGATACATTCTACTAACTCCACTAGGTGTCGCCACATATCTTCTTATAATATAATCTTTTAATGTACTAGCTTTATATCTTCTTATCCATTCTTCATTAATTCTAGTACTAGCAGCTACATCATTTCTTACTTTATCCTTTAAATCAATAATACAATATAAATTTGACTTCGAAATCACTACCAAGAAAACCTTACCCAAGAACAGTCAAAGCTGTAAAAAATGATATTTGTGTGAGAGAAGATCTTAAAATATTTGTCTATTTACACATATCAATCATAAAACTTAGAGGTAAATTTCCTTAGTTTATGAACCAATACACTGAACTACAGAGAGAAGTCATCGATTTGCCTATTTTCTTTTTATTTTATACAAAAGACACTCAATTGAGTTGATAAAAGTAAATCCATTGCTTCAAAATACGTAGTTGAGCTCCAAAGATTTAACAAATATACCATATCCAACACAATGCATTAAGGTCTTTTAACAAAGTAGATTCCAATAAAGTTTAAAACTACAAACTAACCTTTAGACCAGGATTAGATATCATCATAGTATCATCTTTAAGATATGTTAAATAAATCTGTACTATTCTCTTAGTTTCTTCTTCACTCAAATGTTCAAAAGGATTTTCAAAACTATTAGCTGAGAGAAAGATAGTACTGGTATCTAATGTTGATAATTGTTTTAAATGTAGACACATCTTATCCCTTGGTAATAAATCTAATCTGTGATACACTAAATCAGGTTGATTTGACACTGAAATATACAATTGCATTTACAATATATATGATTACCATAGTCAGTGTACTGCAGTATGCAATGAGGGAAATTTTGCAATGACAACAGCTGCAACCATCTACAAATTTGATTTTTAACTGATACAGAATCTTTAACATGCACAACTTGTATCCTGATAGTTGTAGTAATATTGGAATACAGAAGTTTGGGGAGTACAAATTTTGGGATAATACCACATGGAGATTTTGTTTTCAGAATAAGCTTACGTGTCTGATGCAGCACTTATTGCGAAGGGTCTTATCTGATACAAGCATATTTTTAAAAAGCAATTCATCCAAAGATAGTCTTACCTATGTTTCTAATTTCTCTAGTTTTCTTAATTTCTATTAAGACTTTTAAAACGACAATATAAGGTGCATTATCAACTTTTCTCCACATATATTTAGCATAGAAATGAGGTGTAGAATGTTCTGGAGAAACTGAGGAATTATTAGAATCTAATAATAATGTAGACTCCCCTTCTTCCAAACTGAAATAGATAAATAATTCACATAAATATATTTGAAATATACCCAGTATCAAAAGATACTGACCTTTGGAGCTTTATATTTTATATGGAGACCTAAAGCCAGACCCAAACAACAGATTTTTATTTTTATTAAACGCACATGACTCAAAACATTCTTTCTCAAACAAATGGTTCTGAAATCAAAACCAAAACAATAGTTTACACAAAAGAATTTTGTAATGAATCAATGTTCAGCATACAAAAGTCTGTAATTTGCTCAATATCATATCTGAATTATAAAGGAAAACATATCTCAGGGTATAATTTGTCAACACGTGCTAGACTGAATCTTACAGTAGACAGCTTCAGGATTTTAGAATTCAGAATGTGTGTTTAAGAAAAGGAAAAAAACGTATATTACAATCACAAGATTCTGTGATTCTGTCTTGCTCTTGTCTCTGTAAAAACTACATACCTCAGAATACTTCTTCTAATTAATTCAAAGCCATTAACATTCTCAAAATGACGGATATCTGTATGCATAGGTTGTATGTTAGTTCTAATAGGTCTAGAGAATGATGGATGCATGATGGTAAAACCTGTAAGGAAAGGAAGTATGGTTAATGTCTGACATTGAAGCACCAATGACTCCATTTGACGATAAATCATGCTATTTACAAGTAAATCAGAGTATAATTTTATGGTTGAAATTCAGTAAGTTTATCTAAGATCATTTATTCAAGTCATTGTAAGATCATGATTCAAAGTTAATCCAAGATCATGATTCAAAGTTAATCTAAGATCATTTATTCAAAGTCATTCTAAGATCATGATTCAAAGTTATTGTAAGTTCATTGTTCAAAATTAATCCAAGTTCATGATTCAAAGTCATTCTAAGATCATGATTCAAAGTTGATTCAAAGTTATTGTAAGATCATGATTCAAATTTAGTCTAAGAGCATTTTTCAAAGTTATTCTAAGATTGTGATTCAAAGTTATTGTAAGATCATGATTTAAAGTAAATCCAAGATCATGATTTAAAGTAAATCCAAGATCATGATTCAAAGAAATTGTAAGATCATGATTCAAAGAAATTGTAAGATCAAGATTCAAAGTAAATCTACTATCGTTAGTCAAAGTTAATCCAAGATCGTGCTTCAAAGTTATTCTAAGATCACGATTCAATGGTTCTCCAAGATCACAATTCAAAGTTATTGCAAAATCATGATTGAAATGTGTAAAAAGTTATACGTACCATCAACAGTAACAATAAAGCTATATGATTGACCATCTTGATTATAATAAGTAACATCTTGTACTATATCTTCTACATGTAAATCAACACCCACCATACCAATTAATTTAGATTTCTCTTTATATTTATGAAAACAGGGTTGACTCAATGTTAATACTAGTGCTGAAATCAATAAATAGATCATTTCAATTAGTAATAATAAATTTCTCCAATAAACATAACTATGTGCACTCTCTAAAGAGATGTTGAGTTGACAAACTCAGTTGCAGAGGGACAGCATGCCCTGCCTCCCTAATGAATTATGATAATGAAATGTCGTAAATTTGAAAAGAAAAGAAACTATAGAGAACACAAGTTGTTCTATTCAGTGATCCAAAATCTTACTTACAGAAAGAAAGCTCAAGCTAAGTAAGAATATAATAATATTAAAACAATTTCATATAACAAATATCTAGTTCAATTACTTTCAGTGTGGCCTTTTGTCCCTTGATATACATATTTCTATTAAGATGCCATTTATGACTATTTTTCATTATTCATCAGAAATTGTGTTCAAATGTACTTACATCTGTCTGCTTCATCTATATAAGGTAATGAGAATACAGGACTTTCATCTGATGTATTATTTAATGGTAAATAAAATCTTCCTACACTTGAACTTAGATCAGTAGTTGAATTGATAGCCATCATCATACCACGCTACAATAAAATCACATATTATCACTATTCATATAAACACATACAGGACTTGTACTCTCTTTCACCTTCAATTCAATGAAGATAGGTATACAATGTGCAATAATGGGAATATTGCAAGAGAAACTTCAACAATTTGCCTATTTTTAGATTTTACTTTTCATTCAGTTCTGACAACTAAGTGCAGAAAAGTAGGAAATTAACGTTGTTCCAATTTCTCAAACTTGAAAGTTTATCAATTGGATACCAATAATAGTAGAAAAGAAAACTTACTATAACTGGTATTCTTAATGTATAATTAACATTATAAACAGGATAATTTTGATAAGCTACATTCTGTAAAAATGTCTTCTCATACATAATAGGTTTACCATCTACAAAATAATTGTTAGAAATTTAAAATTTGCTACGATAAAAAGGGTAACTAAGAATTGTATTTATCCATTTGTCCATACTCTTAACAATCTGTGATTTCAAATCGCTCAACCGAGGCTTATTAGCAATATTTTCCAGAAACTTCTAGAATCAAATGTCATTATTCCAATTGAAATTCATAATCCAAATTATCTTTATAGAGAAAATATATAAAAAACTGTGCAGTGATGATTTATGCAGTTAATTTGAGAAAATCTTGAGGTTTGTTTTCATTTCATTTCTAGTATTTGCTTGTATTTATTAATGACTATAGCTAGTTATTGATTTTTAACATAAACATAGCAATATACTAACCATCTATTACAGCATATGTATTGATAATAACTTTATTTCCTGTTCTAGCATTCTGTATAGATATAATCTTCATAACTTCCCCGGCTTGTGTTAGAGAGGACAATAAACCACGACTAATATATAATATCATAGCATGTTCTGTATAACCATTCTCTCTTAAAGCATTCTGTACCATCTTAAATGCTGTTTCAAATCCTAATGAATGATTTGTTGTACCTGAAATATATAAGTTTATGCCTGATATATACAAGTTTATACCTAACATGAGTGCATAATAACTTCATGACATTTCTTTTGCCCTACATATACTTTGATTATTGACATTTAAGGTGGCATTTATTTTCAAATTATTACCAAATACAACCTGAAAGGTTGTCAGTCAAATTTTTCTTATCATAAATATGTCCCAATTCTTTTAAAGGGAGATTCATTAATAATTCACAACCCAAAAGATGCTAAATGTTTGCAAATTTGTTGTAAGAAATTACAAAGTAACTCTTGTCTTAAAATTCTAGATATCTGCAGAATACTTCAAAATAGTTATTTTTAAATACAAATTTAGAAATAGCCATCACTTACTGTTAACTTTACTCAAATCATCTACAAATTTACTGAAGAACGATCTGGTCTCAAATGTTGCTGGTACTAAAGAATTAGTTAAACAAGCATCAGATCTAGGATAGGTAGGTTTTGATGATAGACCAATCATACCAATCTATAATTATCAAAAATTAAATACATCATTTACTTACATAAGATTTGAATGACATTTAGAAGTGAGGATTATTCAAAAACACAAGACAATAGAATAAGCACACTTCTTAAAAGGGACGGAAGCGCCATTTTGGGAGGTTGATTTGACCAATCTTGATAGGGCATTGCCAAAGTTTTCAAGATAACAAAGACCATCTTCCTTGAGAATTACCAGAGTTCTGCAGATAACACGGACCAGTCTTCCTTGGGCATTGCCAAAGTTCTCCAGATAAATGGTTAAGTACCTACTAATTAAGTTAATCAACATATATATTTGAGTGTGAGTTGTGCAGCAGATAGAAAATGGATGACTTACTCTATCATTTTTGGAAAATGAACCCAGTAAATGTTTAGCAATAGCTTTAGCTGTATGTAGTTGATTTTTACTCATAGAATTACCATGGTCCATCATAATTACAACATTCTTTCTCTGAGGCTGTATTGTAGATAGAAATACATCTCTGAAATAGAAGAATCAAATTTAATAAATAACTTGAGAAGGATAGATGTCTGTTGACAATATATTCATTAAAATAACCTGCATCCATTATTGGTAAAGCCGAGTCAATGGCACTTTTGTTCAAAAAATTTGGATTTCATGCCTCTGTTTCGTGAAAAAATCTTTGGATAAAATATTGTCAGATCAGATGTCTGGAATTTACACTTACATTTTTCTATATACAGAAAAACCTACTTATGGCAGATATTGGCCCTCAAATTTTTTTTAAAAACAGGGGCAGATCAACCTGGTTGAGTTTAATGTAATTTATCAAATACCAAGACACAATAAGATTAGAAACATATTATGTGACAAATCAGTCATATGAAAAGTGACAGCTGTATTCAAGAAAATGCTTAATGCAACCCTCAAGGCTTTGTTTAAATGATTTTAAAAAAAAAAAGGTAAAATAAAACAGGAACTGAAGTATCAAGTACATTGTTAATATATTGTTTACTGATAGTATTAAATCCTATAGGTATATTTGAGAACTGTGTGTTATAATGATAGAAAGTGATGTCTGTGGTAGTTGAACAGATTAGAGTTTAACTCCTAATTCTGTATAATAAACAAAGACTTTTTATTCCTCCAGATAAGACAGAGGTATTCAAAAAATCTGTATTTACAGACAAACAGCCTAGACCTAGTCAATTGTTCAATAATATAGAAGAAGAAAAAGAGTTGAGATATTATTTGTTGAAAAGCTGTGTAATGATTTCAAATCTACTGAAGACAAAGTAACTCAGGTATACATGTACAAGAGCCAAGTTTGTCTTTACGTCAATATTTTCTTAGCCACCTTAATCTATTTGTTTGCCTTTTTAAGAGAAGATTTTCCTGTTGTCTTGGTTGTAAAAGACTTTGATGTTAGGGTAGACAGGGATGATTTTAAGTAAATACTTGTAAATACATTGCCCCTGTAACAAACTATTTACACAATAAGCTTTTAACTTTGTTTTTAAACCTTTGAAAACTACTACTACATTAGTGTGTGTATGCACCAACTGCACTGTATGTATGTATTTGGTATGTTTCAAAACTAGCAGTATTTCCATTCAAACTGTATGTCTTACAGCCTATTACATTAGCTTATAAATGTAAGTTTAAATCTTCATTAATTGAAATTATTTTTTGATTCTAAACATCACTAATTCAAAACACTAAAATTTAGAATGTAATGTTGATCTTAAGACAGCAAAAATTTCAAATCACATTGACCATTGATTTTATATCTTAGTTTAAAATTATTGCTAAATAGGCAAGGTTTGCCAATATGGCACCACTTTTGGCGTGTATACAGCTAATAATTTCTATTCAGGAAAATTATTACCAGAATTGCTTGGTAAATACCATCTTTAAACTGTAACATAGAATATTGTAAGAGAAAATAGTATAGAATGTTGTATAATTACACATCAAAGACTGGTAATAGTGATATTCACATCTAGATGAATTATTAGACATTTTACTATTATTATATTCCATTTACTAGCTCTAATGATACATACAACCAGTCAAATATTCAATACTTATATTACATACAACAATATATTGAGTTTTCATATTCAAAATGTGGAGTAGAAATGAAAGGAAATGAGAATTGATTTTAAAACATCAAAGACTAGGAAAATCAATGGAACATTTTTGAATTGTTTATGCAACTCGCTTAGTATTTTAAGGATATATGTCCAACTTTGAAAACATCTTCTTTCACATTATTTGACTTCTTGCTGAAAACTATGCATTCTGACCTTCTGATTACAAGACAACTCGATTAATATTAATAGTAATAGTAAATAGTAATATGAGGAGGCACCTGTTGTTTTTAATATACACTTTATGTGGTATTTATACTTAACTTCCTTATACTCAGTAGTGTATTTCTGGGGAGGGACATTGGTTACGTTGGCTTCTGGGGGACCTCTGTCAGCTTCCAGACCCCTGGCTCAAGAAGCTTTGGCCTTCACCTTAGAGAGACACCTCATTTTTGGCCACCTCTAGTAAAGTATAACTATTACTCAAACTTGTTCCTCAAAAAATTAAAGATGATTGCTTCTGATAACTCATTGTTAAAGGAATAATTTGGATCTGTTAATTTATAGGTGATCTGAAAGCATGTCTTATTCAATCAAATGGATATAAAAAACCATAAAACTGAGTCCTTATTATACCACTGTCCAACAAACAACTATTTCTGTCACCAAAAGAGAAAGTTGTTCAAGGCACAATATATACCAGTAATAACTTGCATTGATCATATTTACTGTTTAGTCAGATTTGGTAATGAACAACAAATAACAATGACTGTTTGATTCATTTTCTCCATTTATGGTGAATGAACCTTTATATTTGTATGCAAAGAATTTGTAAATTTAACTAGTACAATTTGTAAATTTAACTAGTACAATTTGTAAATCTTTAAATTTCACTAGTAAAATTTGTAAATTTGTTAAGCTTATATCTAATTTGTTAATTTGTTATCTACCCTTTTTATTCTTTACTAATAACAGAAATTAAAATATCCTGAAAAAAAACACCCCATTGCTTTAGTACCAACCTCCACATAGATATACATGTTAGTCTAGTGTATACTTGAATATATTATCAAAATTAAAAATAACGCTATAAGCTTATTTATACAATGCATTTAAAAAATGTTTGTGATAGACAAATTACAATTGTTGTTTGACTTGATCTTATGTGATAGCCTAAGTACATTAAATTTAAATTTACGTCACCAACTCTTTTCATCAGACATAAAACTGATAAAAAAATACCCAGTGAAAAGATGAAAGAAATAGTTTCAGGCATAAAGACAAGATTGAATAGAGGAAATGTTTATTCATGTTATTAGAAAGGAATTTGAAATTAGCACATCAAAAACGTTCAAATGTTTTATGATGCCTCTAGTCAGTGTTGATCTACTTGAAAATTGTCCAACAGCTCAACAGTCTTCTGTGTTTAGAAAGCAAAAATCAATGGCTATAACAGTTTTCCTTCTGCATGAATTTCCGCAAGTGATTCTATAGTCAATGATCAAAGAGATTGAACATAATATCACCTTTCTCTAGTTAAAACTACTGTCAATATACTGATTAATCAATAGCTGAACAGACAACTTCATTTACTCTTATCTAACACACACTGATTTACAGGCTAGTTTAGTACTGATAGTCTCTATTTATTATAACTAGTACCATTACCGTACTCTACTTATTCATAGTTAAATTGGTCTTAGGTTATTAAACATGGTCAGCTATAATCATAATATTTCTTTCTTTACATCTCTCATATTAGAAATGGTGTCTGTATAAAGCCAATTTGTATTACAGAAAGAGATCATATACTTTATGTAGCGAAAAGGAAATTAATGTGTCCAGGCTGTACCATGTCAGTGAGCCACCATTGATTTCAAATGTTGTATGTATGTATGTATGGTAGAATTTGAATAAAATAGACATTTTAAAAGCATCAGTTATATTTAAGGTATATTTTGGTTATATCTTCATCAATACTAATACTGTCTAATACAGTAAGGTTATAAAGTTTTTGGACACTAATTACTTGTTTGCAATAGTAAGCTTACTGCAATTTTTTGTTACAATTATTCTTGTTTCAATTACTTTAAGGTTAAAGAGTTACTGACCTGTGTCTTGTGTCATGGACATTATGACAATCTTGTGACCAGCGGAAACCATTAGCAGGATATTCACTATGTATTCCTTCTGCTGAGATAAAATACTGCCATTTTAAAGTTGAAAAATACTGTACATTACTTCTCCATACTGAAATACAAAAAGAAGCATTGTTGTGAAATTTGAGTTTTCAAAAGACAAAGTTAATAGATGGAAATATTTAGAAATCATTTCAATAAGCAATCCTATCTTGATGATTAAAAAAACTTCACAATTCAACAAGGCCAATAACATCTTGCTCTATTTTTTTGAAGTTTTATTACCAGAATAATCGGGCAATTGATGGCATCGCATTAAATTTAGGTAATTTTCAGGAATAAGAATATGTCTAAGGATGTAGTATTATTCTATAAAAAAAAAAGTTGATAAATAAATTCTTGTTGTTGTAGGCATGTGTATTTTAATTGTAAACAAATCACAGACTTCGTTACAACTGTTCAAAGTAGCAGAAAGAATGCCAAGACAGAGAAAAAAAGTGGAATGCTGGCTCGATATTGTACATGTCATTCACTTCAAACAGAAGTAACCCTTGAAAAATGTTGCTTCATTTCTTACTTGCTAGAGGAAATGTAAACATAATGCTCTTAGTTTGTAAAATCTTTATTTTTGCACCTGAGGTAAAAGGATGACCTAACATTTGGTAGGATTAACAAGTTAGATCTAATTTCTAGTTAAACTAATATATTACATGTAAACTGTAGAGAATAAACAATTTATCACTCAAAATTAACATATAAATTTCATCAATTTGCTGTGAAAAATATTTACATTGGACTTTGGTCTTGGCTGGTGCCTTATTCTCAAAAACTTTACATTATTTTATTGTTTGAGTCATCTGATTAGACAATCACTAAAATCATAAGTTCAGTTTTATTATCCAATCAGATTACTGTATTTCTTCGAATCTGGATTTGAACTTACAAGTTTTTGAGAATAAGCCACCCTATAAAAATATTCCCCAAAAATAACATCAACCTTTGTTTTTATATGAATTACTGTTACTCTGAGAACAACTCTTACAAATCCAGCAAATCTAGAGCGAGATCCCTGGGCAGTTAAAAAGAGTTCTCCTGGCACATTATGTGAAGTCTTCAATTCCAGCTGACACCAATTCTGACAATGGTTAATTTTCTAAATATACAGATATCAGTTCTTGTAAGTTTGAATAAAATTTCAATGTTTGAAAGAGTACTTTGACATAGATGAAACAAACTTTTGCTACAGATTAAAAAAACTATTCAAGACTTCAAAGTATAATTGTTCACAAAAAGTATTCTTTGATTTTATGTTTTTATTTTGTAACCAACACCCAAATTCTAACTAAGCTAATTATAAACCTTCAACTGTACAGTCAGAGTTCCTTCATGTGCCATTTCACTTTGAAACATTGGGAAAAACATTATAAGCTCACAGCTGTGCAAATTGAACATTGCAGCAGAACAATTCGAGTTATTTTATAAATGAAAATAATTCTCCACCACTATTATAACAATATTTCAAGGGTGAAAGTTCATCAAGAAAATTGTCAAAAATATTAACGTCTTAACTTATTTTGATTTTTTTCAATGAGTATGTGTGAATAACATTTTATCAAATTGTCTGGATAATATAATCGCATTTGTGGGATTGATAAAAACAACATTAAAATGTAAAAAATATAAATAGTGCAGAAAAAAGATTCATTATCTCTATTCTTTCTCTAAATGACTTTTTCACAAAAATGTGTTTGTTTGTGTTAATGTGATATTTTATTTTCCCCAGTTATAACTCGAGTTCTCAGTCAATGTAGAAAGATTGTAATAGAGAAAGAGAATTATGTAATTTGATTAACCAATTAGAACTTGGTGTAACACCCAACAAAATGTCATCAATACCAAGCTTAAAAGGAAAATAGCATGTTTGAAGTTGATAATGAAAGAAAAATAAATAGCAGAAGGGGTCAGATGAGGTTATCTCTTTATAAAAGGTTTTTTCTTTGTTGTATCATCTATTGCACAACAAACTACAGTTACATGAATAATGTGCAAGTCAGCATACCAAACTTTCAAATGCTAGTACAGCTTTTATAGATAGAGAGAATTTAGATATCATCCTCTTATCTTCTACATTCAGACTATTGTAATGATATTTGCTTAGCCAAGGCGGGGTTCAATTTAGATTGAAAAATTATCACACCAAATTTCAATTTTGGATAATCCAGTTAAATTTTGATTCGCATTTCTTAAAGATTTGGTAGCAATGTAAAATGTTCCAGTAGAAAATCTTCAAATATATAATTTGATATGATTCGCAGATTGGCGTGGTACATTTTAATTTTGGCTAATCAAAGAAAATATTGGATCACAAGAGGGGTCATGCAATACTGCTTAAATTGAACCCTGAATAAGAAAACAAAATTAGTTGAAATTACTAATAATGCCTACACATCTAGGATTCCATGACTAGAGACCTGATCCAAGACCATGGATCAATCTGTTGAAATAAGCTTTATGCTTTACTGAGACTATTTAAAATAGAAGATACAAGGAGTTCAAATTACTATAATATGAATGATTCAATTCCTGTAAGGAGAATTGACCATGGCTCACTTGGGTTTTCTTTGTTTTGATATTCACTTTTCTATTTATTTCTAGAATACATTTGTCCTTCAGGGTATGTTTTGTATGTAAAGTCCTTTCCTAAAGGCTGCCTCAAATAATCAATAATACATAAACAGTTGTAATGTTTCTAACCTTAAATATGATAGTTGACATTGTTTAACTACTGCACAAAATAAGTATTCTCTTGAATATTGATAAACACTACTATTAAAACAAATTTCTTAAATCTTAGTCAAATGTTTCACTTGAAATTTTGTATTGAACAGAAAAATGTCTTTCTATAGAAGATTTTGCTTAGTTCAATAAAATGTTGGCTATTTCAAAAAAATAATAATCACTATTTCAGTACAAATTTCGGTTAAGTTTTTCTCAAGTGTCAGAAGCAAATTATATTAGAGTTCCTGATACACATTTTAAGACTAGAAAACTTACTCAGCATTATTCCTTTAAAATGCAACAAGCTATAATAACCTAGAGAAGTATGCGACATGATATATATAATATGTAAAATAAACTATAATATAATATTAATGATGGTATAAAGTTATCTAATTAAATGAACATCAAAAGAGTTTATAAACTACATATGGTATATAATATGATAACTGTTTTGATATTTACCATGTTATTAAGTATAGTAAATTGATTATAAACATCAAACATTATGTTATAATATAACTTCATTATTATACCACATGTTTAATATTATATATCTTTTTTATATTCAACATTCACAGTTCTTTAACATAGTTTTTAAACTAAATTATTTTTTGGACCACATCTTTGGGACAGTTTATCAATTTTATATGGACGCTAAAATTAACCAAATAATGACAGTTTAGTATTGCAATTTAATAAAAAAAAAATTGTTTTGAACACCACAGATAAATGCTTCATGCCTGATGGAAACTGTATTGAGTCTGCCATATTTGGCAGACAAATGAACATATATGACCAAATCAACAGCCGTCTCATAGCTAACCTACGTATATAAAATCAAGAAATCATAGCATCAATTTTTCAGAATGAAAGATTGAAATTAATTAAGCACTTTCATTTCAGAAAGAAGGTATTCATGATAGGAATACAGTCAACTCACAAATTGCTACATCTCCATGAAAATGACATCTGTAGGATCAAAGAAATGTTTTGGTCAGGATGGGACAAGATGACAAAGAAAAGACATTCAAATGAGAATAAACTAAAAAAAAAAAATTCAAAAATGGCAAAAAAGGGTAGTCTATCTATTATGAGTCAACCACATCATAGATCATCTCACCTACAATTTAAAAATCAGATTTGAAAGCTATCCATCAAGTCATAGTAATTTGAATTGTAAATTACCTGAGACAAGTAAATATGGGGATGTAAATAAAAGTGCATTGTAATTAATGTCTCCTTGCTAGGATGTCAGTGTTATTTAGACAGTCTACAGGTAAACAAACATCCACAGAAAATTTAATAAAGTTACAGCTTTGACTTTAATCTTAGTAAACAACATCAGAGAACTGCTAGAATATCTCCTAAATACTCAAATATACACAATCTTAACTCAAAACATGTAAAATATTTGATATAGAACTTGATGGGCAATGGCAGTCATTTTTGTCTTCCTACAAACAGCCATTTTATTAATGTGTAAATCATTGATCAATATAAGTGACAGGAATCGTGCAAAGCATGCCATGCTTACTCTTATCAAACACCTGATGGCGCTTCTCTTTGGAGGAATCTACTTCTATCCAACTATTACTCCCGATTTTACCATTCTTTAGACAAGATTTCTGATTGGTGGAAATGTCTTACTTGTACGGATTTTTATTGTTTCAAATTCATTAGCATCAGTAATTGTTTTGATTCTAGGACAATTTTTTTGTTAATTTTTGTTTTTCTCTTGTTTTTTTTATCAGTACCTTTTCACCAATCAAATATGCATTCATGAATCTCTCTGTATTCATTCAAACATTTATTTACCAAAATATTGTTATTTAACATTTTGAAACAAGTAAAAGAATGAACAGTGAGTCAAAGCTCAATAAAATGGAATTTAATATCTTGGAGAGTAAAATCTTGCCAACAGTTACCACATGCTTTTCTCTTCAACTATATTTACTTCCAGCCCACTGACTATTAGACCAGTATTGTTTAAAATATAAAGCCAATGGGTCATTTAAGCTTTAGTTTTCGGTATATGTAATGAGTCATTTAGGTTTTGGTAGTCCCAGATTAGGTTCCAAACATTTATCTTATCATTTTAGGTTTTGGTCTTCCCAGATTAGGTTCCAAACAGTAATCTTAACATTTTAGATTTGGTACAGATATATGATACAAGGATACTGGTAGGTTTTTTAAGTTATCACATAGAAGACATAAACCCATAGTCAATGAGATTTCAACTCTAATAGGCCATAGGTAATCCCACATGAGTTATTTAGGTTTTAAACATCAAATGTAATTCATATTGTTCACGTTTTCAGGCCTTCAGACCTCATGCGTGTAGTCATTTATGCTGAAATACTCTTCATTCAAGTTCTTGTCTTCACAGACAAATTATCTTATAGGAGTCCCAAAATGTCTACCGTAACAATTTGGTCTGAGTATTTACGACTTTTGACATATAACCTTACATCAAAGCAAAAATGCAATGAAAATTGACTCACACGCTGATTACAATATAATTTTTTTGTCTTATAATTTCAATTTAATCAAAGGAAAGTCATAAAACGTATTATGATTGATTTAACCAATCCCACCTTTTTTTTAATCATTTATTTTGATATACTTGCCATCCATTCATCCCTAAAATATCTCCATAACTCTACCCCTATTTTCATCTTACAAAAGAAAGTGTAAAGAAAAGTGAATATTGACTAAGAAGAGTAAAGGATTAGATAAAGACTTTCTTATTATCACTGTTTAAATCATAGTCTCATGGTAAAAACATAGAATTGTCTAATAAACAGTTATTATATCAACTTTAAAAGATTTACAATCAAATATAAATTTTCCTTCTACAAACAAAATCAAAGCAAGATGCTTCAAAAACTTTTTCAAGGGTCCTTGTTACAAGATTGAATGTGATTTTGAAATGAAATAAAGTTGAAGATTAGCTCGTCTCATTCAGTACTGAAATGAACTATAGAATAAACAGTGAATGCAGTGACCCCGAGACGTGAAAAGTAAATAACGGGTCGACCAGTGTTTTATTCTCTTTTTTCTCCCTTCTCTTTCAAGTCTGTTTTATATTTGATTATCACTTTAAATACAGAGTAGATTATTGGCCTGTAAGTTTGTTTATTAAATGTAAATATAGTCATTTTCAACTTTTCAAACACTTCTCTGATATATAACAATAATTGAATAACATTAAATTAATACTGGTAATGCAATAAAGATTTTAGAACAAGATCACATTTTTATTTTTCAATGACGAATGATTCTGCATTTTGTTATAAAGTCTTTTGATCTGAATTTCATAAAAAAAAATTTAAATACTCCTCAGATTTCCTTGTCCTTTCAAAAAAATAGTTCCTTGTTTTCAGCAAGTTACATGTAATCATAGTGTCTAGTCTAGTCTTATTGACAAAATGGTAGAAGTTTACATGAAATAAGAAACAAATTGTAAATTGTGAAATGCCATCAAAATACAGAACCAAAAAGAATGTTTGGGGCCACAATATATTTCAAATGTTCTTGAGTGATAATTAAAAAAAACACTTCACATGAATTCAAAACATAAGAGGAAGGATGACAGAAGTTTTATTATAATGATGTAAAGGTTGAATTTTACTGCATGTTATACTAAACAGTATAGTGTTATACAGGCCTGGAGCCAACACAGTACTTAAGCGAATTAGAGGAGGGCTTTGCCTCCCCAAATGCCTCCTTGTCTGTCAGAAATTATGGCAAAATAAGGATGGTAAGCATGTATTTTTATTGATAAAGGTTAGAGATAAGGGAATTACCTACCCTATAGAGTTACAGCACTCTATGGAATAAAAACTCTATAGCATTCTGATAATGGCAAAAAAGTATAATTTAGTATCTAGAGTAAGTGAAAGCTTACCTTCAGTGAGATTTCTGCCTGGATTAAAAGATCCTTTAGGAGTACTAGGTGGTATTAAATCACAGCTAGTATGACGTGATATTCTACATCCATATTCATTCTCACTTCTACAATACATAAGGTTACATATTTAAAGGAATATTCTTCCAGAAATATTAATTTTTAAATTTCATCAATTTTTTGTTGTGACCAAAAGATGGTACTACTTGTAAATATTGGAAATGTACTATTTTGGTTAAAAATTAAGTTTGATTTTAGAACTCAAGTACAATTTGGTAATTGTTTAGGGGACAATATTTCAAAAATTTTAACCTAGAAACAGTGTTAGAAAATAGGACATCTTAGCGCTGTGATAATTTCAAGAATACGTGGTCTGGACCCTAACAACTGTGAATATCATAATATTCAACTTACTTGAATTCTTTCATTTGAATACCACAACAATCATGTTTTCTTGTTATAGGTTGTTTCACATGAAATTTATATAAATTTTCAACAGTAATTTTATTAGTTCTTAGAACTTGAAGATAACTTCTTAATCTTGATTGTAAACGTTTTGTTATCTGAAACAAAAAAAAAAATGTTCACTTACACTGGAATTACAGTGTCAAAAGCTCATTGAAGAAAACTACATAACTACGAAGATGACAGAAGTTTGGTTTCGAATCAGACTACAGCTTAACACAGGTAGGAAAAGATATCAGCACAAATGAATAGTTGTACATTCACTTTGAAACAGAATCAGCAAAATAAAAGTGTTGTCAATTACGACTTGTCACAATTTTAGGCTAAACTTGTGTTGAACACTAATAGGTTTCAAGTAAATCAGAAAGTTATAATAAAAAGAATATTTACCTTGTCTAATTTAGATTTCAGGTTTGTTTCTTCAGTTGAATATGGTAAAGAATCATAAATTGCCTGAAAAATAAATGAAATATAATACAATATTTTTTTTTAAGATGCCATATTGCATGAGTAATGGTGAACAGATTAAAATTTGTCCAATCGGAGGGGTTGACATGCTAAAGACTTCTTTTAGTTATTTGACACGATAAGGTCCTATGTGCTCAAAGTAACGCACGTTAAGGATCCATATCAAAATTCCTGTGACAGTTAGAAATCAGAACGGAGTAGGCTAATCCTGCTCTCCTTACAAATTTTCCTCATTGCTCACTCCATGTACATCAGCCCAATTCCGTGAAGAAAAGAAGGTCATAAAACTAGACCAGTGCTTCTATAAGACAGTTTCTCTTAAAAATCTTTATACTATTTCATTTCTCAATCTTAATAAGTTTAGTAAAATAAAAGCCTTCAAAGGTTGATTATGAACGCATTTTTGAGGTGCAAAGACATTATGTATGGGGTCAAAAGAAATTCTTGATGACAATATTTCCACATTTATTGTAGAAGATAAAATATAGTCAATTTGAAACCTTGATATTATGTTAAACTCATAGCCTGAATGAAATAAATATAGCAAAATACACAATTCAACAAATTCAAATTAAAAAAAATGAATTTTTATAAGAATATATTTTGTAATCTAATATGCTTGGTAAAAAATATCTGAGCGAACTTCTAGGATATCCCTGGGTTATTTAAACTTTTTATTATCTCAATATCAGTATTTGAAGTTTGAAGAAGAAAGATAAAACATCAAATGAATTTTCCAGAGTTTTAAAACTATCTGAGTGAGAAATGTGTTATTAATAAACAAGACATAAAAAGAGTTTTATGAAGACAGTCTCAAATATGATGGGAGAAAATTAGACATTACATAAACATGCATCTCTATGATCTAGAAAACATTTCATCTTTTATGAGGGGAAAATTAAGGAGAGTTCCAGACTAAATACAAAACATTAAAAGAGAAGTGAGTTTTTTGTGGGTATGATATCACATGGTACTTTATAGTTATTGCTGATACTTAAACATCATTCGCAGTGCATGGGTGAATTTATAGCTTGGCACAGCTCACACCAAGGTTGTAAAAAGAGTTGAAAGATAATGTGGAAGCTATCAAGCCGTGATCATAATGTAGTTGTGTGGAAGAGCTATAACTTTTCCATCAATAGTTAAACTGCCGAACTCACTCCTTGTCAATGTTAAACTAGTTAAAAGAAAGTCTGTATGTTATGGCTGACACACTAGACATCCAGCGTGGGTTATAATGGTAGTTTTATTTCTAAGCTTGAAAAGTAATTTAGGTCAGAAAATCACATTTCTCAACTTCATCAGATTTAATCAAAGATTTCATGTATCAGTGAGATTGGTGTCTTGACTGTAATCAAAGCTTGAATAAGATCTTTACTATATCAGTCAATAGAGTTAGTGTGTATAATATGTATTAGTTTAAGTATTTTTAAATGGGGAATATATACAACCTTCAAATTAACAAGAACTGCTAAAAAAAAATCATGTCTTCCTTTGTTCTTAACTTTATCAATTTTTATTAACATTTGTATTTAACTTATGAAGAGTTTAATTTTCAAAAGTTATAAAATAAACTCTGTACAAGCAAAACAATTCCGTTATTAAACAAAAACCGCATCCAAAGCAAGACACCATATTAAGAGTAAAAGTAAGAGTAAATAAGAGTATTAAAGAAGATAATAATTTTATATAGTGGGTTCCTCGAACGAATTGCTCTTACACTATTTAATGATGTTTTCACACATTAGCAGATCTAAGATTGAGCATACATTCATCAATGTAAGAAATGCCATATAGAAGGTATTTTCTACAGTAAGCTGAATGATTTGAATAAAAACATCATACTGTATATTGAATGCAATCTTATCACTCTGTTGTAATTTGTTGAAGTTCACATTAAGAAGTGTTAAGTATAGACAAAATCTAAAAACTTCTCCACAGTAAGGTAAAAATGATATATACATCAAAATTCTAATTGCCATTATCAATAAACAGTGTGGAGGCCATATATACTCCTCAAGTATCTAGATGTATAGAAGAAAATGGCAGACATGTTACTGTGTTTATTGTTTAGCCTAAAGGCCAGTGATACAGTATCTTGTAGCATGACTTACTTTAGCAGTTATTGTGTTATAGAAACAGGTCTACAAAGGCAATATTAGAGCTCGTGGCAGACTAGTAAACTCAATTTGCCTGCCATCCATTAAAATATTTTACATCAAATCTTTTTAACACACCATAGTTTGTAAATAATTTTTTGGAAAGATCTTTAAATCTAGGGGTTTTTTTTGTTGTTAAATAAGCCAGTAATGCAAACTATTATTTTAAGGACAGTAAAGAAAATGGGAAAACAGCACTGGAATAATTTCTTTGCAAGCAAAACAATCTTGATTATTATTGAGATCAATGGTATTGGTAACAATTTGGAAAATATATATAAACTGTAGTATGTTTCTACTCATTCAAGAATACAAGTAAAACAGAGAATCCACAAATTTATAACTTTACTACAATACACCATGCTTTTTAAGGAAAATTCTTGAAATCTGGTGCCCATAATGATTTTTGATTCCACTGTACTCAGATTCCAGGATGACATTAAGATAGCTTAAGTCTATCTGTCAGTTTACAAGACATGTAAGCTTATGTTTTTAGTCTAAGAAAAGACCTTCATTAAGGTCAACCAAATGTGTTTTGGAAATTAATATCATCATCAGGAAACTATGTTGGAATTGGGGGTTAGTTTTTTAATATCAAGACTTCACCAATTACCAGTACTAGTAGCAAAGTAAGCAGAATCATTTAAACAAGATCCAGGAGAAAACTTTTCTAAACTTCAAAACTATTGCCTTAATTGTTGAAATAAACCAAATGATTTACTTAATGATATTACCAATATATTTCAATCATCATTAGATTTTGTTTTGAACAAACCTTTTTCCAAATTTATAAACATCAATTGAGTATAATTAAATTGAAAGAGGTGTGAAAAGTATCATGATGTACAGTGTAATTTGAGTAGCTTTATGAAAACCTTATCAATATTGTTCAAAATGAATGACTTTCAAAAAAAGAAGTCATGCGTGATAAAGTAAAGAATAAAGACAGACCCTTTTTTATAACAACTGAAATGGGTGAAGATTTGGGGGTATCGCATCAATGTATTCAGGTGAAGTGATGCGTGTGGTGAAAAGACTATGATACTTTTGTCGCTTGGTTGAATACCACTAACCCTTTAAAACTTCTGAATAACATTCTCTCTTATTTATTCATTCAGATAAATTTGACCTGCAAACATTGCTAATGAGTTCAACAGGAATCTTTTAATGACAAATATTCTATAAAGAAAGAAAATTCAATGCAAAAGAAGCATGTTAAACAATATTCTTAAAATCAGACACCAAGTAATTCATCCAACATGATAAAATGTCAATTAAAACATGTCAAAGAAAAATTATGCTTTTAGCGTTGCATCAATCAACACAGATTGTACAGCAAGTTGAAATTTCAATGTAATCAGTCTTTTTTAAGAAAGTTGAAAGAAAAGATATTAAACAACTCTAGGGCTTGAATTTACTTTGAAGTCGAGAAACATATTTCTCACATCCGTTATTAAAGTAGATTTTGATCAATGCACAAGTATTAAGTGTCAGCAATTTATAAGAACCAAGCAGAAAAAACGACTTTGAAATTATTGAACTGACATGCAAAATATGATTATCTAAACAGATCTCTCTTTGAAAGCCTACTTGATCAATATTATTCGATTTTTCATGGCTTTTTATTTCACAAGTTTGATATTGGTTGTCAATAAATGGTGAAGATTTAACACAACTCTGATCAATATATCATATACTCTGTACTTGTCAACAATATTTCACTTTTATCTTTTACTTTTATCTTAGATAATGTCAACTTTCAAACACTTTATTTCTTTATCAAGTCACCATAAATAAAATCCTTTTAGATAGTGAAAATAAAAGCAGCATATGCATTTAATCAAAGAAAAAATGATTATAAAGTTTTTTCCAAAATAGAAAATCTTTTTGTCAAATGCATGAATAATATTAGATATTGCCCCCTGAAAATTGGTTTGTAACCCTAATTGCACTTCCACTTTATTTTTAACAAATTTATGAATCATTTGACTAATATATACCTGTGCCTTTAATACACATGGTGTCAAAATGCACAATTTTCTTGAGGGAGAACCGTCTTGGAACTCCATGGGAGACTTGTGGCTATATGGCACTTTCACAGAGCTGCTGCCGCATTTTTAATCTCAGGCTTGACAGTTGTCTCCTTCATATCCCCCTCATACCATATGTACTCCTAGTCTTTGGAGGCTGGCCTTGCCACTGAACGGATTTCACACTTTAACTTACAATTATTGTCAATTGTCTAATGATTTGATTTAATGAACTTGCTTTGGTTTGACCTAACCTTTTCCAATTTGATTTTCCCAAAAATTGAAATTATATACATGAAAAATTGAAATTGTGATCACTATCATGCTCTCAAGTTATTTCGACTATGCTTAAACTTATACTTTAATTGCAGAAAAATTATCCTGTCATCTCAAGCTTGAACTCTTAAAATTTAAGTTCATCAGTTCTCAATGATTAAACTTTCAAGCCTATTTTAGTTGAAGTCCTGATTCAGAGCTGATGTTTGCATACAAAAACCTAATGTGGTCAAATTCATTCTATTAGTCTGCAATACCTGCCTTGGGAAGGGAAGAAATTTGGAGAAGACGATTGAAAAATTCATATCATTGAACAAAGTCATAACTACCAGTACATTATTGGTTGTGTGATACTTGCTTATCAAATAATCTGTACATTACACATAAACCTTGACTACCTCCTGAGGTACAAAATTGGCAAAATAGCATTTCCAAACAATGTCACCATGCTAATCTAATCATGTATAATTAATCTATTAACTGCCATGATTTAATATAAATCCTTAATTGTTCTTCGATTGTTCATTATATAAACTATGGTGCTAAAATGCTGCCACAGTCCAGTAAGCTTATCGATTACATAATTGAGCTCTACAATGGCAACTTTTTTGAAACATTGAAATTTCAAGGGAATGTGTATGTTATTTGTCTTTTACCAATGTCAATGTGTTAATAATCTTCTTTCCTTCTGAAAACAAGGACTGAAAAGTGTAAAAACTTATACCGGTACTTCTTAAAAGAAAACTAGTTTTAAAATATATTCATTATTATTCATAATAAGCTAGCTTATATGTACAGCTGTAATGTTAATCATATCAAATGATTTGCAACTGAAATCACACAGGATGGACAGAAGATGAATGTTATGTCTACGAGAAATTGCAAAATATTGATACCACTTGGACGAAATCAATAATAAGACTTGAGTGGAATTTCAAAAGAGGGGAGACTGCATGCCGAAATTCGGTTGTCCATACAAGTAATTTCTTTATACATTTAAAGCAGCATTGGTCATTATCATGGGTACCAATTTATCACATAAATATTCTATTCCAATCATATTTTATCAATCAAAGGTTGTAAAACTAAGTAATAAGCTTACTATTATTGTGATATTAAAAAATATTAATAAGTAACAATATTAATAGGATGTGTGGGTTACCTGCATAGTTGTTATTCCAATTTCATCATTGCTAAGCCATCTCAATCTGGCAGAGAGTTTTTGAGATTCATGCTGAATAACTATTCCTCCCAACATTTTGGGACTGACATTTTCTTGTCTATTTTCAGTAACATAGCCATCAGCATCAGTTTTTGCATCCACTGTTCTTCTGTGATGCCTGGATCCTAGGTTCCGTAATTGTATTCTATCAGAATTGACACTATTTTTACCAATCCAAGTTTTGTCATCTTGCATAGTTATATTCACAAATTGAAGGAAAAGAAGTACAGAAACCCAGATTGTAATGACATCAACATGCCAGGTTTTTGGCCTCGTCCAAAAAGTCGCCATGTTGAAAAACACTGGTCAATATTCGGGTACAATAAACTCAAAACCACTCCACTGCATAGTTCACAAGCTAAATACACATCTACAATAAGTTTAGAAAGTTGTGATATTTAAGTGACTACATTTCCCGAGAGAAAATATGTTTTAAATCCGAGCATGTTGATGAGAACTCGACAATCTGCATAATAATATTCCAGTCGACATCTTCAGTTCACGAACATCGACCAGCCAGACCAAGCAGATAACGGTATACAGAGCTAAACTCGGTCAACGGTAGTTTCGCACGAATTATCATTGTACGAAAACTCGGCTAACTATCGGTTGTAAATAATAACATGGCGGCCTCCATGAAATGGATAACAAGAGGATTGAACAAATTTTATCCACGCCTATGTAACACTCAAAAATTTATGTCATCCACTCAATATAGCTTTGTTGGCAACCCTAAATTTCATTCTCAATCAGGTACTGTTTTTGTTCTCATAATAGATACATTCGTCGGTAAAAGAATGTTGAAAGACTGCTTGTAGTTGTATAATATCCCTGTTCACAAATAATCACATGATATTTGTTTATACAGAGAAAAATTTTAGCCGAAATTTTCAGATAAGACAAGTATTATATTTGTATCCTTGTATAAGTGATTCCACGAATCTAATTGAATTCTAATACTAAGATTGTTTTGAGTCTTTTATTCCACTACCAGTTCACTTGCAATCTTGCATAACATTTTATCTTGCAATCCATACCCTACACTGAATTGATGAATGTGAAGATCTATACATGTTGTTTAGTGTATTTTAGTATTTATTACCACTAAGGATATTAAATGAATATGCAGTGGCATTTGGAGCTTAATATAGTCTGAAATTATGTTAGTAGACAAAGTTCAATCGTCTATTGCCTGAGAAAGTTTGTAGGTACCGGTATATCAATTCCTAGGTTATCATTACTGTTTTGAAGTTGAGCAAAATTCTATATACCAACCATCTTGAGTTTTTGGATTGAATGTTTCACAAAATCCTATGGCCATGAAATATTATAACCCTTGATTACTAAATTGCCATTTTCAAGAAGGCTGATAATTATGAAGGATTAACTAACTATAAAACATTAAGTAATGTTTTACAAAAATAACATGTATAAAGACAATACTATTCCAGCCATTTAGTCCTTTTGATGAACCATGTTCAAAATAACTTGGGAAGAAAAAGGAATTGACAAAATCATATCCAGCAATATGACATAATAATATATGCATCTTAGAACATAGCCATGAAATTTGATGCTCAGAAAAATAAGTGATATCACTGTATCTGTATTAAATTCCTTACTTTATTTTGTACAGGTCCATTGTGTAGTGGTGAATATGAAATGCAAGACCCAAAAACAGATGATGAAGTGTAAGATAATATTAAAATTGTTTATTTTATTGTATATAAGCTACTGTATTTTAAGCAATGGAATTTTGCATGCCAATGAGAATTTTGCAGAAAGAGCATCCTTCTTTTCCATCAAAATATCAAAATTTAGACTTACAGATTGAAGTATAAATGGTATATAGTACACATAAAATTCAATAGATAACTCCATCATCTCAAGTTATTTCAGAATCAAATTTCTTCTGTGATCTAGTTGGATTAAAGTATGTGATTGATAATGATAATAAGTTTTTAATCAATGGCAGTAGAATACATGTAATTATATTTCAGGGTAAATATTACATTTATTGATAAAGGAGGTAAGAGAATACCAGTGAAAGGAAAGATTGGTGATAATGTGATGTATTTAGCTCATAGATATGATATAGAATTAGAGGGTAATATATGATTTCTTCAATTAAAAAAAAAAAGAAACAGATTACAGGTTATAAAGTATTATGAATCATGATGCAATTTTTTGGCATGTTTGTTATAAACATTTATTAAACATTTGTTTAGTGGCAGAAGTAATAGGGTTTTATCCTTTCAGTATGCCAGATTGCATACTTGAAGGCAATGTGATGCTAGTCAGGAAATTTGAAGATATCTGCAATTTGATTAGATATGTATTCATGTTATTATAGGTGCATGTGAGGCTAGTTTAGCGTGTTCAACATGTCATGTTTATGTACATGAAAATTATTTTGATAAATTAACAGACCCAGAAGAAGAGTGAGTACATTGTTTTCATAAATTGTACAAAATAAGTCTTTAGGAAAATGATAATTATAAAGAATATGACTTATACATGGAGATTTAATGCAAAACTTTTAATGCAGACTCTGAGTTCAGTGTTCAATTAACTCACATTCTCTTTTTAAGCTTACCACTTTCTCTTTACATGTCTACATTTTATTTGTAGAGAAGAAGATATGCTTGACATGGCACCATTTTTAAAACCAAACTCAAGATTAGGTAATTACAAATAATTTTAAAAAAGAATTGTCTGGGCTACTTAGTCATTGTTCGAATGTGGTTAAAAGACTTTTGGAATAAGGTCAGGGTTACTGCCATTAACTGAATAGAAGATAAGAGCTATTAGAAGAAGGGTTCACAATATCAAGCTATTACGAACTGTGTCTAATACCTTGACTGCAATAGCCACCTTTCTTGTATCACAGTTGTTGTAAGAGCATGATTTGAATTGGAAGATAGTCAATACAGCCAATCAGAGCTCTACACAGAGTCTGTATGCAAAAAAGCCAGAATGTTAACAATCTTTCTGTCGAGCGCTCTGAATGGCTGTATTTGCTGGCGTAAAATACAATCAAATTGTGCATATCATGATACAAGAAATATGGTTATTGCTGTCAAGGTATAAGACAAAGTTCATAGATAGTCATTGGTAGTAAGGCAGGGTAACTGGAGAAATCATGCACTTTAAAGGGCCTGGTTATAGGGCTAGGTAATTTACATAATGAAAAGCACAGACAGTGGCTGTAAAATTAGTGAAATTATGAATGGTATTTTTCTTTCAGGCTGTCAAATTATTTTGAACAAAGATTTAGAGGGTTTAGAAGTGACATTACCTCCTATCACTAGAAACTTTTATGTTGATGGTCATGTACCACAACCACATTAATACTGCTGGACAGTTTGTGCTCAGGGAAAGTGTGAGATTGTTATGCCAGGTAGTGATATTGTTAGTATATTTTGTATGCGTTAAGTAATGGTGCAAGAAACTTGGCCTTTAAAATGATGCTTGCAAAAATAACACTAATTTTACAATTGGAAGTGGATAAACGATTTAAAGAATGGTACAGCCAATATTTTCAAAAGGTGATACCTTTAGCATGTGTTCTGATTGTGGTCTTAGAATTGATGTTACTGAACATACCACTTAGCAATGCAACTATTAAGCTTGTATTTTTTTTTTATTACAAAACACTGTAAAACCCAAAATGATTTGGTTAGGTAGCCAATAAAACTTACGCTATAGCCACCAATTCTGTGTTTGTACAAAGCCTTCTAGTCTATAGACCTTATTCAAGACTCAATTTGGAACCATGCAAATTATGTTATCTATTAAAAAGATGGCAACATTATACAAAGAAATAGTGACATCATTAAACACTCGATATTGGGCTTAATACTGCCCATTTCTCAGAAATGTGTAACGGTAAACTTCATCTGAAAGAATCATTAAATAACTTGATAAATTTTGATTTTAATGATGTAAAAAATGATTAGTTTTGAGTAAGTGGGACTGGAAAAGGAGGTGATAAAGATGTCAAACCATATTCTATTTGTATGATTATACTAATGGTCTTTTTTAACACCTGTCTTCAACATCAAATAAATGAAACTAAGACAGATAACTGTATTACTAGTTTACTAACTTAACTTTGTACATGAGTATATTTCTAAAAATATTGTAGATGGCTTCCATCTTACTTGTATGCACAGTACAATCAACGCTTTCATGTTTGTGATGAATTTAATAAAGTAAGAGTTAATAAAACCATAATTTATTGTTTTGAAATATTATACAAATATTTACAGACTTAATAAATACTGAGATATAAAACATCTCTGATGTAAAATCGTATGAGTGTTTCCATAGCCATAAAACATTTTAATAATTCTTGTTGTTCTTATAAATAATTTTTTCTTTGGATGTTACCAAAAATACTGCAGTCATGGAAGGAATATGAGAACGTATCATCTTTACAATGTCACCCCATTACAACCTTTGTTCTTATACCTTGACAACAATAGCCATCTTTCTTGTTTGTAAATGCAGCGATTTGATTTGATTGTACATTAGCGAATAAGTCAATTAGAGTCCTGGACAGAAAGGCTGTAAACAATAAGCCATAATGTCTTAGCTGTATTTGCTACAATACAATCCAATGAAATCGCTGCTTTCAGTAGCTATTGCAGTCAAGGTATAAGACAAAGTTCGTAATAGCTTGACATTGTGAAGATGTACTATACTAGGTATCAATAGTTGTTGTATCCAGATTATTAGTCCATTCTACTAAATCATCTACTTCCTTCTCCCAGGGTTCCTCTTTACCATGTAATGATGTATGTAGTGAACCACCTAAAACAATATCTTGTGAGGCTGGTGCTGAAATATCAATTCATATTTTACAATTTCCAAGCAATAACTTGCTTACTTATTGTTATCAACCACAAAAGGATTAATAGACAATCCTCGCAAAGTGTTTGTCAGACTTGACCGACATTCTATGCTTATATAAATGTTTACACTTTAGATTGTGGTAAGACATACATACATGGGTGGAAAAATTACTTTTCCGTATTGATAGGCATGGGTGTTTTTGAAAATAGGACGAATACATATTTTTCCAGGGCTTTCAAAATGAAGGAAAAAAACGGTACATACAAGGAGAAACTCTTGGAGGTAAATAAATCTTTTTCATTTTCTGTAACCTGGCAAGTTTGGCTTCTTTTTCATCTTGGACTGTTGGTTTGGAGTCGAATTTCCCATACATCAACATGGTATGTCTGAAATTGATGATCAAAGTATTAAGATAGGAACTCTTTTTGGCAATGAAATGCAAGTCCTGAACAATTATAATTGGAATATGCCAAGCAATGGTCATGACTTGAAAAAAAAGGAACAACCAATTTGTACGAGGATAGCAACTTGGATTCACGAAAACCCTGTCCACAAGCTGGTCCTTGGTCAAACCCTTGACAATGATCAATTCGAGATTATCCTTACCCATTTTTAGCTGGGTCAACTGGAATCATGAGGAAAGATGAGTTACTTGAGCATTCTGTCTAGATAAAATTCAATTACAGAACACTGAACAGTTAAATAATGAAAAATTGCAAGATCAGGTCGCAGAACTAAAAACTTACTCTTCAATTTGTTTTTTGATTTGTTCTTCTATATCTTCTGGACGTAAAGCCATGTGTGTTTTCTGTAACTCTGGTTTCTCTCGTAACTTATCTAATACTGTAACACAAAACATTATTAATTAAATGTAATAGATAATGTCACACATAAAATTATTCACAATTCAAAACCATTTTAACCTATCAATATAAATTTTAATGTTTATTCAGAAGTATAAATAGACAAGCTATCTAGCATCGATTTCTTTCATTGTTGCATCTGAAGTCAAATGTTCACTGACTCGACTGATCTGACATGGGTTTTTGACTGAATTTAACTCAGGCATAGTTAACTTACAAGGGTTTGTATCAACTTCTTTTGATTTAGATGTTGCTATACCACACCATGTTGTATAATAATCTTCAAAAGATAATTTACTAATCTTCCTACTAGCTGTTTTAACAGGTTTATTTTCATCAATATATTTTTTCTTATTTTCATTTCTCTCCATTTCTGACCTGTATTGTTCTGCATAATAAAGATAAATAAGTAAGCACTATTTTATGGTGTAACTATGCTACATTCTGAGGAATGCTATGGTCATGCATATCATTAGCTCCCTTTTGTATACAGTCAAACTTGTATTAAGCAAGCAGTCTTGTGAATGCAAGTTAAATGGCTAAGGGTGCTCGCTAATAAGGGCTAGACCGTATGATGAAAATATTGACTGATGATTTAAGATTATGCTGAACACAAGTGACTGTTTGTTAATGTTTTGACAGTACTTTTAAAAGGATTACTTCACACAATTCTGATTTCTCATCCAACATCTATAGTTCCTTTAATTTCAGGAAGAAATATCCATATTAATACATTACATTCACAAATACCTTTTACCCTACTATCTACAATAGTGACACCATAAATTGTAACTTGGAACCCATGTAAATTTTCAAGTGTCCCAAAGATAGTGATACACCTGAAACCACCTATAAATAGGCTATACAGCTAAATGCTGAAATATTTCAAAATACCTTCTAATTTATTACTAGTAGCTATACATTCTGCTACAACTTGACGATATCGTCTTGGTGATTTATCTATCATATCTAATGCATCTAAATTCACAGCATTACGTAGATTTGGATTAGATAACAGGTACTGAAATTTAAAGCTTATTGATAAGTTGTTCTCATTAATAATTCAAATATTCATACTTGATGTCTGAAAACAGCTAAATTGAGTTGAATTGAATTTTAATGGTTCAAATGTAACATAATTTGGTTGTAATTATTAATACTGCTATTCAGCTAAAATACTAGTAATAGTACTAAATGTTAAGCTTGTTTAAGAATATATTACCTGGACACTTAATAAAAGAAATGATAATGAATAATCTTTATTCCAGTTATTCTCTAGTAAATAATCTATACATGGTTCACCTGTTATAGCATCAACTGAAAATATAACACAGCAAATACAGAAGATATAACATAGCAAATAATGAAAATATAACATAACAAATACTTATGATATAACATAGCAAATACTTATGATATAACATAGCAAATGCTTATAATATAACAGCGAATAATGAAAATATAACATAGTGAATACTGAAAATATAACATAGCGAATACTGAAAATGTAGTTTAGCAAATACTGCCAATGTAACATAGCAAATACTGACATTACCACTTAGCAAATGCTGAAAAAATAGCAAATATTGCCAAACTAGCAAAGATGCATATTATATATTTCATAGCATAAAACTTATCATAAACATTATCTGTACTTACTATTGGGATGAAATGGTATCGTATGAAAACATAAGGCTGGTGGTTGAGTATTATAGTTTTCATCAAACCGTATATAAATTTGAAACAACCCACCTAAAAATATATGATATTTATGAAAGCTTAAGTCAAATTCAATCAATTCTCTGAAAGCATCAGCATACTTTAGCATAGGTTTTTCTTCAACATTCTCTTTCAATACACAGAAAATAACTTACTTTGTGACTTTTACACTATCTATCCTTACTGGTACTGCCAACATAAAGTAAAATCTACATTCTGCTACAGAGAAATAATTAGATAGTCCTAATATTTGAGCTCTATGTAGCCTACAATCTAATCCCTCCAGTCTTACCTTCCCAGATAGTATCTTTCAAGCCTTTCATTTTGGCTACAAATTCATAAATGTTATCATCTCTCAAAGGAAACAATTCAATACCCTGAAATAGTTCAATTTAAATAGGAATAGAATCTTACTATTTACTATTAAAGCTTAACCGAATACAGATTGAAGGATGAATCTTGAGGCTTGTATTTTTCTACTTCATTTTTCCAATTCTGTGGATACCATGCCTTTTTTGTATTGTGGAAAAATCACCACTGTTATATTCCAACTATTTGCTAAATTTAACCTTTCTCAGGTACTTTTTAAATTTGAATTTTGTTTCCAATTCATTTTTCCAATTCTATGGATAGCATGCCTTTTTTGTATTGTGGAAAATCACCACTGTAATATTCCAACTATTTGCTAAATTTAACCTTTCTCAGGTACTTTTTATTTTCAAATTTTGCACAATAATTCTATTGATGTGTAAAGCGGGAATTGAGCTCTATCACAAAGAAGAGAAATATTCAGATGGCGATATTGCTATTACTGCTATTTCCTTGTGAAAATTTATATCTGAAAACACCATTCCTTGTCAATAAGCTTATATTTGATGTCCCTTTTTAAATAAACTGAAGAAGGGCTAATGCCAATAAATTAGAGCATAATTAATATGAGAGCAAAGCTCTCTATAATGGTAACACATACATATACATCAATTCTTTCAGAAAATTTATGCCCCACCGTTAGTCAAAAAAAAGGGAGAAAAAAGATGGCGGATCATAGGGGCTGCCATGTTTGTTGACAACTAGATCGCAGTCAATCTGGGTAGCTTCAGAGTGAATATTCTGAAATTCTTTAAATAAATTACGACAATTGTTTCAAACACAGAAAGGGATGTTTTGTACCAACTTAACAACCCTTACGTTTTATTTTTATTTTTCCTGGATATTCTATGCGTCATAAGGAATAAAATGACAGCTTTGACCTAATTTCCCAAGACTTTGTCCCAAGCAATGATGGCGGCTTTGTTGACATCATACGTCTCGTTATAATGACGTCATTGTTATAGATGATTACTTTCATGCCTTATAAAAATTTCTCTAGATACCTTATAAAAGATTGTCTACAGATCTTATATTCATAGAAGATTACCTTCACACATAATGATTAGAAGACAAAATAGTTTGCATTACATACAGATCAGGTTGAATTTCTTTTATTTAATTATTATAATTATTGTTATTTTATAAATAACCTGCGCCCTCATTCAAGGCCATGCCTTCATTCATATTATATGGTACCAGTGTAAGAATTAAGAATAGATACAACCATACACGTAACTTACCCATGGAGGATTTTTTTGAAAGGCTGTGTACTCCTTTTCAATAAGTGAAGTTGCTTTTGAGAACATGTTAAACACTATTTTGCCAGTATTATCATGTAATTCTAAAATGAGTTATCAGGAAATTAACAACAGTAAAAATATCATATATAAGCTTAGATAGGTATTTGGTAAGGAACCTTACATTATTAAAGTTCAGTTGATGTGCTGTATTCAGTGCTACATACAGTTTTAATTTGATGAAATAATTATAACTATTACACATTCAGTTAAAAGAAAAGGAATCGGACTATTCAAAAATGGGATCCAGATCTACTTCTGAGAAACAAAATTATTTTTTACAGAAAAAACAAAGTATAAACCTTTCAAATTTGACGGACAACTATGCTTTAATTATTATGTGTACACTGAGCTCAACATATATCATCAATCACCTATATTTCAAAAGGATTTTCAAAAAGTAAGCGGAACAGAAATAAATATCAAACTTTGTCGGCCATGTTGTTTTTCTTCGATACGACTTTATGCGCAGCCGCAGTAATGTAAACATCCGGTTTTTAATGACATGTGCTTTTATTTACGTCTGCTGTCACATTTTGACAGTCAGTTATTTTTATGATTATGAAACAATAGAATCATTCTATATTCATCAAATAAAAGAATGATTAAAATGTAAGGGTAGCCTTTATGTCAAAATGCTACCACACATAGGGTTGTCACTCAATAAAACCCTGAATTCACCCATAGAAGTTGTATGCCGCACATTTAAAGGAATAGCCTACTACGTCTTGGAATAGACATAAAATTTAAGAATTTTAAACTTGGCCAATAAGAGTATATATTCATCAGTAGATTTACCTTTACAGGATCCTTATAAAATCCGATAAATCAACAAAAAAAAATTAGTAATTATCCATAAATATGTAATTGACTATTAAGATTAAGCGTACGTTTTTCAATAATTACTAAGTTTTATGAATTTTCAAAATTTCCAGTTTTTACAGTTACAGTTTACAGTTTTTTTAAGTTCACTGATGAATATTGACCATTCTTGAGAACTTAAATTTTATGTTCATTAGACGTAGTATCGCTTTAAAGTTGTATTAGTGTCTATTTGCTAGGCATAGTAAAACTTATCCAATTCATTGAACATAGGTTCCAGTAGTCCGAAACATCTGCCTCTATTGCCAGTTGTCAGCTGGAGTAGACATCTGTCCAAATAGCTATCAGAGGCTGGAATAGAGAGAGATGTTTCGGGCTAAGGGTCCAGGTTTAGACGAGATTTTTTCATGTATGGAGTTTTTAATTTCGAGTACTTATGGATCCCAGCCATATATTTCTGGTATCTTGAAACTTTCTTAAAGAATAGATGCACAGTACAATTTTACTTGTTTAAAACCCTATTAATAATATATTCATCTAAAGTAATTCAACTTGAAGAAAGAAATATACATATATCTGACTCTACTATGAACCACGTTATAGTCATTAAAAGACATTAGACTCAATTAAAACGTGGCAAATAGACGTTGTCCTCTTTTTATGATCAGCTTATTTTGTTCAACAAGCTCTTCAACTTGATTGTTTTTATAAGATGCCCGATTATCTCGTGCATGTTGGATTTATTCGCGTAATTTATATAATAAAATAGTCTGGTTTATTAAACTGTTTTCAGGTTATTCAATCAACAGTAAATTTAAAGAACGGTAAATCATAGAATGAATCTTGATACCAAATCTACAGGGAGAAATGGGAAAATTCTTACAGACAGCAGAATTGATAGCTTTTATAAAGCAACCAAATTATGCCATCGAAATCACAAAAGGTTTGCTTGTTTTATTTGATGAAATTATGATGGCAAGCTCAAAAATACAAATTTCTAAAGGGTCCACCAGATATCTCAACAATTGTATTGTGGTAATGATGTTTTTTTGTTTCAGAAGAGGCACAAAAGAATTAACGAGTCCAAATAAAACATTTGATATAAAAGCGTGCAATAATAAACAAATAACATTATCACCATGGATAATAAAGAAACCTCTGGCAAAAGGACCAAGTTGGGATTGCAGGTTTCAAAGAAGAAAACGACGCCATATTTTAAGTCCAAAGAAAGGTGCTGAACTTTGTGATCCACTATTTAGGGGAGCAACAATATGGTTCGACACCAAATGGAAAGACGACGAGAGTCAGCTTATATTAACCTCCTTCTTCAGGTAAGAAATTCAAATTGAATATCTAATGCCAGAATATTTGTTAAAAATAATGGCCAATGATAAGTTTGAAATCAATTTTGAATTCATCAATATTGCAGTTTAAAAACGGTTTAATAGGACCTGGCTCTGCACCAAAGAGAAGTCTTTCTGTTAACTGATAACTCAGCTTACTGATATAATCCACCATCAAATTAGTCTATATATATCCTGCAAACTTCGATACTCTGTTCTTTTTTTTTATTTACAGTAAAAGATACAAATTATCAAGATATGAAAAACGGAGAAAATATTGTTCTGATGAATGGAAGGCAAGTTCAGATGATGAGGATATCGAACATGAACGATGCGATGATTTCAGCCACAACATAACGTCTTGTTTGGGTAGGTATGAGTAAAATATACTCAAATTCGTTAGTGAATCGAAATTTGTGAGCGCCTTAAAGTTTATATGAATATCATCTTCTAAGCGGTACTTATAGTCTTAGCACCCGATCCTGTAAAATTAGCTCTCTCAAAGAGAGAGCTAATTTTACAGGATCGGGTGGTCTTAGAATGACTTTGCGTTGATAAATATATAAATATTTGCAACACCATGGACGAGCTGCTCAGTCCGCTCCTGGTCACATTTTATTTTAGATGGTGGCAGTCTTGTTCAATAGCAAATCTAATATGGGGATCATACTTCATGCTTACCCGATGAGAGCACATCTCAATAGGAGGGCCACTATTTTCTGTGAACTGGTTGGTGGGTGTTATTTTCGTAATAGGAATCCTGTACGAAGAAACTTATAATTATTCTATGCGTGGGTCAATTATTTTCTTACTCGACTTCGAGTCGATGTTGGGGTTCCAGTATAGGAAAAACAATATACTCGTCGGACATGTCATTGATATAAAAGTAGAACGGATAAAGAACTGGTCCAAACACGGATCCTTGTTGCACTCTTTCGAGTTTCCATCTGAAGCCTGTTGCAATTATATTCGTAGTTGGTTGATTTTTGTAAAATCTGATCAAAGTTGTACTCAAATTGTTGTTTCTGAAAGCAAATAATTGGATTCCCTTGAAGATTGGAATGGACATTATTGAGTCACGAGAAAAAATATTTGTCATTATTAGCCAGGCGCCGTATTCTCGAAATGATCTTAGCGCTAGGATGTCCAAGGTTCTTATCTTTTATTTCTAACATTGATTCTAGGACATGCTGGCGCTAAGATCGTTTCGAGAATACATCGCCTGGTTTGACTGTTTTTGAGGTTGGTTGTTCCCGTAGCCGATATATCGCAGCCGATATATATTTTATCAAATGCAGCAAAATACACAAATGAATTATGTCCGTTTATGGTTTATGTCTACAATGGACCCACTACTGAAATTTCAGAAAAACGATGCGAATCTTGTCACACTAGCAGAACACCACTGTGGAGAGATGCTGAAGATGGGACACCTCTGTGTAACGCCTGTGGAATAAGGTGAGACAAGGGTAAATTAAATACAGATCCATTGATCCATAAAACGTGGTAGTCATTGAAGGATGCCATATTATGTTTGAGTTTTGGCAGTTTGTGGTAACTAAGTTTGGTTTCTTAGTCCATTACTAGTAAAATTGAAGGAAATGAAGTTTCTACCAACTTACCTACTGATAGAGCTTATGGTGACAGGCCTGTACATGTAAATTACATATTGTAATCATCAATGCAACTATTTCAGGTATAGGAAATATAAAAGACGATGCAGTAAGTGCTGGTACATACCAAGGAAAGGCAAGTCATGGTACAACCTTTGTTCTAAATGTGGTTGTCATTTAACTTACACTAACAGATTAATATCAAGAATCTTAAAATGATTACCAAGAGCAAACGACGGAATGGAATAGGCTACAGACTACAAAACTTAAAGTTTGAGAAACAAGAGTTATCTCCCTTATATTATCCTTCAGTGTGAATTTCATATCATCATCTACAGAAATTCTGTAGACTTTCACAATATTTTGTTATAGTTAATTAATACATATTAATCACAAATAGAGTTGTATTCATCTAGGCATTATTCTTGGTATGCATGAACCCAACTTGCTACATTATTCCTAGAATACTTTATGACCCCACCTCACATGGAGCCATTGGATGTAGAATGTCTGCAAATCCAAGAATGATCCTGTGACATACCAATCCGTTTTGTCATAGAGTACAACAATGACTGGAATACCGTTAACAAAATAATCCATCTCAACCAGGCTTGCACTAAAAGATCAGCTATGAAGTTTCTGAGATGCTACGGGACAAACATTTGACTTAGCAACATACTAAAGCACCTGTATGTATATCGGTAGAATTAAATGGCACTTTATGGTTACTTTTCTCATCTGAGTCTAGAAGACTGGCACACAGCACTTTTTTGCTAGAACAACTGCATTGGTCTTCTCTATTTCAATTACCCCTAGCTAGGGATTATTGAGCTTGTAGCATCTAGGAGTGTATACAGGTTATGAAAAATGACTCAAAAACTCTTTCTATAGAAATTAATTTATACATTATTAGCAATGCTTGATTATACACTGTACATGCAAATATAATAATGATATGATGTTTGCCTTAATATAGCTAATACATGTACATCTATCTTTATTGCAATAGTTTCAATAAGGGCTACTTTGTCTTCAGATATTTCTGAATACAGGATTCATGGAGATACTAAAATGACTGTGTCCAGTTGTTAATCAGGGAAACTTAATAAACAAAGATTTAAAAAGGCACATAAAATGATAAAATCAAACATCTTATCTATTTTTTTTCATTATTTAATTCTAGAATCATCTAATTTAAAGCAATTCTAACTAGAATACTGGCTGTAAATAATGATTCAATGACAAAATCATTAATATAAAGTTTAAAACTTCCCAAATTTGTCTGCTTGAAAATCAGAGTTAACTGTACATACATATACACTACAGAAGTAATATAAGAATAAAATAACCTATGTACATAATAAATGCATTATATCTGTCTGTACAAGATTCTATGTGACATTGTCACCAATCAATGACTAGTTTACATAGAGGGTAATACACAGATCACAACTAAAATCATTTCATTTCAAAATTTAAACATATTAAAGCTAAATTCTAAAAGCTATAAATTTATATGTGAATATGTAAATTTCTAAAATTTGAAGAGTCAAAGTCATATTCAAGACAGATCTTGGCAAAAACATTTTTCAGATCTTTTTTTAGATTTTTATGATAAATTATTAAGCTGTCCTGGTGATCAAACTTTCATTAAATTAATTTTGTTAAGAGGGAAAGTGGCAAGTTCTAATAAATGTTCTAACAATACTACTCATAATAAAAACTATTTACATCTTTTATATGAATACATTTGTATTTTAAAATGTTTATTATGCTTCTTCTTAAAACTGAGGCACACAAGTTTGACTTGATATTAAAAAATAAATAGACAACAACTAAGATGAACAAACAACACATACTAGATTAATATGTGTAAATATATAATCAACAAAACACTGTTCTTAAATTATCACATGAACAGATATATTCAGATATTTCAAATAAACACACATAATGATATCAACAGTTCAGAATTGTTAGAATTTTAATTAATATAACCAATTTCAATTTAAACTTTTGATATAACCACTAAATAGTTTCAAATATGAATATTTTGATTCATTATGTATGTAAATTTGTATATCTAAATATGTAAATGTATATGTCATGTAAATATGAATATATCATAATAATCATATAGAATATTGATTAATATATCTACATTATTATATTATTATACCATTAACAAACAAAAAATTTTGCTTCAAAATTCTTAAAAATATTTTTCAATCATAAAACTTACGACTGAAATTTCAAACATGAGCATTTCTTGATAATAACCTTTTAGTAAACTAGATTTTATTTTGTTATATTTGAAAATGATAGAAACTGGAGCAGAAGATGATATATTTTGTTGTGATCTTTAGCCAAATGAATATTATTTATTTAAGAGAAAAATGCTCCCTGAATAACTTATAAGTATACACTACCAAAAAATGATAGGAGTAAATTTTGATTAAATATTTAATGGTACAAATCATATACATTTCAAAAAAATTCAAAATAGAAAACAATTTGTATAGCACCACAAAATTTTTTTTTTTACAAGTAATATCTTCACAAAAACATAAAAAAACAGTCTTGTAGTCTTATTGCATACGAAACAAACATACTTTAACCATGGGACAGTCTCCCTTGCAGATAGTCTGTATTGTCTTTAGTCATAGCACTTTTGACCACAATAAGTAATAATAATATCACTGATAACGGTGTATAGTTCCTGCACTAGTAATTAGTACACACTTTTAAGTAATTTAATTATATTGCTGAAGTCCGTGTATCAGGAATGTACACATTATGTGACATCAAATTATTATATCGATTACAATCACCTACAGTAACTGGTGGTGGACTAGCAAGCCCATTTGTATTATAGTTTTGCTGTCCATTTCTATTTAAATTATTACCTTGTGGAGGTTTTGTTAAAGTTTCTGAAGCTGATGTGCTGCTTGATGATTTGGAACTGGTAACAGAACCAGCTGTATTAGCACCACGATTCATTTGATTTCCACTGTATGGTGGGGGAACAGGAAACCGTGCCATGTATAGTGGATGACCAGGTTGTAATGGAGCTCCAGGTTGGTTGGCCATATAAGGATGATGTTGCATCATTTGAGGAGGTTGTTGTTGAGCTGAATATTGAGGGTAAGGCATTAGTTGATCTGATGTATTACTACTACCAGTGAGACCAGTAACAGCTGTGGTATTACTAGGACCAGTACTACTATGATGACTGGGTTGACTGTGAGAACTCTGATGAGTGCTACTTGAATGAGCTGATTGACTCTGAGATATACTCCAGTGAGGATTCTGACTAGCCAAAAGTTCTCCCTTCCATGCTCTCAATCGGGCATGAATCTCTCTGAATGGTGGTCTTCTATTAGGCATCTCATGCCAACACTCTACCATTAAACCATAGATTCTAGCTGGACATTCTTCAGGACAAGGCAGTAATTGACGGGATCTGATCATTTCTATAACTTCTTGATTAGAGAAACCATAGTAAGGCTGAAGACCAAAGCTGAATATTTCCCACAGAACAACTCCAAAAGACCATACATCACTATCGGTGGTGAATTTACCATACATTATTGACTCTGGAGGCATCCAACGAACAGGGAGTAGAGATTTACTCTGGACTCTATAATAATCAGAAGAGTAGATATCTCGTGATAACCCAAAATCAGATATCTTAATAATAAGATTATCACCAACCAACACATTTCTAGCAGCCAAATCACGGTGAACAAAATGATGACTAGCAAGGTATTCCATTCCAGCACCAATCTGAGTAGCAATATGTAACATATCCAAATAATCTAATATCTTTTGCTGACCACTTTCCTCGAAATTTGAGATATCTGAATTAGGGCTATGAGCTATTAGATACTCATGTAGATCACCATGCGTCATATATTCAAATAACATACACATTGGATCCTGTTTCATAGACACACCTAATAAACACACAATATTCGGATGCCGCATTTCAGACATTAGATCCACTTCTCTCCGAAAATCATTTTGAACTTTAGGTGCTGCATTTTCCTTCAGAGTTTTAATTGCTACTTTTGTTACAGTATTGTCACCATACAGTCCCATTAGCTCTCCTTTATAGACCTTCCCAAATGCTCCTTCTCCCAGCTCCTGTAGAAATCTTACATTATTCATAGGAAACTCACGAGCCCTGGTACCAGTTTTAGGATTCAATGGTGTCATCTCATGATTACCACTCCCTACACCAGCACCAGTATTTCTACTTGGTACTTTTCCTTTACTGTTGTTACTTCGTGATCTTTGACAGAAACAAACCAAGGCTAGCAATAGAGCTAGTGCTAATGGTACTGTTATACCAGGTACCAAAATAAACATTAACTTGTTGCCTTCTTCACCTGGTACATGTGTACTCTGTGTACCTTGATTGCCTTGATTAAATCCTGGTAAACTTTCTGAAATAAACAAAATAAAAATATGGAGTGAGAAAGGATGTGTTATGTGTTGTTAGATTAGTACATGTAAATATATTCACCATGATAAAGAAACATCAAAGGAGTTATAAAATTATGTCCAATAAAAAAGACACATAAAGGTTCATGTATCTGATCACATTAAATTTGAGACATAAAACGCTAAACCATCCACCTGCACATAAAAAAATATTCTAAAATACAACTTTTATTTTATCACACTATTCCATAAAATTGCACTTTCTAACTTTACATAGTGAGTGTAAAATGCATTTTGTACACTCTAATCTAGCCATTTGTCATGTCTCTCATATTACAATATATCTTCTACTTCTGTACTTAATATAGTCTTTTATTATAGCGAGGGGCATGAAATTTATACTTTTACATTAACAAAGAATACAAATTTTAAGTGCAATTTTTGACAAATTTTAATCAATTTCCGCAGAAGGCTTTTTATTAACCCATATTTAAAAGAATACATTTGGAAGAAGAAGAATTTTTATGATTGAAACCGGATACTAGAGGATATTACAATGAAGTAGACTTTAATAATATTTATCTAATAATATCAAAAGATTTTTCAACATGGTTTGGTCTTTATAATAGAAAACAACATGATGTCTACTATTTTATGAGGTAACTTAAGCTAAAAAGCTGGTATTAAAATGCAGACATAAAAAGAAGCTCCAAGGTTGTCTGTTTACTCGGCGAAAAGTAAACCATTTAGCTTCTATTATAGGTAAATAAAAAGGTTATAAATTTTATATCTGATACTCTACTTTTAATTACATTTTTAAAAGTTTTCAAAAGCCTTGATATTTGAACTACTTTCAGCAAGTCATAATTTAGCTCAGTTTTTATAACCAGTCAAGTGCATTACTTCAATTGTTGAGAGGTACTTTAGATAGCTCTTACAATTAACAAAATATTTCATCAATATCAATTTATAACACTGTAAATCATTATTTGATAAAAATGTTAACTTTAATGAACTCTTCAGTGGACAGGCTTTAAATAATCAAATATTTATGTTCAACCTGATCTCTCATATAGTGTGGTCCAAATGTAATTTTATATCTTATAAAAAGTAATTAGTTTTACTTACCACATTTAGGTATGTCACACAATTCTTTCGGTACATTTTTATTAGTAGTAAAACACCATGGTCCACTTTCTTCATTTCCAGGATTACGACAGTAATTATGTCCACCCATAGCTGAAAAAATCAACAGAGAATTTTAGTTAACAAATCAATTGGTCTAAGAATGAACAAAACTGGATACTTTTCTGTTTAAAGTGAAATTTGAATTCATGCAGTAAACCTCTTCAATTCTTAATGAATTTTAAAAAAATTGACAATGCCATGATGTATGCAATGAGGACATATTGACAGAGAGTTTCATTAGATGTAAATCAATTACCTAATTCAGGATATGTAGCAGTATAGAAATGTTGATGAGGTTTATTGGATTGCCAGGATTGACAAGTATAGCCTGATTTAGTACGACTTGTTTTACCCTGATAATTACTACCAGTACCATTATAACAATTAGCTTCATCTACAAAATATTATAATATACAATTATATATACAAAATATTATAATATACAAAATATATAAAAAAAATTATAATATACCATTATTTATTCAATATTCTCTCCTCAATCCACATGTGAAATTCTTTTTTAGAGAGAAAGAATATTTTGAAGTTACCTGAATTGTCTTTCTTATTTTTGTTAGATTTTTTAGACATAGGTACACCAATTCTGATACAGTCATCACCTTCTGGTGTACCAGGTCCAGCTAGCTTACTACAATCTGGTAATAATCTATCACCTACAAAATATACATAATTATTGATTAATATTCACCAGTATGATAGGCCTACTACCAACATTTTAAAACCAATACTTATACTTCTGTATTAGATAGACAATGGGCATAATCAAATTGCAACAAAAAAACACACAGTTTATTCAGTAATGAGCAGAATTAGTCCAAAATAAAATAAAATTACCTATCAATGGATGACGTTTAGCTAAGATATATTCTGTTTTACAAATATTATCTTCTAAAGCTTCACATTCATCTTTACAGATCTGTTTTGGTCTTGGTTTACCTCTGGAGTCATCACACAATGGGAAGGCATGGTAACATAAGGAAGGGATGGCAAATGTTTGGCACTCTTTAGATAAATGATTGGATGAACCTATTACAGCAAATGCAGCTAGAATAAAAGAGAAGAAAAAAAGATAGTATAATCAAATAAATAACAGGATCTTTTTGAAGTTGCAGACTATTTTTCTAACCTATATTTTATCTTTTGATTTGTCAAACCTAGTTCCTATTAATTTGATGTAAACTTATTTATTTCATTATAAATAGAAACTGAAACATGGTATACAGATTGGAGTACATGCATAAAACTAGTCTAGAATGTAAGAAAGTCAGTAATAACCTCCAGAAGACAGATTTTTTATAGTTGAAAAGACTCAAGAGACATATTACTGACATATCACACAAGCCATGTGCTGATCATTTTATACCAATATGGGTAAACTAATACCTAATATGTCACACTGTATTTATAAAGTCACATATTTGTGTATAAATACAGTCTTAAGAGAGTTAAATAATAAATAACATTATAATAAAAGAATTTGATGTAATGTTGAAATCACTTAATATCAAGACAGTTGTTACTGAACAGTCTAATATACCCGTTGTAAAATGTTACTTTGATGTTAAAAATGTACAGGTATCAAGTATTGAATTTCATGTAAATTGAGCAATATTGCTCTGCCACGATTTTATTCTTTAAGCTAGACACATTTTTCCGACAGAGTTTTTAGCATGTTAAGTGGTCACTTCAAGATTTTAATGGAAATAGTGTAGACTGCAGTCCAATCTCTTTGTTCAGATTTATCTTATCTATAAAATTACGTTAAAAACCTAGGCCCATTTTAAATTTCGAGAACATAATTATTTCAATTGAACCTTCAAACAAGAAACATTTCAGTATCTAATATGTTTGATACATGCAAGCCATTTCTGTTTTTTGTGAAAGCATCAATATTTCCAATTAGTATGATTTACTGGCCATAATAAAGAACCATAAACCACAGTGTCTAGGGATCAGACTTTTGTAAAAAATTCCAGCCTACTAGCTCATATTACTACATAACTAGTAAATTACAATTATTTGTCATACTAGCTAGTAAAATAATACTAATAATATTACCTATAAATCGTTCTTCACGAAGACCTTGAGTAAATTTAGTTGACACATAGATACTCTTGTTACCAACATATTTAGAACATGTACTACCACGATGAACTTGACAAAATCCATCACCTTGATCTATGTCATCTTTCCTACAAAACAAAACATTTTTATATTCATCAATTTTGATATGGTTTCAATGCACAAGAAATAATGACAATCACAAAACAAGATTTTTGAAGTTTAAAGGGATAGTAAAGAGGTTGTCTAAAAGTGTATCAGGGACACCAATAGCATCAATTTGCACCATTCCAATTTCAATCACATGCCTGCAATTTCACAATAAAAAGTGTTTGATGATGTCACTCATCACAAAATATGCTTTTCACATAAGGTCCTTTCGCGATCAGAGACATCATTGAACACTTAGTTTTAGTGGAATTGAAGGAACCACAAACATCTGATTAAAAATTGGAATGGTGGTGGAAAAGATTAGAAAAGAGATGCTATCAGTGTCCCCAATACACATGCACAATTTAGAAAACCTCATTACAAACCCTCACAGGCACAGTGGCATAATGCTTTTTTTAATCCAGATATTCCACAAACAAATTCTAATACCTTTACGCCAAAGTTTAAATCAATAACATGTAAACCAGTATATAAGTACAATCAGTACATTTTATATGAAACTTGGTGTCTGAGATATTGAATTCCAAAAACAATTGCAATTTGAAAAAATAACATTGTTAGTAAAATAAACCAGAAATAATTTAAATGTAAGAAAAACAATATGTGAGACAAAATTGTAACAATATATTGTCTAATTATCATATCTAACATGATATATATGATATCATATCACATATATATATATCTACACATTAATTCAATAAAGATGTTAGGTGTATCAACAATATTTCTTTACAGGTTCATTTTGAGCACTGAATCATCTATAACAAGTGTTTTAAAGGTTTGGTTTAAGGTTCATAAACTGCTAGTTGTGTCAGGAATATGAATGCCAATTGGAAGTCTATCATTATTTTTTATTCAATTAACCCTTTGAACACAGAGTGTAAACGAAATCAAACATCATATACCATAAAGTAATATAACTCTAAGCCTGTGACGTTATTGTTATGTGATGTCACTAGGTAATGGTCACTTTAAGGTCAGATATATACTGCGTAATCATAACCCCTCCCTTGGTTGTGACCAATGACATAAAATGACAATGAAACAAAATAAAATGGGTCACAGAATAAGGATAATGAGAAAAAGGTATAAAGACTCATATAACACATGTTTCATGTATGTTTTAAATAAATTTTAAAATTAAAAACATAAATAACACCTACTCATTATCAGGAAATAAATTAGAGTTGTATTTTCCATTAAATCTGAAAAAAAGACAAGATACAACATATAATATTGGAAAAAAATGAGTAAAAAGATAATCTTTGTTATTATTAAGTAATGTTAATAGGTACACGGGAACAATAAGATATAATTATAGTGTATTATTCAGTCTAATTTCAATTGGGTATTTATTTGATGTCATATTACCACACAGTATGTTATTATTCCATTAATATTTATATATTACTACCCTACTGTTACCAGACTGGATCTCATGCAGAGTTCTTCCAGCTCTCAACCTTAAATTATTAGCTTTATTTTCAATTGAAAATCAGTAGGACTTACGACAAACTGTAACCTTATACTTAATTACCATATCAGCTGAATTACAACTGCAATTTTCTTACTGAGTTTTGACCTTTTTTTTTAAAACGAGTTTTAGAAAGTTTGTGGATAATATTCCCCTATTTATTTGATAAGAGAAGTGATATTATATTTTTAAACATGATAAAAAAATATCGTAATATAAGAAACCTTATTCTCGATTCATTCTTATATTCCTTACATTATTCACTTCACATCCTAGAATAAGTAAGAATTACGTTATTATTTCTAACTCCATTGTTATACAGATGTCAATCTATTTACTCATCTCCACCTAGCAATCAAATGGACGACAAATTTCTTAACCTCCTACCCATAAGAAATTAGAGAATTAATTGAAATACTCAATTTATAGCCTGTAATTTAGAGGAAGGTGATCCTAGGGTTTGCCCCACCCATACAATGATTAAAGTGTTAGATTAATAGTGTTAGTTGGGACTTATATAACAATAGATTGAGTGTTATTTTAGATGTTTCCTACAAGTTACAAGTTGTTTCAAGGTTTAAAAAGTTTGTAGAATTCTCAGTAATTCTAGCCTCCTCTTATCCTATTGTCAATACTTGTCGATATCAACTTGTCTACAGTCAAAAGGTGGTTTGACTTTTTTCTCGTCTGGTTTGCCTTAAAGCTGTCTGTTCCACCCAGAGCTTGTAAGTTTTTAAATCCTAAAATCAACTGTATCATTCACTTATTTCCCTTTTGAACATCTTTATATATATTTTCTTATCTTATATGTACATGTTTTGTTAATCTCTAAATCCTAAATAAATACCAATTTTAACTTCAAACATGTAAGAAATTGATTTATATTTGTGTTTACCGCATGAAATTGGCTATTCTGGAAATAGTAAGAGTTAATTTATCTTTTAATTAAATTACATAAGTTTGATAAAGACTTTTTAATTTCATCAGAGAATGTGGTAGATTCTAATAAAATGTAGAAATTGTATATAAAACATGTAAAAATGTTACTATTTATAAACCTTCGTGCCAGCCAAGCCAGCTCCAAATTAAATATTTCTATCTGTTTATCGAAGGATTTAATTCTTATCTTAATATGACATAAGTAATATGCACACACAGGAATGTGTTATTTCTAATGCAATAAGGTGGTCTTGTTAATATCTGTTGGTAGATTAATACAAACAGCTTGTTTCTTTATGGATACTTTTATCTCAATAAACATCATAATCTAATATAAACATAATGTCTTGATATCCAACTGAGCATTATAATGTTAGCAAAATATAAAGGCCAGAAGGCATTAAACTAAAAATTCCTGAAAACTTAAAGGATCAAAGCCAAAAAAAAAACAGAAATCTAAAGGACAAAAGACAGAAAACAGAAAATTTTAAGGACAAGAGAAAGAGTGTTTTTTATTGTCTCCTAACATATGAATGAATATATGTATGAATAAATGAATGAAGAAATGAATGACACCTACCCTCCATTGCTACCATCAGCTCCTGGTAAAATAGATTTAATATCATAATCTATTGTATCACTACCATCTTTTTTATTATTCTTATTACGACCTGAATCAGGTTGAACTTTAGGTGGTGGTGGATATTCTACAAGTAAAACATCAAATGTTATGTTTATTCCAGTAATATTAATACACAAAGTAACCTTTTGGACTTCTCTGTAATGCTGCTAGTCTTTGACAAGATTTGAATTTTGAACAAGCAGTTTCCTGAGCTTTATGAAAGAAATGCAAATTTACATTTACATTTACAGTTGGACATTCATTGGTACTTTTTCAATATTTTAATATTTCATTAAGTAATATATATAACTTACCATTCTTGATGACTAACTGTCCACTAGTTTCTTTAGAACCAAATCTATTTATAGCTTTACAGGAATACAGACCAGCATCATCAGCTGCTAGATTCACAATACGCAATCTGCAATGACAAAAATGTATACATAACAATTAATACGTCTGTGTTATCGTTTTACTTTCAAATGAGATTCTTGACGAATGGATACACAAATTACAAATGGTTATCAGAGGAAACAAGGTGAATGGTAACCATGAGTTCACAAATGGTTATCAGAGCTGATGAGGAGAATGCTAACCATGTGTTCACAAATGGTTATCACAGCTGATGAGGATAATGGTAACCATGAGTTCACAAATGGTTGAATGGTAACCATGAGTTCACAAATGGTTGAATTGTAACCATAAGTTCACAAATGGTTGAATGGTAACCATGAGTTCACAAATATTTGAATGGTAACCATGAGTTCCCAAATGGTTGAATGGTAACCATAAGTTCACAAATGGTAATCACAGCTGATGAGGAGAATGGTAACCATGAGTTCACAAATGGTTATGTAAATTGAAAAGTGATTATGAATGTGCGTTGACAAGGGGTATTGTAACCATGAGTTGACAAGAGGTACCATACTTGACAAGTTAACATTACGTTAACCATGGTATCATATGGTAACAGTTACTATATCATTGTACTCAAATCTAGAGTTTAAAACAACAAAACATTAAATAATAGAAAAAACACCAACAATCTTATAATCACCTTATAACACATTTCTTACACTTTTCAAACAAATTACTGTACTAAAATCAACTTGAGGAAATATGTCTTTAAAACAAACAGATTGTTCAGTACAAAACATGGCACCGTAGACTTACAGGAATGGTTTCCTGCTTTTTCAAAGGAAGGGAAGGATTTAATTGGTGCTGTTTTGGTAACATTAGACATCTTTTTAACATTTTGAGGTTGTAATAAAAAAGATTAGCCAAGTACAAGGTGAATTTACACCTTCCAAATTTTTAATAGAACTAGGGCCAAGTTAGATCAGTACTGATGTACTTTAATGACTAACATTGAATTTCATTTTTACTATTCAGCCTTTAATGAACATTGAACTGACATTTCTCTTGTGAGTAATTAGCTAAAACTTGCAGAAAAAATTCGCAAGTGGACGCCCGGCTTTACACAGATACACTTTGAAAAGAAGATTCAGTGTAAATGAAAGTTAAACCATCCAACATTAGTGAATAAAAGGTAAGAAAAGTGAGCCAAGTGAGTTTTGAGAGAGACATGTTAAAAGATAATGTTATATTTAATGAAGACAGAAGACCGACATGATAAAAACCACCCAATGTTTAACTGAAGGTGTTTATAAGATAGATGTAATATCATCTACTTACTTATTCTCAATTTCTTATTTACCCTAAACATTATCTACTGTTAATAAAAAAAACTATGTGCTTTTAATTATTACCATTCTGATATACTTTAACAGGTTTTAAATTATTTATATTAACATAGGTCTATTACCACTTGAAAAACCTGCCATCATCTTTCTACTATTGCTGCTTGCAGTAGTGTGTATTGGTAACTCTATTTGATAACTTATGGATTCAAATGAAAAGAGTTCCATGATAATTTTTATAAAAATAACAATGACAGATTTTTCAACCAATTGCCCAATTCACTGGCAATAAAACTCCTTAAAAGCACATATTAGTTGCTTATTGTCAAATGGACATTCACATGACAAATTGCACTGCATACATCTTTACAAATTGGAACTTTAAGTTTGGTCATTAAATACCAGAAAGGTTTTTCATGGTAATATCAACATTTGGTTTTAAAATGGTGTAATCTTTATTTGTTCACATATATAAATGTCAGGTATAGGAAACACAAAGTATATTTATGGTGTTATAAAACTACCCTTTAGATATTAGAAGTTATTAAAAACATTAAAGTCCATATAAAATCTCTCTTGAAGATAATATCTTATCTATATATTATAACATTTCCTCTTGTACCAAGGCTAGAATTCTACCATGCCACACCACCACATAAACTTATAATTACTCATAAATACAGGGAAAATTTTGGGTACCAGTTGTCAGACTCATCGTAATTTGAAAAGTTTGATAAGAAAATTACCTATTAAAATTCACCAGCTGTTTGATTATATAATTCATTAAAAATCACACGGAAATAAAAAATACAGGCCTAAGGTGTACTAAAACTAGTTTATCAACAATAAAGATAGGGCAGTATGGGAGGTTTCATTCTTTTATTTCATACTTCATTTACAAACAATTAATGACACAACATCTTTATTGTTGTTGAAACCAGAGCAAACTCATAATATTAAAATCTACGCCTAAGATAAAATACTTCTATTTTTTAACTACCTAGATAAATCTAATAGATTAAATCTCCAAGATTTTTCATCACTTTTTGACTTTCCAGAAAGTTCTCTAAGTTCAGAAATGGTGCTTATCAGAACTGGCACACACATTCCCGTCTGCAAGTTCTGTTAAAATTTTGATAAAAAAATGTTTCAAAAGTTATCTCATTTTGATTAATCCCTTTTATGTCCCATCTACAACATAATAAAATTATTTTAACTTTTTACAATCATACCCTGGAGAATCATATAATTTTAGATGCAAAACACATTTAATTTTTCTCCTTTTTTTAATAGGTTTCAATATAAGTGAGGTAATTTTGTTAGACAGTTTAAAGTAGGGAGACAGAAATATTTTTAATAATTCACATTAAATATCAAGTCTGTAACAAATTTCAAAGAAATCTGTCAAATCTGTTTTAAATATGGAAAATCTGTGAAATATCATTAACAAAAATCCTTTTCAAATTAATAATTTACAAAAGGTTAAACAATAAAAAATTCATTTTTGGATACCATTTAATAATTACACTTGAAACTGTCTTTTAATACAATAGAAGTGATGTTTAGAGGAATTGAATAGAGTGTTGTGGTTTATGTTTTAACTGACATTATCTTTTTATATTTATACCCTTTAGATAAGAACCAAATTATACTAAAATTCATTGAAAAAATTTGTATATGAAAGGTACCTTCTCACTTGCAAGAATTTGATTCTGCATTTATATTTCATGGGGACCAAACTTATACTAAATTCATTAAAAAAATTGAAAGGTACCTTCTTACTTGCAAGAGTTTGAAGCTGGTATATATTTTTTATGGATTAGCCAAAGGTTTTTGCAGATATTTGGCTATGTTTGGAGATACTCTCTGAGAAGTATTTTATAGTTAGTATAGGTTAAGGAACAAAACTAGAGGCTTTGAAAGTCTAAAAGAAACTTGTGTTCTGGTTCTCATTGGACACTGCATGGCATTACTGGTATCAGTTGTCTTACATCAATGGTTTTGGACAAAGACAGGAGCATTATTCTTTTCACAAACTTGTAATTTTAACAATTTGAATATTGAGTATTATACCACCTACATACATATACTATCTTGAACTTTAACATTATAAAAATTGATAATCATATACATTATATCATTGATAATATTCACATACTATACAGATTTAAACAGCTTCTTTTATCATGTACAATTTATTCTGGTGATATTTTTAAACAAGGCATAATCTGGCTCGAGATTGGGCTGTTTTCCCAAAAAAGAGGAACTGTGGATAGTTTTTGCCAAAATTGCAGACCCAAGCTGGTGAAATGTATTATTAAATGCATAAGATGAGAAAGATGTGTTTAAAAAAAACTCTGTCGCAGGTACAAAAGTAAAACTGTATCTGGTTGTAATAAATGCCATGCCATCTCTCTCTAAGATGATATAACACTGTTTAATAGTAGTATTTATTTATTTATTTGTATAACACCTGTTTATTTCCTACATACCAATCTAATGTTACACAACATCATTTTATATTTCAACATATTTTAGATAATCTTTAAGTATTGTCAAAACATTGACAAACACGCATACATTTTAAATTATTTCTATATCTAAATCTGTTTTATTTTTTCCAAGTCAAAGTCCATTCATCAACAAAAACTTGCTCTATTCTTGATTTTCTTAATGATGTTGGCCTTGGTTTTGTCTACCTACTGATAGCCTTTGTAGCAAGGTTACAGATCTTGGTGTTCAATCTCAACCAGAAACAAATAACTACATGCAGGGCAGATGAAACATGGTATGGTCAAGAATTTTTTTTCAATGTACCTTAATCAGGTAAGGTATTTATTTATTAAGTAATTATAATCCAGAATCCCAATACTTCAAAAAAAGCAAAAGATTGATGGCAGATACAAAGTTTGATGTGTAAAGGACTGGCTGGGATTGAAAGTTAAGCTCTACTGAGTAATATAAGTTGAATAATAATAAAATTCCTACCTTGATCCCCAATCAGTAGGTTTAACACTATATCTAGTATCAACATTTTCATCAATTTCCAGAGTATTTTTATACCAGATATATTGAGGGGTAGGGTCACCTGTTATTTCACAGTTTAATCGTATAGTCTGTCCCAGGTATTTAGTATAGTTAGATAATGGTACATCCACTTGAATATGACCTGTATCTGAAAAATAGAAAATAAAATACATGTACATGTTATTCAGAATTTCATATAGGAATTCTTACAAAATAATACAAACTCGACAACTTTCAAATTCAATTTTTAGAAAGGAAATCTAACATCCAGTTTGTATGCAATCAAATCTAGATATTCCGTTTGATTGGATCTAGATTTTGGAGGAATTTGTTTTAAAACATGGCATTCAGATGTTACCAGGTGACCAAACAAAGGATGTGAATGCTAAAATTATGTAACTTGTACCAATTTTGTTCACACCTAATGTATTAAACTATTAATTTGTGCCATACTAATATCATCAAATTAAGAAATGTCATTGTACCTGAAATTCCATGATATCTATGGTACTTCCATACAACAAAAAAAAAAAATGAGCATAAAAGAGTTTATTCTGAAATGTCATGTGTATATGTAAAACATTGCTTAAAACACATAATATATGTGTTTTGCTGTATTTTTTCCAGTACTAGAAGAATTTGAAAATTTTTATGTAGTAATTTATAGTGAAAGTTCAATGAAATTTATTATAATTTTTTTTTGTGAAGATCTATTTGATGTTAGATATTATGTCTGAAACATATGTGATAGTGAAATGTTATATCTGATATAAAAACACCCAAGCTGAATAGTAGAGAAGTGAAAACCTGTATTATGTGTTAGTATCTATGATAAATATGGAAATCTTCTCAATAATGACATTATTTTCTTATCTTCTGCTCAAATTAATTGAAGAAAAAGGCAAGAGGAATGTCAGAATGTCAATACATATGGAGTGAATTTACAAGCTAGAAACAGTTCTAATGGATAGGATGGGATGTTTGCAAGGTGTTCTAAATCTAATTGAATCTCCCTACCAAATTCGTAAAGTTCAAACACCATATGCATCAACAAGTAAAGATTAGATTGGAAACATAATGGTGACCATATTGACAATTGTATCATGTGATTCATACTGTATTGTCTGTATATTTTAAGATCAGCCTGTTTGAACAATTTGAAACATGTCTGACCACACCCTATTCTGTCTAAACAATCTGATATTACAACATAAAATAAATATACAACTGCAGGAATTTATGCATTTTGACTCATCTTTTGACTAGAACCAGTTGTGACATATTATAATATAAATATATTAATAAAAAATACTGTATATTATAAATATTGTAAAATGAATTATCAAGATCCAAGAATTAAGTAAAAAAATGGCTAATCATTTTGAAGCAGAAAAGGTTAAACTTTAAAATCGGATTCTGTATGAAAATAAAAATCATTTTAGACAGCAAAATTTTTATTTCTCAAAAATCAAAGAAAAGAAGCAACTATATTTTTTTAAAGGATAACATCTTAGGTTCATAATAAAGGATCCTTTCTACCAGCTGGTCCTTGGCTAAACTCTTGACATTGATCTTTCCCAGATTATCTGTACCCAATTACCATTGGATCAACTGGAATTACAGTGAAGATGACTTATTCAGAGTCATCAGAAATACACACACCGATTGAGATCAGAACCCACAGCCACCATTTGTTAGAAGCCTTAGAATGTATCTTTCCAATATCTATCTTATGTTCAAGATCTGGAGTTATTGTTCTAATTGTATGACATGGAACATCACCAAATCTTGGAAAAATTCCTTTATCTTGTAGAAGTAAAAGAACTATATATTTATCTTAGTGTTGCCAAGGATATTTAGAGTCAGAAAGCAGTTGAAGATGTCAGACTTGGAATAATTTATAACTTTACCTATCTCTTACCTAACAACATGTATATATAATATATTCCAAATGCTTATCTACACCAGATAAAACATTACTGCCTTTCAATTGGTGAAAAAAGCATGGTATCAGTTTATAGGTAGGATTGCAACCATATGGATGTCAGGAAAACCTCGTTTAAGATTAATGTCTTTATTTCTCAGGTTATTTTCTCAATCTTCAATATTTCTTAAAAATTATCAGTTTCATTTTAAGAATATCTAAGTTAAAGATAAAAATTTAATGGAATTTAATGAAACTGCCCCTAGCTACATTTCTGTGAACTTTTAATAGGAATCATTCAATGAACAATTTTAGATTTCAAGTTATTTTAAAATTTTTTTTTTTTTTTTCAATGAACCAGAAGCCAGGCTGTAAATAAATTAGTATTTCATTTTAGAAAAGTCTTATTTAATTCAAAATTCCACAGAAAATACATATGTATATTATTATATCACCAAAAAGAGATCCAGTAGCTGGAATACAGTTGGGATTAAAAGTGGTTCATTTATTTAAATGCATACAAATTCTTTGATCTCTGAACATATTTTAACATAAGTTGACTTGTCATAGTTCAGGACTAAACAACATTCAAACCTAAATTTATTCAAATATTAAAATAGCTTGAAACAAATCGAAATTCCATTCTGCCTCCCACATCATTCTTGATTATCTCTGAATTCAAATTAAACTGTAAAGCAACTACAAACAGAGTAGAACAGGTTTCAATAGACTTTGATAAAACCACTATCAAAAGAAGGGAGTTGTTTGATGTGTTGGCTGGAAACAGAACTTGTACATTGAGTAGCAAGGTGACTGGGTACAGACCATGTTATAGTTCAATCAGGAAAGGTTAATCCTTGCTGTATGAAACATTGACACTTTCAGTCCTCAATATGTTAACATAAGTCTTAAAATCTTTCAGTTTAATTTGAAGAGATAATTTGTAAGTACACAAATAAATGTTGAAAAAGGATGAAAGATTGACAAGGTACATGACTTGTATATTAAGTCAAGTAGACCTCTGATAATAATATTTGTCAGGGACTAGATCAAGGTTCAACTTGAGTTCCCTATTTCTATCTCAATACCATTTAGTCATTCTTTGATATAGAGATTTTCTGTTTTGGTTTAACCTTCTGATTGGCTGTATTTGCTAGCATACAATCCAATCAAATCACTGCTTAACTTCTGTGATACATGAAAGCTTGACATTATGAAGAAGCTGAACATAGGGCCTAGCCTTTTTGATCTTCTTTCCAGTCCTTTCTAACAACCTGTGTTTTGGAATAACCCAGCTGCAATATCATGGCAACTGTAATATGCTGCTAATTACTGTATGGTACAATATGTTCATAAAACTTTCAACAAATAACAAAATTAAGCTATTTATTTTTAAGTTTAATATCAAGAGGCTTCTATTCAATTATTTTAAAAACAATGAATTTCTGACTAGCTAATTAGATCATTTTATCCATATGGTCCTCCTATCAACTCAACAATGTGTTTTCCTAAGGCTTAACACATCTTTTAACATAACTCAACTGCATTAATGCACTTTTGAGATAAGGAAGTTAGGGGGCACCACTGTTCTAAGCAGACACACATTGATCAAATAAATATTGTTGTTATTTCTGCAGCAGATGAGATCTGTTTTTACCATGGTATATGAAAGATGTGGTTGTATATGACTATAGTTACTGTGAGATTGATCACTAGCTCTGCTCTACTTTACAGACAGATTATAATCCAAAGCAATTAAACACTTCAACACCACTACTTACTTAATAAGACAAGCTATTGGAAATTTAAACAGGCATATCCTAAACCTATTAGACACGTCAAACATCAATAAATCATAGAATATCATAGCATTATACAGCTCTAGACAAACTTAACTTAACTTTTTTCATTCATTATATACTTTAGAAATCCATTTAAAAATTCATTTCAAAACTTCTAAGAGATTTCAGTAATCAATCTTAACTTATGTTTTACATTAAGTGCTGTCTTGTTTAGTCTTCCAATTCTAAGATGTCTATTCAGATTTTAATATTTTATCTAAGCATGACATCAATGTTTATAAACATAAGTAACCCTAGTCCAATTTTGACAATTATATTTACATATCAAACTTCTTGTTGGTTCCACCTTTTTCCACAAGGTACAGGTATGTATGGGGAATCAAATAATAAAGGGATTTGAAAGAAGTTTCCTGTCATAGGTGTGTGCAATAGAGTCATCACCTTTAGCAATAGAGATATCATAATTTAGTAAAATGTTACTAGAATTACAGAAACCACAGACAATTGCAACAGTGAAAATATGAGCTATAAATATCCCTGATACACATACATAGACTAGAAAATATTTATAACATCCCTTTAAAACTCTCAAATTAAAGACACCACTATTAGATGTCCAAATTAAGTCAAGTTTTTCTGAAATTACAGGAATCACAGGCAATTGACATAGAATTGTAAAAGTGAATGTTCTAATACACATTCATAAGCTAGAAAACAATAATAACATCCATTGAAAACTATTAAATCAACTGTATGGCTAATTCTGGCCACATGTAAGCAGTCAGTGCCCAGCAAATGTTTAGAATATATACATAATTACCTGTAACAGCCTACCAGTGTTAATTAATAGAAGACATGATTTAAGATTCAGGTATATGTCTATCAAAGGTTTAACTATCCTAGATTTTTGGGGAATGTCTGGCAACACGTTTAGGTAGTTTGGACTAATTGGCAGGAGTGAAAGAGACATACCATCAAGAAGTTATTATAATATGAAATATAAGCTAGATAGTTTATCAAGATAGGTCTCTAGTATAAACAATAATAAGTCAATTGTTTATAGAAATCACTATAGACATTGGTTGTTTAATAAACCATATTGCCTGCCTTCTAATAAACATCATTCTATTTCAATATTCCACGTGTCTCCAATAAACCATTCCACCAACTATTTCCATTTTTATCATAGTTAGAGAACACACCAGATATTTCATGATAGCAATCTTATAATAAAATCATTTTTATTCTGTTTATCTTGAAAATAAAAGCTTTCAAAACTTGGCATCAAGATAAATTTAATTTTATGAGTGAAATTATTCTACACGTTAACTGCACTTGGATATTGCACAAAAACATAAATTGCAATGAATCTAAAGTTTTCAATTGAAGCTTATCTTCTCTTATCAAGCCAAATCTGAAAACTTTTCAT